TCATAGTGTGAGTTGAGAACAGGCTAGAGGATCCGATAATCTGGGATCAGAGGGGATGGTAGAACGGACGAAGAAGGGACGGAGAAGAAAGCATTGATATCTTTGACATGTCGAGTCCCGGCCGTGTCTGACAATGTCTTTGGTTCTCGACGTTTGAGGGAGAAGGAAGGGGAATCCGAATCTCGGTCAATGCTGGCTTGGCTGCCAACACTGTAACTCACCGACGGTACTTTGACGAATACGCCTGAGTGTTTCTTTTCACGAGAAGGGGAATCGAGAGGCGGCGGACTTACTAACATCTGCAGCCATGGACGAGATGGACGAGAGAGACGACGTCGATCCGGGAGCTACGGCGGCGGCGTTGGTGAGAGTATCCCAAGAGTAGTTAGGTGGAATTAGGTCAGGCCGTGTTGGGACGGACATGATTGGACGTCGACAATTTCTTTGCCGTTTCAGACGTAAAGTTCTCGCTACTACTGTCGTGAAGGGAATGGAGCCTGCAGGCACGCTTGACTACCGGCATGCCTCTTGGAGGAAACGGCAGCCAAGAAGGGGGGACAAGGGGGATTTGAGGCACCCCAAATCCACAAAAAAAGGAAAAAGGTGGGCATTGCCAATGGACAGCTGGTCTTGTTACAGATGAGGCCAATCAGAGGCTGACGTGGCACTCTGCATTTTCCATCTTTAGAAACCGGCTTGCTCTTTCCTGGACGCCTACCTACTATGCCATTTTCGATGGGCTTTTGGCCGTGGCTGGAACATGGCTATCTCTGCCTCCTTCTGTTGACTGGTCGTACATTGAGACGCAGAGGACAAGACTTCAAGGCATCTCCAAATGGACCAACTTATAATTGACATCCCTCGTTGAAGCACCCTGCGCAGGAATGTCTCGATCCTTCATGCGGGAATCTCATCCCATAGGAAAAGAGACCACCATGGCCTGGAACTGTGAACCCGGGTCCTCATCCATCCAAAACCCAACCATGCCTACCGCATATCGCCCCTGGCCCCCATCCCATCTGCCCTCCTCGCAACCCAAGGCCCATCAACAGGAACGAATGTGAAGGCGAACGAGGTACCACTCACACTTCATGCGTCCAGCGTCGCCCCATACCACCACATCTGGGTTCTGCCTGTTTCAAAATCGTCTCTCAGGGGGTTGAGAAGACCAATCTGCTGCGCTAGAAGAGTTCGGCGAATATGCCCGTCGAACCATATACCGGGCACCTATAAGTTGCAGCCAACAGCTTTACCGCTTGACATGTTGCCTCACCCTGGTTTCCCCCCTGGAAGGACACACCTTTCATGGCTTTCCGTCCTCCCCACCCTTCCTCGTGCTTCCTTACAGCCTCATTCTGCGCATTAAGTCTACGACCAGAGGTCATTAAAAGTCAATTAAAGATGAACCCTTCCCTTCACTCCAGTCGAAAGGGTCGGTGCTGGAGGACCCGTCCGCAGGTTCAACTGGCCCCAACTTCAATTAAACCCCAAGTTCGCGCTGACATACGCCCAATGAGAAAGAGCGCGCGACTCCGTGCGACGCCATGTCGTAATGGCATAGGCTTGGCCGGCCTCTCTTTGAACCCTCAAATCTCCTCCTGTCTCCGCCCACCGCCGCCATCGCCTTCGCCGTCAGTGCCCCGAACATTGCCCCTCTCCCTTCCAAGCACCCAGGCAAGGAGATCTCCAATGGGTGAATCAATGGAATAGGACAGACCTTCCGGTATCGAGGTATCATTCTGCTGAAAATTGGCATTCGCTATGTTTGTGGATGTTTGGGTCATTGCTCGCGAACGAGACCAACACCAGTGACTACCTCTCTCACAGCGACTCCGGACGGGCGGTGAGTCGTAAGCAATCCTTCCTCTGCTTACGACTCACCGTCGCAATTTCTCAATAAGATGGCCGAATATACTTATCACTGCCAAGGTAAGAAAGACTATTTTCTTGATCGAGAGTGAAATAGCGGCCGGCCAGCGTTTTTGAAACGACGGCAGTGCGCCTCGTGCGCCGCGCGGGGTCTGTGAAGCTATGACATCTCATATAATACCTGCCAACCATCCGCTGCTGATCGCCACGGCAGACCTGAGGGTTGCGGTGACAACTGAGGCTAGAGCGATGATGGCTCTGCTAGGCCGATGACGGGCAGCTGCTTACGTTGACATGTTGGTGCTAGCGGAGAGCTGTGCGTAAATTGCATTTTGGTGTTGGGCCGACATTTAAGGTGGAGGTGTCTATCAGAAGAAGCGCACCGTGCTGAGTGCCAACCGCTCTGCCTCAACGAGGCATTCCGCAACCGCATCTCAGATCAACGAAGAACCAAGCAAGGAAAGGAGACGGGGGGCAACAAGCCAAAATGAGGCGATCAATCACAAGAAACCGGCCAATCTCCGCCCTGAAAAGGGCAAAAAGGATTCCGAAACCGAGAATCGAACTCGGGGCTATGCCTAACCTCTCATAGAGATGAGAGGGCATCATGTTGGCCACTACACCATATCGGACTTATATATCACTGGCCTTTACAAGGAATAAGTAGCTCGGTCAAACGCGCCATCTAGACGGCACACCACCTCCCTTCCAGAAACTGGCCAGACATTTTTTCAACTTAAACAAATGACATTTGTCGCTCTGCTCCCTGAAATTTCGTATCGAGCAAAGCTTCTGCAAGCCAGCAAGTAGGTGGACTACACGTTTCCCTTTCAACTAGTCATGCAGCTCGCCTTACAACTTCAACTGTCAGCCAGTCCTGCACCATACCAATGTCAATAGTGACCATTGCCACCATTCTGCGATGACACAGAGATTGGCGTTTGACCTTTCATGTTTTACAATCAACGTTTCGGCAAAAAAAAAAACAAGAAAAAACCAATTGCCAGCATTTCTCAGCCGCCGGATGAAAATGTGCATCTGGAACACTCGGAAACCTACACCTCTCTAAATCATCCATGTCGGTCGCATCCTAGGCCCCCCGACTGGCACGAACTCGTCCGAGCTGGCAAACCCGCGGGAAATGGTTGCCGGTACATCTGAAAGTTTGTGGTCCCGTACGTAGGACAAAAGAGATGGTTTTGCCAGCTCCAATCGGCACAGCAGGAGTTGAAGCTGGTTGTACGGATATAGCGCACTGCTGTAGCGTTAAGGTTTTGGGGAACGCCTGCTGATCGGATCTCGCGTCGCCGGGCAGCAGAAGCGTCGGGACCCCACGGTTCGGAACGCGGAGCTCCCAGGTCGGGTTTCTCTGCCCTTCAAGACATTCCACCCAGGTAATCACACCGTCCACGTTGAGGATGCCGAGGATTTCAGTTTCTGCAACCTTCAAGTAGCTTCTCACGCAGCGTCAGGCGTAGTTAACCTAGTTAACCTAGATTGACCAGTCCCGAGTCCCGAACTTGGCAGATCGTCCTTTATTGGGCATCACATCGGGAAAGGAAGTCGGAGCAGAACTCGGGAGGGGCTCCGACCCGAAGCGGCTGACCCACACTGCCTGCCTCTCTAGGCAGGGCAGCAGCTGAGGGCCTACCGTACCTTGCGTACCTTACGAAGTTACGGCTGCCAGTTCGGGATCTCTTGCCTCTGCCTTGCGAGGGTCGGTTCGGTGGACCGTCGACTACGGTGCAGGCTGCGACTGCCTTGGTCGTGAATCCTGGCCAATCAAGAGATCTTACCATGCCCATTGTGGCTGGTGTCTGGCTTGCTCATTCCCCATCCCCAGCACGCAAGGAGTGACGTATCTTGGTTAGAGTCAAACAAATTTGCCCCTCCTTCGTCACTCTGCTGGACGTCGACACGAGACAGAACGGTGTGTCGTGTCTCCGCGAGGGCTAAATTGTCCCAGAGTGAGCAGTTTGAATGTGGACAGGACATCAATCTGGTGAGATACTAACGAATCGCAATATCTATCAACAGCTCACAAACGGTCCATTATCCCACAGTCCCAACGTTGACTCCCGAGTCCCAATCCCCGCCAAAAGGATCAGCAACCAGTCATAACCAGTCACACTTTCTATCCGAGGGCAAGCTCTTCTGGATCTAGATGGGGGGGACAGGGCCACGCCGAATGGCAAACAATGGTCAGCCCAGCCAGCCTACGCCCTACGAACACAAGGACCCGTCCGCCTTTCAAGTTCCGGACCACCAACGCCCACCCGTCCGTGGTGCCATTCAGCACAGCCACAGGCCTCGAATCGCACGTTTTCACTCCCACCTTCCTCCCGTCAGATTGCAACAGATTCATCCGCCTGCTTACTTTATCTCTTTGTCCATTGGTCAGAAGACATCAATCTTACTCTTCCGAGCCTCTCATTGGAGCATCTCGACTGTGGCGGCTATCCTCCCTCGACAGTGGAAGGGTGGACAGGGTGGAGGTTGCTGCCAGCCAGCGCCCTCATCGTACTCCGTAGGGGTGTGAGAGGAACTCGCCGGGCCTCGCTAGTGGGCGGTTCCCTCTGTGCAGCGAGTCACACCCAATCTCCCCATGCCCGCCCTCGTCCGTTTTCTGCCTCTTTTGACGCCAAATCGCATGTTTCGTGCCCCCCGTCCGCCGATTTGGGTCCAAGTTGACAGGTGTGAGCGCGCGCGCCTTCAGGATACATCAAAGATGTACCTGTGGCATGCGTACAGATCGTTCTACAAGTCAGAAGAGGGAGTGGAGGAGGGAGAAACGAAAAAAGGGTCCCCAGGGGCCTGGTGCCACCGCGCGGTTCTTCTTCTCACACAACTTCCAGCCCAAATATAATGCTGCCCGTCCCCCTCGTAGCTTGCCAACTATTATCCTGTTTCCCATTCTGCCTTTCAAGGATTCTAATAATAACCGACCAAGACTCTTAACACGTCCTCCTTTCTCTTCTACCAGAGCCGCGTGTCGACAACTCCACAACCAGCTTCACCTAAGCCTCACTCAAGTCTCACTCAAACCTCTTATACAAAGCACGCGACCATCTCTCTACAACATTAGAGAGCTTCTCCGTCTCCCTCACAACAACCACACACACACGTCAAGGATGTCGCCAACATACACCATGTCCGCACACCTGTGCAAGTCCATTTACGCCTCGTGGCGCGAAACCCGCCGTTCGCCTTCCGACCTACCCTCCCCTGGCGTCCAGGCACCCAACATGACCTCCTACTTCCCTCGCAGCCCTTCTCCTGAGAAGCGCTCCATGGATAGCGACCGCAGCGAGACCAACTTGCCAATGTCTCGATCATCCTCGAGCTCCTCGTGGCGGAGTCCCAAATAGACGAACGATTCCATGGCTTTTCGGGTCTGCCCTGACGTCCCGAGTCTGAAAGCTCCCTCTGAGCTTCAGCTTGGGGTGCTTAGAAGCTCTCGACAACCATTCTCATCGGCTTTGCACACACGCTAGTCGGACCAAGCAACACCTCAGGAAACTTTGGCGCCGCCGGATTAACTGCATGTACGCGTTCATGATATTCACGGAAACCGGAAAGGCGTCACGGGACATTTGGCTTAAAACAGCAACTGGAATCTTTCGATTTTCGAGGCTAGATTTGCATGGCGGACCTCAAAAGGTTTCCTGCGCTGACGTTACCTTCAACCGGCGCCGCTGACTCAGTCGCTTTCGCACTCGGATACCTTACCAAGCAACGGCGGTTCTTGAGACTGCCGCCAATGCCCACCTCGATCCTCGTCAATTGAGAGTTTTTCCGGATATACACTACAGCACCGGGGAGTTTACGGCGTACGCAACATTCACATCATTGCCGGCAGTTCGTGGAGGAAGGAATCCAAAGGCCCATATCACGCCATCAGGGTCGGGCATCGCATCAAGCCCACTTTTTCCCTCTCTCTTTTGTTCCCTCTTTTCTTCTGCTCGTATCACAACTGGCAAGGAAGTTTCTTACCCCTCCATCATTGTATCGTTGGCGGGGCACGGGGAGGAAGTGGGATAAAAATGCAAGGGGATGTCATTCGAGAGGCATGCAAAGCTACGACATGCGTCTCCATTTTGCTTCCCAATTGCGACTCCTCAACCCCTCCGCCCCTCCTCCTCTGCCTGTTTTTGCTTGTCTGCGTTCTTGTTCTTATTTAGCAGAGCCTCCAATACAGGTTCTCATGTACGGAATAGATACCCCCAAATAAATTGTTCACATCAACAACTTCTCGTGAACTCCGTAGCAATTCTCGGCAACTGTGATTGAACCATTGTAATCTCCCAACTCACCAACGTGGCAATGAATTCTCTCTCACCAAAAAAGTCCCGTCTGCAACCGATAACCCTCTTCATGTGCCAAGTTTCCTCGTCCCGACCAACCTTAGACCCCATCCACAAAACACTTCCGACTTCCGACCGGCACTTAGAGAGGCTCTATCAATCAGTGATCGTCGGCGGAGCCCGCCCTTTCCCCCCTGCTACCTGCGTACGTTATAATCGCGTACCATCAGTATGAGGCTATGGTCGATTGGACCCCCCATCTCTAAACCAGGAACAACCGCAACATGGATTCATCCGAACAGTGTAACTGTAGACCGCCGCCGACGGGGACCGGGCTCCACCATGACGCAAAGGAGGGGGAAAAAGGGCTCCCGGGAAATTCCACCGCTCCGTAGGCGGTCACCCGCCGCTCTGTCCGGGGCCGGGGAGGGGGTAAGGTCACGGCAGACCAAGGGTCCAATAAAACAGCCAAACTGGAATATTCGTACTATTGCACCATGTTCTCACCAGCAGCGATCTAGAACCCCCCTCCCCCGGGGCCCTGGCCTATCTGGCTGTCTATTCTACATACACGATGCTAGACACTATTCACTTTTTCCCCCAGTGTTTTTCACATGCTCTCTGTTGATGAGCCACCATTTCGTGCAAGTTTCCCCCCCGGTGAAGCACTTAGTGCCTAGACAACCAGGGACGAGTAGATCATTTGATGGATTGCAAAACTCCCCGCTCAAACAGCTAAACCATGCCGTGCACGCGCACCACTACACATTCCATACCCAGTGACATGGAAAAAAAAAATTTCGTTTTTTTTTTTTTCATTTTAAATAGAACCAATATGAGCAATTAAGATCAATGCACATCACTCAAATTTCATCATAAAGCATTGACTAGAGAAACAGTCTTCCAGCCCGCCTTCGAGTCATGGGCCGTAGAACGGTAAAAACTCCCTTCGACGATGCTCACCTACCCACCCCTCCTCCGAGCCCCGTCCTCCTCCTCCTCCTGCACCACATCCCTTCCATCTCACCGAACTGGCTGCCCCGCCCTCCTCTCTGCAGCCCCCTCACCTCACCCTTCTCACCTCACTGTCCCAATCCTCACCTCCTTTGCGACTCGTCCAGTCCCACCAACCGTCAATCATGACTCTCATCCTCTCCATCCCTTCCCTGCACGCTCACACACTCTATACTCTATAAAGAAAACGGGGCTGAAAACTCAAGTCAGCTCTCGCAACCAGCATCCCCATGTCGGCACACGGCACCAATACAACCCCAACGAATCCAGTATCATCCTTGACAAGACCAGACAAAAGGATAAAAAGTCTGAAAAAAAAAGGCAGGGGGCGGCGGGGAAGGGAAAATTCAATTAAACCCCCAGTCAAATCTCTTAAACTTGTCAATGCTAATAATAGGAACTTCCATAGTTCCATCGAGGCTTAATCAATGCCATGAAGATTCCCCTATTTAGACTCTAGTCCGTCTTCTGGAAGAATCCTCTGCGACTCGCGCTGAAGACCATCATCTCCAGCGTGACAAGTGAAGATGGTCCCGCTCGCGCAAAAACCGGACCACACTGCTGCTGCAACCCTCTTCAAAATCCTGGGAGCATGCACTCATCTGGTGCCTCACCGCAGGTACCGCAGGTGGCCTTCCCTTTTAGACCTTTACGTACCAAATCATTGGTCACTGCATCACATTGGCTTCATCAGGAACCAGGGGCCTTTACAGAAAAACTGACGTGTTGCCGCATTCATTCAAAGCGAGCGAGCGACATTGCTGATCCCCCACCTCGCCAAGCAAGGCCCTCCCCGCACCGTTAACCTCCCTACTCCGTTTTCTGTCCTCTGTATTTCGTCAAGTATTGCTTCTGATCCAATAATGTGTGCTCCCACGTCCCATGCCTTTATGCCAGGTACCGTTATCGCTGCACAACTGCCGCATTCAACGATGCTGTGTGTCTGTTGAAAGTCACCAAAATCATCAAAGCGGGCCGAGAATGAACAAGCTTGACGCGACTCATGCGAAGAGCAAGAAATCACCCAATCCCCCAACACCGTTTTGTTGTCTACCTGTTCCTGGTTCTTCTACCTTCATGCCTCTGATGGGTACTCGTATTCGGAAACGGTGGCGTGGCGCACACTGCGCTCGAAGTGCTCAGACGCATCGTGAAGACGGGGGCACTACATGGCCGACGCAGCGTGCGTATTGATGCCGGCGCTTGCGTTCGGTGTCTCTTCGCCACTGGATGACTCCTCACTTCCGAGGCTGCCTCCTATACGGCGTTTGGCGTCCTTCTTTTCAGCATCGGTGACGTCCTTTGCGTCTTTCCGCATATCGGGACCCCACTGAGGCTGATCGGGAGCGTGTCCGACAGACATGCCTGCGCGAACCTACGTGAACAGTTAAAAGCCGCTCCTTGTTACAGGGGAGCAGTAAGCTTGGAACTTACCAGAGTCTCGAGAGCTCCATTGGAGTTGTCAGTCAGATCATCGTCAAACTTCATCTTGCCAGGTTCAAACAGCAAAACAATCGTGCTGCCACCAAACTTGAAGTAGCCTAGTTCGTCGGCACGCTTCACTTGGGCACCCTCGTTCTGGGTGATCACAGTACTACCAACCATCATGGCACCAACACATATGACCATGACGCGGCCGTGTGTCGGACTGTCGATTGGACAAAGAACTCGAACGTTCTCGCCGTAGACATCGAGAGCCGAGCGAATAGCCATCGGATTGACCGTATAGTATTCTCCGGCAATCGTTTTCGGTTTGTCCAAAACACCATCAACAGGGATGTGGAAGCGATGGTAGTCCTGCGGCGCCAACCGGAAGATACCAAGAGCACCATTCTCAAAGCGCTTCACGTCTTCGGGATAAGCGTCACCAAGCAAACGCTTAATGGAGAACTCGCGGCCCTTGATCCAAACCTTGGTCGCCTGGCTAACACTGTTGAAGACAACGCTACGGCAGTCGGCAGGGGAGACGACGACGTCCGGACGATCAGGGGCGGAGCAAGGGCGAGCATCAGGCTTCAGAGCTCTGTAGAAGAACTCGTTGAAGTTCTTGAACTCCTCCATCGGGCGGCGCACCTCGGACATGTCGAGGCGATGAAACTCAATGAACTTGGGGATCTCAGCCTTCGAAGCCGGGTCGTCAAACTTCTTACCCTGCTTAACGCTCATGCTCTTGAGCATCTTGCGAACTAGAGGAAACCTTGTCAGTCAAGCTTCTTTAAAGAAATCTGCAGTAGAAGCTTACTTCGCTTGGTCTCCATGTTGCTCGACTTGAGTCCCTTGTACAATAGGCGAATACCCAGTCTGACGTACACGCTCATCTTTTCCTCGTTGATTTGGCCAGTGATTCGATCTTGAACAAGGATATTGGCCGAGTTGGCACCGAGCTTGTAGCCACCATATGAGATCTTCGTAATGACCTTGGAGTACCACTTGCGCTGGGCCTGGCTGGCGGTGACAAAGCCGCCCATGACCAGATTATTGACTTGTCTCCAATCCTGGCTTGCACACGTCGCAATGTGAGTGATAATGTCGGTATCCTTGCGCTTGTTCAAGCGCGGCTGGTGACAGATGGGGCATTCTCTGATTTCGACCACATGCTCTTCGCCAGCACGATCCTCAGCCAAGTCGTCCCTGTCGAGCAAGTCACCTTCCTCTCCTGGAGTGCTAAGCTCTGGTACGTCAAGTGTTCCCTCGGATGAGCTAGACCCTTCTGCCGGTAGACTACTGGGAGCGCTGCTGGTACCCTGAGCAGAAAGCAGATTCTTGACTTTGTCGGCATCGGGCATCATGCCCTTCATTCTGTCTGCGATGGTGAGTTGCGGGCGGCTCTTGGCCTCCAACTGATCCTCCAAGCATATCACAGCTTCGTCGAACGTTAGGTCCGAAATGTCATCGCCTTGAGCTCTGTGAGGAAATCGCTGGAAAAAGCTGTCAATAGTTGACTCGCGCAACGTCGATCCGAGGGTATCGAGCATCGTAGTCAGCTCAATCTTGCTGATGCGGCCGCTCTCGTCGGTGTCGTATTGTTTGAGCATCGATCTCCAGAATTGCTGACGCAACGCCGGGTAGGGGACGTATTTGGCGCGGATATAGAGGACCGGATTGTGCTTGGCCTCCCACTTCTTGGCATCCTTCATCTTTAAGGAGACACTGAAGTCGTGGAATTCAGCGTCGTCAGCCTCTAGTTCAGCAGTCTGCGCACCGGCTCCTGCAAGAGCTTGCTCAGGAGACAGAGACTCCGTGGTCAAAGTCGAGCCCTGGGCGGGAGGCGTTGGTGTTGGCGTTCCGGTCTGGGTAATCGTGGACGCACTGCTTGCATTCTTCGACAAGCCAGGTCGCACCTTGCTTAAGCTTTGGGAAGACGACGTACGGGACATCGCGAGCTTCTTGAAGCGGCGTTGTTGAGGGGCCACATACTCATGGGGTTCGGGAACATCGTACAGACCAGTTTCGGGATCTGCCTTGGGGGTTTTGTCAATAAGCTCCCTAATAGGCAATGAGCAGTCGGCAATGAAGTCGTTCCCAGAATACTTGTCGTGGTCCATCACAGTAAAGGAGAACGAGTATGTTTGCTCGTGGCCCTGTACTTGGAAAATCATCTTTTCATTGAAAACCGGGTTCAGATTGTGCCGCACTCGCTTCGTTCGATATGTCTTCTTGCCGAGTGATGCGACGACGAAAGGATCCATGTCAAATGTAGTCCGGGTCGAGTTGGGTTCGGGAGGCAGATCCGTGATGTTCAAGACTTCGAGGTAGATGACTCCCACAACGTCGCTTCCACTATTATTGAATTCGTATGTTTGGTCTCTCCTCTTCTTCTTCAACCCCTTGATCCTCAGACGGCGCTTCCGTTTCTCGGCGACTTCGGGCTTGCTGGGATCATCGTCCTCGGGGGTGTCATCTTCGATATCGAGATCATCGTCATCATCGTCTTCTTGGTAAGCGTCGGTCTGATTACGCGACAGTGGGGGTGACTGAGCTGTTCCGCTAAGCCTCATATTCTGGACTGGCTGAATGAGGGGTGTCATGGTCGGTGTAATTTGTCGGGAACCCGCGGGTAGTAGATTGAGCAGAGCATTGAGCTTCTCGAATATTTGTTCGTGGGTAGCGGCCGTGTTGGACTGGTCGAAAAGGGTGAACTGGAGCATGACCTCGCCAGACACAACACTCGTCTTCTTACCCGGTCTCTTGCTCTTGAGAGGATACCATTTCGGGGCTTGCTCGGTTTGCTCATTGGCGAATATCTCCTCCAGAGCAAGGTCGAACTCGCCGAGATAGTCCTTGCCGAAGCGGTCCTTGTCCCAGCATATAACATCGAGAAGAAGGCTCTGGGTCGAATTTACTGGGAGTTCTTCGATAACGTTCCACTCCGGATTGAGAGTCTTGGGCACCTCGTGGGTGGTGACTTTGGCATCACCGAGGGTTAAGACCAGGTACTATAAGAGTTCACATTAGATGATCGAAAGCGGAAGCGTACGGGTTGCATTCGAATTCGTACCGGGTCGGACGTGCCGCGTCTGTCTTTTGCGGCGAGATTTCGAGCCTAACATGCGCTCAACCGTCAGCAATCATGTGTCTCAGCAACCAACTGGTATCCTCGCATTGGCGATACAATGGCAGTGATAGAGTAGTACCTTCATGACGACAACCTTCAAGGTCAAGCCATTCTCCTTTGGACTCAAATCCATCTTGCTGTTGGTGCTACCGGTGCTGTTGTTTCTCGTAGGACTGCTGCTGCGGCTGTTGCGAAGGGAGGAGCTGGACTTGAGTCGTCCAGGGATGATGCGGACCATGGTGGACGACGGCGGGTCGGGGAGCGGCCCCTAAAAAGAGTTGCGGCAAGCCAAGAAGAGGGTTTGGAGGGCGCAGGGCACACGACGTGTGTGTGAGGGCGATAGGCCAAGCGCAGACACCACTCACGGGCAGAGGGACCAGGTTGGGGGGGGCGGGGTGACGTAGGAGACGCAATGCGGAGCGCTGGGAAGCCTTAGGTCGCGTCAGGTACTTGCGGTACCTTACGTATTTGGCTCCAAGGGCAGTCCAATTGGCATGACCCGAGGCGATATACCCGACTTGTTTCTGGAGTGGACGTGTACAGCAAGGCCACCCTTTTCCACCTTTCACGCACCTCGACTTGCTGTTGCTTTACTTGTTGCCGCGCTCGGTTTGTTGTTGACAGGGCCCAGGTATTAGGTAGTGAGTGGAGCGGTGGTGGTGGTGGCGTGCGGCAAGCAGGTAGAGGCGCGCGGGCTCAGGAGGTGAGGTACCGCAGCTGCAAGTCGTGACAGGGTTTCGGTAGCCGTATGGTTTGCTGGTTGCTGATCCGCGCTTCTCAGCGAGTATGACGCTGCGTCCCGTCCGTAACGATGTGTCCTTCCTTGCCAGCTGGACTGTTCGCAAGACAGCGAAAGGTGGCGTTCGCTCGAAAGAGCTCTGGCCGAATTGGCGATGACTGGCGAGCCACACGTAACAATTGCTGTCGGATGTGGTTGGGGGAGGCCTTTGGTAGCGTGTCGAGCAGGGGTCCTTGATTGCTTCGAGATGCAGCTGAAGACAAATACCGGTTCGGGGTTTGACCTCGCAGGTTCGGAACCGCCAACGACGCTTGAGTTGAAGTCAATATCAGTATTGGTCGGTGATCGATCCCACCAGGCGAGAGTGTCTAGTTGGTGGGAAAAGGGGTGAGGACTGGAACCAGAGAGCAACGAAGAGAAGAGGAAAGGAAGTGAGAGATGAGGTAGGAGCTTGGGGCCCCTTGAGGGTTGATGTCTGAATAATAAGAGGTCCGGGGTCGAGAATGGAAAGTTGAGTGAACAAATGTACAGTTTTAATTATGTGGCTTCGATGCACATCCAAGCCGGCGCCACCGCCATGTGCAACTGGAACGAAGGAGCAAGCTAGGGAGAAGGGCCCGACAGCAGGAAGCAAAAAGGTAGGGGACTAGGACGGCGCAGACAACTTTATGTTTCTTGTGAATATAGTCCGGAAGAAAGAGAGGAAGAGGCAGAGGGAGAGGGAGAGGGAGAGGGTGAGGGTGAGAGAGGATGAGAGAATGAGAGAGGCAGACAAGAGACAGATGAGAAGCAGAAGCAGAGGCGTCGCAGAACTCCACCGCTCAATGCAAGCGCAGGTTCGAGATCGGGGAGACAGCGTGAACACTCTGATTCTGCCCAGGGGAAAGAAGTGCGGTAAGGAAAGGGTATGGATATGGACCTCTGGTTTAATTGCAAGAGAAGCGGTATTCGGGGTACCTTTTTTGTTGTACGTCCGATGTGCCCGCGTGAAGACGAGACCAAACAAATAGCGAGGGTATTCAGGCCGGGCGGCTACTTTGGGGTTTGGTGCGATTTTGGTGGTGAGGCTAGGTACCGTCTCGTCTCGTCGTATGTTCCAGCGTACCTATGCCGTCCCAGATACGACGACTTGCGGTGGCCGTTGACTGGAAAGGTCCGCGGGTGCTTCGGCTCGTGGTGCAGTGCCCTGGAGGGCAAGGTAGCCACTGTTTGGGGATGGTGCGGTGGGTTCACTTGAGGCGTTTGGCGTGGTTTGGGGCGAGAGGCGGGAACCCGAGCAGGGAACAGAGCTGGAGACAGAGACGGAGCTGGAGCTGAAGCTGCAGCGGGCGTCCACAGGTGAGCAGGAACACAACCGGAAACAGGAACCGCTGGAGAGACGCTTTTGGGCACCTCGCATAAGGTGACGGAGGTAGGTATTACTTGGTATGCTAACCTTAGGTACCTAGGCTGCTAAGGTACCTTGGGCAAGGAGAATGTACAAACACTGGGACGCCGCACGCCCATGGAAGCCCAGAGGTTAAACAGTGAGGAAGAAGGATAGAAGAACCCGAGTAGAGTTCGGGAACGAGAACAGACGACACTGGGAGGGGAGGTCCGGGCCATGTTTTTGTCTATCTTGGACGTCTTCCTCTTCTTACCACTGCTTCAGTGCTTGAGGTAATTCCCTCACCAAACCGACCACACTGCACTGGCTGGAACGTGGTCTTTGCAAGTGATGCGTACATAGGCGAAAGCGAGCGAGCTCTACCTGGCCTGCTACCTCAATCCAAGCGAGATGCGTACCTCCGGCCGCCTGGCGTCTAGGGTAGTGCTTCTTTGCAACTCGCAACTCTCATTCGATGCGTGAGCAAGCATGTGAGGCATTCCCAGTGGGTGTTGTAAGATACATTTCGAGGGTGGGTATCATGTCTGCTCTGCAGTACGTACCCGCCAAGTCTTACCTCTGTCAGCACGTGTACTTGCACTTGCACCCCGGGTCCTGTATGCGCAAAGTAAAGCATGGGGTGCAATTACCTACCTCAATCAACAGGCACGCAAGGCACCGCCGTACCAAAATGGAAACATCCGAGAAACGACGTCCTCTCGTCTACGGATAAGACGAAAATGTGGTTTTAGGCGCTCCTTCTCACTCCCTCCACAATTGCAATAGCATGTGCAACCACATCGACGTGCATAACCATGAGAAGAAGCGCCCAAGTCACTAATAATTAAGGCAGAGCAAGCTCGACCACCTACCAACCTAACGTAAGGGACCTCAGCGTCCTAGACAGCTTGATAGGGTCGGCAGGAAGGGGCAGAAACGCCAAAATGCCTGGCCCCCACGCTATGGTATTTAGGAAGGCACGAAAATAGAGGGCGAGGGCGAGGGCAAGGGAGAGGAAGAGACGACGCAAACTCAACTTGCTTTTCTGCGTTTGCTTTTGTTGAAAGGTACCTATTTTGTGCATCTTGTTTCTCGACTCCGTCACATTGCATTTCTACCGCCTCTTCATCCTTCACTTTCACCCTATGGTATTCTCATCACTCCATCATTCATTCCCTACATAGCCGTCACCTGAGACTAGACAGACATAAATGCCTCTCACTTTTACTCCCCTCCACTTCATTTGCAGACAGAAGACAAACACAGCACCTCGGACTCGCACAATAACCCATGCCTGACCATCACTGCGCACCTTATTTGTCCATCCTATCAGACCGTCTCCTCAATTAGATGCACGTCCCTGTCTTGCCCCCATCTCGCCCAATCTCGCCCCATCCGCAGTAGTCACTATGCCGTTCCGAATCCCCTCCGTCGCTGGTCATTCTCCCTCACGTTCGTTCTCTTCCCTGTCGTGCGTCTTCCGGCCCGTCGGTCGCGTGCCTATTCCCTCAGTCGCTTGTCGCCAATTTAGCGGCACTCGCGTCTCGTCAACATATCGCGCATCACGATAGACCTTCCAAGTCTAGTTCGTCGGCCTATAACTACCCCAGATATTGCCCAGCAGCCTGGATTCCCCCTCTTGGCCCTTTCCCGATTCATCGTCAAGTCAAGTATCCCGCGTCAATCCGGTCCGAATCTCTAAGAGAGGCCATGAATCTTCAACCGGCACTGAGACAGGCCCAAGTCCATGTACATGTCAATGGCCCTAGACTATGACCCTCCCCCTCCCTGAATTTCCTCACCCTTACCCGCGTCTTCCCAACGAAAGTCGACTTCCAGCTCGTCCAGTCAGGCAGAGGGTCATCCCGAACCCCCTGAATTGCCGCTCGATCCAACGTCTGTCACCCGATTCTCCCTTGCTTCGGGCCAATGTGGCCAGACCTTCACGTTTCACTACGTGTACGGATCTGTCAAATCGCTCATTTGACTGCTGTAAGACTTTCCATACCTTGCATTCCCACACCTTTTCTCTGGACCGGGTCGAGATGCCTCGCCGTCGGCCGTTCAATTTATCCATCTCGCTGCCCCGAAAACCCCTCTTCAAAAGTCCCGCCGCCTGCGGTCTTCCATATCAAACCCCATATCGTCTCTCGATACGGCGTAGTTCGTCGATGGCGTGGCCCCCTCTTCCCCTCCATCTCCACGAATCCAGTCTGTCGGCGTATGCCCCTCGCCGGCTGCAACAGCACCTGCAGCATTGTACCGTACGACATGGCTAGCCATTATTTGTGCCGCGCTTCCGTCGCTCCATCGCTTCAGCCCTAAACGTACGACCGAACTCGGGCATGTGGTGCCGGGCTGCAGACTTGATTCGAGAAGGGTAATGGCACAAGGTGAAGATTTGGCGGCTGAAGGGTTGGCACCTTCCATCTCCATTCCTTTTGAATGCAACGGATCGGGAGGCTCTCCTCGCCAAGACTTCACCCTGCGTAAGTACTGCATGGGAAAATTGAAATACTTCTAATGCGCCGCCCAAGAGTCTTGGTCGATCTTCCTCCGGTCAAGTGCCAGCGCGGGCCAAGAGAAGCGGCTCGTGCCATCTGAACGTCACCCCAACCTAACAGAGCAGTGTACATTTGGGTCAAGGTTGCAAAGGGACTGATAGACGGTGAACTGCCTGCCAACCGTTCCCATCTTGGCACGGGTGGGCTTCGTCATCAAAACACCCTCCCTAACTGCCCGGCTCTGGGCTGCCAGCTGCTCCCTAGCGTTTTCCAGACTGAGGTAGGGCTTACTCCCAGGCTCGTCAGGCGCGGAGACGGATGAGTGAGAGTCTTGGAAGTTGGAGCAGCCATCTGCCAGAAACGGAACAAGTAATACAAGGTTGGCGGCCCCTCAGAAGGTGAGGTAATCACGCCAGTTGTCAAGTAAGGTACCTCATGAGTGCGTACCAGTAGTCGCTCAGGCAGTGCCTGACTGACCTCACTCAACACAAACTTTCCTCTCAGTCATCCCACTTACTACGTATACTTGCTATACATGGATGCACAATCTGATCAAAAGCAGATGGATCCCAAGGTAAGCTGCAAATGAAAGTTTTCTATTTGCTTAGGCTCTTGAGTCCTGACCTGAGCCTACCTAAGGTAGTTCATCACCGAAAGGCTAGTGACCGCAGAATTGCATTGCGCTAGAACGTAGGTAGTTAGCAAAAAGCCTGGTGGGGCACGGGCCGTCTGGACGCCCCAGCCATCCATGCTCCTCCTTCCGTCGATCACACTTGGACGGGCCGGCCACGACCAAGTTCCTCGACAGTCTTTCTGAGGTCACTTCCGCCAGGGCCAAGGTTTGGTCCAATCCAACCCAGCCGAGATCAACCACCAATCGATCAGGACCAAGTCCAAAAAAAAATAAAATAAAAATGTTAAAAAAACAGACGAGGCAGATGAGCTGACGCTGATGAGCACCCGAAGGACACATCTGCGATCTGCGGGACCAAGAACGATCGTCCAGTTTCTGCAAGGCCACTCGTCAACTCGCGCTCATCTCCGTCAGTACCTATGAACCTCGAGTCTCGACCGCAGCTCCTCATTTGATTCATTTCCCACCCACGGCTCCTTCTTGTTGTTGTAAATAAAGGCAACAAGAAGGAGCAAATTCACACTTACACATCGATCCGCCTGCACAACATCGGTTCCAAGACCTCGGGCCTGCAAGCCAAGCACTCGAGGCCTCCGGCAAAGAGAAGCAATTCGAGGACAGCTGATAATGGATGACCCAATTCCTCCTGAATCTCCAAGACTCTCAGCTATGCCAGCAAACGTAATCACCCACCCACTCGTCAACCCTCCTGCACTCCAAGACCCGTCTTGGCCTTCGGTGGCTGTCCCTGGTTTAGTCCGGGGCTCCAGTTATGACGCAGGCTCACCACCACTGCGCGCCAATGGAGGAGCAACACGGCCTTTTGCTCGATCGAGGCGCGCCCGAGTGATGGCAAGGCCAAGCCTCAGGCTTTCGGCCGGATACCCGCCGCGTGGAGCTGACTGAGCGCTCCCGAGCACTCCGACCCCGACGACATTGGTCCTTTTTTTTTTTTTAACTGTTCCCCAGTCGTTATTAGTCCCATGTACGGTGGCATCACCCCTTCGATCAACTGGTTTTCACCCCGATTTCTCATCCCAAGTGGTTTGACATTTTCCGCTATGTTGTGTGCTCGGCCTGGTCGACGCTAATCACCGATCGATGGCCGTCTAGCCGCCCTTGATATGGCGCCCCTTTCGGCGCTTGAATTACGGAAACACGTAGGTTGAGTTTAGGCTGCTCTATTTCTTCGCAGTGACTTGGGCGAGGGGCGCCACAGGCATTGATTCGAGGCTATTTGCCGATGTTCCTTCGCAAGGCGTAGCATCTCAGCAGTAATCAACGCAAAGCTAAGCCGGTGTTGGTATCAAGTGCACCTACGTTGTCGGGCTGTCTCTGACCGCGGCAGCTGCGAGGACCGCATATCGGAGTTTACGGGCCTCTGTGTAACGTTGTCCATGTACTCTTCAGCACAGTGACTACAATCGCGGTCCTACCGCGCTGCCCGTGTCTCCCGGAAAACGCCTGATTCATTGTGGTTATCACATCACTATCAAGTTGGACGACGTTTCAAGCTGTGGTTTATCATCAGCAGCGTGTCATACTTACCTCGGGGAAGGTGAAAACAAACGCGGAAATTTGTCCTAATAAAGGATCATAATGCCCCAAACTTGCAGTATAGAACTGCTTATATATATGTCATCTCTTACATGATGTTCGACTTCTTGAATATTGACACTGTTTCCCCTCACCACCCACTCAATTCTGTAGAGACAAGAGCGGACGATATAGAAGAACAATGGCAATGAACGCAGATTAGGACGTGAAGGCCGACGATGGAATGATCCCTAGGCTCGCTCGTCAACCATGGCTAGGGATATGAGGTCCCGCTTGAGCAGGGCTCTTGGCCATCGATCGACTTTGGACGGATTTCTGATAGTGAAGCCTCTATCGAGCTTCAAGCTCTCGTATCGGCGAGTGGAGCGGCCCTTGAAGGGTAGCCACGTATTTGTCTGACAAAATCACCACACTTTTTGATATCCGCGTAACGGAGGTGTCGCAACTCTGAAGAATCCATGACAAGAGGGTTCTGGCTACTCATCCTAACAATGGCAACAGAGACATCGACTCCTAGTTCTCACGCCAGACTACAACACAACATGCCGGTTCCTCACCCCGTCTCGCCAAAGGTAGATAACCCAGCGAACCAACCTCATAACCCCATCCGCCTCGCCAGCCCAGTTTTCCTCCTCGTCTTCCTCTTCCTCGCAGCCCCCCATCAACTTGACGCTCCCCTTCCCAATCACTCGTCCCATTCTCCGGATCCGCATCCCTCGCCTTACGATCAAACGCCGTCCCTGACTTGGCTTTCCCACTCGGCCCATCCACTGCCTCAAACTGCCTCTTGCTCTTCAGCTTCGTTACCATCGTCTCCGCCACCTCCACAAGCTACACATTCACGAATTCCCCATGGAAACAGTGACTCCCGCCACATTCCAGCTCGATCGGCGGGTCTCCCCCTTCCCAGCCCTCCGGGGCTCCGGGACGGCCTTCTTCGCATCATATCGGATACTGGTCCGCGGCTGCGGCACCCTCTTCATGCCCTGAGCGCAAACACCCCTCTTCTCATCAGAGTACGTCGACTTGAGCTTCTTCTCGTCGACGCAGTTCGGAAACCAGAGAACGGCTTGCAGTGAGGTCGAGCAGGTCTCCTGCTGGAACTGGGAGTACGCCTTGCCGCCGGGGTCAAAGGCCTGATTCTGACAGAGCCAGGTCACTTCGGATCCCGTGACGAGGTCCTTTTCAAAGCTGTGGTAGGCTACAAAGGAGACTGGCTAGATTGGGGGGGGTCTTGTTTCGCCTTGGACGTGGCAGAATGTGAGTATGTATCCCAGGGTGCGCTTGGGTGTAAGCTGATGTTTTGCTTTTTGGTACCGCGGAACTTTTGCTTGCTACCAGACTAGAAGAGGGAATCGCCGAGTCATATATAAGCAATAGAATGAGAAAATGGAATAAGAAAAAAAATAATACGAATAATAGACGGAAAAGTTATTGGGGTTCTGCGTTGGGGAACACCCCTTTTGTAACTCGGCTGTCGGGCTCATGTTCACTTTGACAGCATCGCTGCCAGATGAGCTATGCATGTGGCTCTTGTACTGGCCAGAGAGGACAAGGGGATCAATGTTCTTGCGCATAAGAAAGTCGACTTTGGTTTGTAAAGGCCGCCGCCGGACCCGCTTCTGCTGCCACTGCTGCCAGGAGCAAGGCGATTCTGTTGGACGACTTCATTCCTTCTAGGGCTGTCAAGCGAGTGTGTTTGTAAAGCAGAGAGGAAAACGAAGGTGGCGGTAGAAGAATGTGAATTTTTTGCTTCCCTCTATGTTTCTCTCGGGGATAGAAAAGACTCGATGTCTTGTGTGTAAGAAGATGAGGACTGGTGGGCGGAACGGCTGGTCCCTCCGCCCTCTTAAAAAGGAGTAAATCAGACGGAATACAAAGGGCAGCGTGGCACTCCTCCTTCAAATACTCAAGTCTAACCACGTCGCTAGTCGTTTAACCTTGGGATGACAAAGTTCGTGTTAAATGGTGTGGCCCTCCTTACTGTGAGTATTGCAGTCAACATCCTGGTTTGGCAGGCGGAAACACAGTCTCAAAAATATGGATGGCATGTAATGGGCGCCTTGGCATTGTTTGGAAACCTTCCCTCACCTATTCTGCGGGACAAACCTCGCATCTACCTAAGCACCAAAAGTCCGATTCAGTTCCTGTGAACCTTTTCATGACTCCATCCAAACCCGCGGTATCCCCCTGGAGTTTGTCATTGATTAGCACTTGGCGTATGGACTGGAGAAAGTCTAGAAGCCGCCATACTGCGTGAGAGATTGTACATTCTCAACCCGGACAAACCTTTTGTAGACACATCGGATTCGGGTGTGCATGTCACTCAAGACTTTGAGTGCTCAGAGGCACCTTCGAGATACTGGCGACTCTGATGCGGGTGGTCTTCCGTCCACTTTCAGAAACCATTCTGTACACATCCCACATAACACCTCATGTCATATATGAAGGTGCTCGTGGGACGTGAAACGCTCCTCAAGATGTTGGCATGGACAACTTTACCTTCTGTCCTAGTAAACAAAGCCATATACCTGATGAGCTCTAGCTCTGACGGTATGCAGGCCGCCCTTCAAGATTTCCAAACACCACTTGACGTTTGCACGAGTATTTGTCTGGGTTGTGGCGCCTTGCCGATTCATCTGAGCGAGAACAACACCATTCATAATCAAGGCGACACCAACTTGGTAGGACACTTTGGCACGTCAGACCCGGCGGCCCTCTCGCCCCGAGGGCGAGGAAATGGGGTCATTTCTTTAGAATGTTGTTGTACACTAGTACAGGTTTCAGTAGCGACTGTATCCCGCTTCGACTGTTTTCCTCCTCGCCTCCGATGAACTCCTCTGTTGCGGTCGCCGGAGATGAATCCATCTACATTCCAAAATTTCTGACCGAAGAAAGTGAACCTAAAGCCCTCCGTGTCTCTGAAGACGCAAAGAGGGAATCTCGTTTTTTTGTGAATGATGGACTCCCTCCTCGCGTTACGCCTTTGCTTGCTTCTCGCCGTTTCAAAAAAGTTCCCAATCCAACAATTCATGTCGAGCCAATTATGAATACAAAAGGCGGCATATTTGCCGCCGTATTATGCAAAGGTGACAAAGGTGTGCGAGAGCAAGGGCTCAGTCCTCAATGGCGTTCTCGTCGATTGGCTTCGTGCTGTTTGTCATGCCTGACTTGACGTTCCCACGGGCCTTCTCCTGACTCTCAACGAACCGATCCCAGTGCATGGGATCAAGTGCCCGAAGTCCCTCGCGGACTTGATCGCGGTCCTCGTTGAAGACGCGTATGATGCCCTTTCGCTCAACCTTTTGAGTCAAATCAGGGTCGTCGATTTCTTCAACCATCTGGTGGAGCATAGCTGTATGCTCAGGGTCGAGGCCAACTTCGAGTACACCGCTAAGCATGCCATAGTACTCGGGCTTGATAATTCCGGAACGAATCTTGTGGCCAGCTCTGTGCATTCTACCCTCCTCTTCAGCAAGGGCTTTCGAGGTGTGCGACAACGTCGAATTGGTGCGCGGCAGACCGGACCGAACTGACAGGCCGGTTTCGTCCTCGACATCGGACGGAATGCTATGCTGATCAGGGTCTTCCGTCGAGGATAGCGAGGTACCGAGCTTGTCACTCTGGCTGGGTAAGGTGGTCTCCGATGCCTCATCCGTGGACACACGAGTCTCGGGGAATTCATCTTCGAACCGTTTGATAATGTTGGCGAGTGTGACGTCAAGGAACATCAACTTGCGCAAGTTGTACTCATCTTCCTGCGGGTTGACTCTAGCCTTGGACAGCGCAGGCTGTAGCCGCTGGCGAATTTTGCGGGCACTGGCAAGTAGATGTTTGGACATATCCTTTGCCTTCCCTGGAGGCAATTTTGGCCGCGGGCTCGCAGGTACCGGGACACCATCTTCGAAATCCCGGATAAACTCGCCAGATTGCCTTCTTGATTCATCTCCCCTGTTCTTAAGACAGCAAGTAAGAGCCTTAACAACACCGGTGCCTCCAATAACGTAGTCATCGTCCGGCGCAGATTCATTGTCCGAGTCTTCTCTGAGAACATCGTGGCCGACGAGGTGTGCGAGGACATCGGGGTAAGGTGGGATTGGGCCGCCTGGCAATGAGTCCTGGGATTCAACCAGGACTGTAGAAATGACCGCGCTAATGTCGCCGATGGGGAAGCGTTCCATGTTCCGCAAGCAATAGGCAACCACTTGCTTAGCCAAAGCCTTGACAACCTCGCCAGAGTTGTCGCTAGGTACGTCGATGTCGACACACACAATAGTCTTGGAGACACGTGTGGCAGCCAGGAATGATGCATAGAGTGCGCAAGCTTCCTCCTGAGCATCCTCGGTCTTGGCGTCTGCAAGCTTGACGAGTTCTGGATTCTCCAGGAGACTGATGTGAGCAAGCATCTTAGCCTCAGGAAGAATTTCAGCAAGCGCAATTGCTTGCTCAGAGGTCATGGCGACATCGGCAAGATGAACACGTCGCAGTCCCTGTACCTTTGGTAGATACCTAGATGTTGTCAGCTTCTTAGTCTTGTTCAGTGAATCGGCGTTGCTTACTTGCGCAAAAGACCAATAGCACTGGGGTCCGATTTGCACAGATCCCGATTGTGAGAAAGGTCGATGAAGCGGAAGTCTTTGAGTTGCGCGAGTGCAGGGAAAATCTTGCATAGCGAGCCGGGCTTTAGGTTGCACTCAGCCAGACTGAGCGCCCACAAAGAATCCTTTTCTGATATCGCACTGGCAATGATATCAGTTTGGTCCCTAAGATCGTTGCCGCCCAAGTCAAGGCCTTCGCATCCGCTGTGGGATAGATATCTGGCAACATGCCTGAGCCCCTTTTCATCAATGTTGTTGTGAGCAAGGCCAAGTCGCTTTACACCACACTGAATGATACCGTCTATTACCACGCCGAGATCATCCGAATTAAGATTAGTCTCTCCGAGATTGAGTAGCTCCAATGTAGCGCCACCCAGTCGTTCGCCAATGGCCTTGGCAAACAGGGTTGCGCATATGTTCCGGGGTTGCTCATCATTGGAATTATGTCTGAGCAAGTGGTGGCCGTGCCCGTTTCCGTTTTGTAATGGCTGAGCAGGACGGGGGAATGATATCGTCGAAACGTCGAGGAATTTGAGCGTTCGGCAGAGGTAGATGAAGAGGAACATATGCTTCCAACCCTCGGGCCCAATCTTGTTGTTCTTGAGGACGAGCCGTTCGACAAAGCCGCCCTGCGTAGTGAGACCGTCTGGCTGCGTGTGTTTCCGCCTCTTTGAATCAGGCTTCTTTGCTGCCAAGAGACCGGCCAATATCACCCTGACGCCTTCATCTGTGAGGCCGCAATTCTCCAAGATAACCTCCTTGACAGGCACGACCGCCAAGTAATCGCCTAGAGTGATCAAGTCAGGCAGCTGCATCCAGTAACCCGTCAAATCCAACTTCTGCACCATGCCGATATCGGAAGAGCAATTCGAAGGGCTGTTCAGTTGTTCGGTGATCTTCTTGAGAATGGGCGTCTCTCTCAACTGGCAACAACGGCGATATATCCTCACGGGGTTTGTTGTGGGGGACGCTGTCGTCTTGGGCGTTGCGGCTGGGGTTATATCGCTGGAAGAGTCGCTGTCGTCAACGTGGATTTCCATGGGGATCGTGCCGTTGGCCTCAGCTTGTTTCCGCTTCTTCTCTTTCCTAGCTTTCCTCTCCTCTTCGCTTTTCTTCTTCTTCTCCTTCTTTTTGTTGTCCTTCTCCTTGTCCACAGGTGCAGCACTTGCACCGTTCGTGTCACCCTCCTTGGCCTTGACCGAGTCCGTTCCTTCCTTTTCCGGTTCCTTTGGTACGGTCTCGCCGGTTGTGTGGATGAGGCCATCGCGCTCCTTCTGCTGTTCAAGGCTTTTCGGGTGTTTTAGTGCCTCGCCCTCTCCCTTCTCCGTCATCTTCTTGGTTTTTGACTTCTCCAGTGGCTTTTTGAAGGGCACGTCTGTATCGACGTACTTGGGCATTGGGGCAATTTCGACATCAACACTGAATGCGACCCTCCGGAGTTTCGCCTGATGCAAGTCCGAAATCTGGCAACGTTCGCGGTTGCGGTCGACGTTCAGAACCTTCCGCTCTACCAGGCCGTGGGTCCCTCTCGTTCCCTGTCCTAAAACACCTCCAGACGAAGACAGCCGGCGGAAGACCCCCAGAAAGCCGGCCTGGCCGCGTCCGGGAGGTGCTGGGGTGTACGGCTGGTCGCCATCGTTTTTAGCGGCGTGTGCGAGCACGGCATTCTTTGCGGGAGTCACTTTCGGAGGCACTGGGCCAGAGTCCTTTGGCGGTGTGCTTTGTACTTGCTGGTATGCCTGGGCGGTTTTGCTGTCGGGGGAAGAGGAAAACTTGGAAGAGATATTGGAAAACCACGAGTTCCGGCGGGTTGGCGGAGTGCCGTTAGGCCCTGGTGATTTTTCGTTGGATGGGCTTCTTCCCAGAGGCGGCCTCGAGACTTGCATAGGTTTTGTGCCTTCTGTCGTCGCTTTTGCAGGGTCTATTGCGCCGTTGGCGGTGCCATTGGTCTGGCCATAGACCGCGGGTTGGCCGGTGGTCGGAGAGGGGAGTGGCGATGACTCTTTCGGTGCAGACGTCGAAGATCGTCGTATGGGTATTGATTTCGGCGGCCTGTCTGTGAGGCGCATTTTAGATTAGCAGGGGAAATGTTTGGTGGCTTGGGTATAGAAGTCGTGCGCGACATAGAGGCAAGAAAGAAGGGGGATAAAAGTGATGGGCTCTAGGATATATCCACAGGCCAGAAACGAGAGAGCGTCGATTCCGAGCTGCTTATCTGGGTCGGCTTGGCTTGGGATGCGGGTGCAGGGCAGCGTTGGCGAAGGCGATATGAGTGGTGAGTGGGTTACCGGGGCCCAGCGCGACAGCCAACTAGCTCCTCTGGAGAATGAGGTCAGATGGGACGTTTTTGCATACCTTTCGGAGAGCCACCGTGGGTCATCCAGCTAACATCTACTCCATGAACCTGCTCCATAACGATTGTCGCAGAGATGCTGTATAAGGGTAGAAGACGAATGAGAGACCAAAGGGCCGCCAACAGGTCCAGAAAAAAGAAGGAAAACAAGAGGCACACAGTCGACCGAGCAAACGAGGAGGAGGCGACGACGAGAAAGATGCTTGGCGGAGTAGAAGAAGGAGGGGGTGGTTATCGCTTCTTCTTTTTTGGCGCAACAGAAAGGAATAGAATTGTTGCGCGCCCAGACTTGGAGGGTGACTTTTTGCTTGATTTCTAAGAGGAGGCGGGAGCGGGAGGTGGAGGGTACTTCGAGGTTCGTGGCCCCGGTCCCTAGGATACACCACCTTGTATCCTTCCGGTAAGTTGATTCGGAGCAAGAGCGGACAGCTGCCTCGCTTTTCGATCCGTCTAGCTCAGGGAAAGCCGGGTTGATAGGCGTGTAGGGTGTGGAAGGGTGGGCGGGCGTGGGATGTTGGTTGAGAAGGTGGTGGCAGTACGCAGAGTCGAGGTGATCTTGGGCGATGACCAAGTACTTGGTAGACTCGCAGGTTCGGATACCTCACGTCAGGGTCCGGGTCCGGATGGGGGGATGGGGGGAGGGGGAGGGGAGAAGAGGGGACGGCAGGTATTCCTACCTAAAAGATTAGCAAAAACAGTGAGCGCAATGGGAAGCAGCCAAGGAGTCCGTACCTTGCCGTAAGGTTAGTAGGTTCTTCGAGGAAAGGCCGGACGTGGCAGCTTTAGCGGGGGGTTCATTAACCTTTTTAGAGGCGACGCATCTCGTCATTGGCAGGAGATGAGCGACGCCATGGCCCGGCCTGGTTGGATTTGGAGACACCACTTCACCGGAGTGGGCAGACGGGGCAGCTGGGGGGGCCAGCCGGTCTTGGCTGACCTTCGGCCTGAGAAAGCTGACCTGATCGATACCTTAGATCGATGGGTAAGATACGAATACACGGGGAAGTCACCAATGTCGTGCTTTCCTTGTCAATCTATCCATCACCAACAAGATGCCATGCTTTCCCTTTCTCGTCCTGACCAAGGTAGGTAGGTACCTTATACCCGCAAAAGCGACGTACAGAAGACAAAATAGTCTTCAACGGCATCCCAATACAAAGTCCGACCATCCCTGGAGACAAATACCGTCCCTCACCTGCCGTCCGCAAAGTACCTTATCCTGGCGCGATGGGAAGTCCCGCGTCAACTACCATCAGACGGACGGACATCTTGTGCCGCAATCTTCCCCAGTACATTTTTTCATGCAACACTGAAGGCCCTTTTTTTTTTTTTTGCCCTCAACCATCAATCTTCCCAGACTAACTTATTGCGTGCCTGAGTATTCCCGTCTTCCCGGCTCGCTCCATCCCGACCCCAGACTTCCCTCTCGTGGGCACTGCGAGCTTTGGAGATCAGATCCCCGGGTAAGAAACTCGGTCCGCCGCGTTGAGACGAGCAGCACGGTAGCTGGGCTGAGATAGGGCATCTGTCGCGGACACGCATACAACACACTCGATTGTTACTGCGTACGGATACTGCGCATGTCCGTGCCTCCTCACCGCACGCAGCAGGAACCTGTCTGACACGGCCAGAGGCACCGGCGTCGCGGTATTCGTGCCCCGTGCCTTAGTAGCCTGGCTCTGGTACCCATGTACTTGTAGGGAACCTCCGTCGCCCTATAGACTTATAGTCAGCAGGTGGCCTGTGGATTGCTTTGACTCTTCTCTGGTTGGATGCCACTGCCGTTTCTCTCCACTCGCCAGCGGGGATCTTGAACGTCAGGAAAGCGAAAGAGCAACCTGGAACTCTCTCAGTCAATTAGTCTCTCGCCGCCGGCCTCACCTCCGTCTGCTGCTCCAGCTGATTTCCCTGGCGTTCGTTGCCGTTGCCAAGGGCCTGGCAACCCCGACACAGTGACACCACACAGCCATCACTTTCCATTCGCAAGCGGGCGAACAGCCCTGCATCTTTCTGCAACCTGCCACTAGAACCGCACACTACTGCAGAGTCACAAGAGGACGTGGGCTGGACGCAGATGGGGGCTCTTATTAATCGCGCGCCTCTCAAGCACCAGACTGACCACACAGTTCACCACCGGGGCGGCGGCCTGCCAAGTTACTCAGACACTGGACTCGCTCGCCCAGCCTGCCAGCCAGCCATCAAGGCAAGCCGCCAAACGCCCATGGACAAGTCAGACCAAGCTTACACTTGCCTGTCGCAGCCGTAACCTTCAAACTCAAGGGCACACCGTTGGACACTATCACGCACGGCGGCGTCAATTCAGGGTGCAGATGCTCCCTCCATGTCTGCATTAATTCGGAAGAAAACGATCCACGAGCCCATGGGCATAAATACACAAGACGGGCCTCTGTTGTCCAAGGCGTGACCGGCTGATCGCCCCATGAGCAGGGCGAGATCACGCGGCCCTTACTCAACGGAGCTGCCGTTAGGGGTATCCCCTGCTTAACATTCAGCGGTGTCCCCTCGTCTAAAAGGGGCAGATAATGGACACCGCTACAAGGCCAATTATTCATCCACTCATGAATGGAACCCTGCGCGGCGGCAAGCAGCGCGATTGTGGGCTCTCGTCTCCTCAACTCCTTCTGCAACAGTGTGCCGTGTTCCCCAGCAGACCATTCCTTTTTTCACCAGATGAAATGATGTGCTCCGGGTCTGGGACAATGGTGACTGGGTGGAATATCCGCCTCTTACGACCCTCCCATCCCGCCGCTATGCACTCTTTGAGTCCGTTCATCCCGTAATTCCCGCGCGCGACGTGACGAAATACGACTCTGGGCTCATCGATGGCTCCCGAACGCACGCAGAGTTCCTCGAATTGCCGCACACCAGCAGTGTCTCCTCAATTTCATCTATGTCGCCATGCAAAAGTTTTCGGGCGCTTTGTGGGACCCAACGCTCGTCGACCCATTTCTGCCTCGCGGTAGCTGCAGAATTACCTACTGTGGAGTCAATGGGGGAAGCATAGAGGCTATAAACATCTCAGATCCAACATCTCTCTGGGAACATTCTGTACCCATATCGACATCATCGCCGGGTGGATGGAGCTACCGGTATAGCCTTTTGCGCCATCCCGGAACCCTCCGCGGCTCTAGCAATCTGTAGATGCCATCATCTCTTGATTCTCGTAAGGGATCGTCACTCTTCCCAATGCCGTCTTGCATGATCTGATATCATTGGTGCTTCCATGCGGGGTCTCATACCCTCCTTTTTTCCGCCTCGCCACTACACATGTCTGCCAATCTGCGTTACCGTGCGGCGGCTGACAGTCCATCGCCTGTCACGGCGTGCATCGAGTGCGACTAGCGAGCGATCAAGCATCGCAGTCGCGCCGCCGATACGGCACCACGTTACAGTAGCGCCGTCCTCCGCACACGTTTCGTTTGGCACATCGTCGAGGCGGTTACCTACGCTTACTAAGATTTGGTTGCTGAAACTGTTTTCTCACGTTCCTTCATTTGGATTACATTCGAGGGTGGTCAACAACTTTTGACGTCTGGCATTTGGGATATTCTTATTGAATTCTTCAGGAGTTTCTTTTCCTTCTCCCTTGACCATCATAATCCTCCTTCCGGATTTTTTTGCCTGATAACGCCCGAGAAGACTGCGAAAGTGTCATGCCAAAACGTCAAATGCCTGCCCAGATACCGAACCCCACCACACGTGTGAATGAATTAAACCGCTTGATATAGAGGGAAGAATTTACTCGGCGCGGTACGCAGCAATGCGCTCCTTGACCTTCTGCTCCTTCTCCTCCTTTGTGAGGCGCTTGGTCTTGTACTTCTTGGACTCGGCCTTCCACTCCTCCTTGGTCTTGGTGTTGGAGCGGTCAAGCTTCTTCCAGGGGTCCTCACGGATGGCGGCGTGAGCCTCAGTGTAGAGCTCCTCAAGACCGTCAGCCTCGACGTCATCGTCGATGTACTGCTGGAACTGGGACTTGTAGCGCTCCTCGTCGTCGTCGGCGAGGGTCTCCATGTACTCCGCGACGTGCTGGCCGAAGATGTAGTTCTTGAGAGTCTCGGCGTCGAGCTCCTTGGACTCGATGTCGTAACCGGGGAAGCGCTTCTCGGAGTGGGGGACGAGAATGCCACCGTCGGAGGCACCCTTCATGGCACCGAAGACACGGGCACCGGTGGAGGTGCGGTGAAGACCGACGTCGAGGTTGGCCTTGAAGGGACGGCGCTCGCCATCGTCGGTCTCGGCGGCCTCGGTGAGGGTGTACTCACCATCGGCCTCCTCGACACCGGTGAAGGTCTTGTCGAGGCCGAGCTTGGTGAGGGCACGGCGGGCGATCAGGAGACCGGTGGCGTAGGCGGCAGCCCAGTTGGTGAGACCGTGGGTGATGCCGTAGGCGGGGAGCTCGTGGGCGTAGGCGGCAACGAAGACCTTGTCGCCGGTGAGCTCGGAGGTGACGATTTGCATGATGATGTCCCGGTTGGTGAAGCGGACCACAAGACGGTACTTGGGGGCACCGTACTTGTTCTTGGCCTGGGTGATCAGGCGCTTGCGGGCATAGTAGTCGGTCTTGCCGGATCTTCTACGCTTGTACTTGGTCTGGAAGCGACTGGTTGGGAGGTCAGCGAACTCTGGTCTCGAACCCCAGGCTTGAAAGTCAAGGAAATATTTCAATGTGGTAACAACTAACCTGTAGTACGCGCTGTTCTTCACCAACTTGTGGAAAGGCTGTGCGAAAGATCCCGAGTCAGCAATTTGCGCTTCAGATGTGGCCTGTTGACCCGAAGCATCTTGCATTGACTCCTAAACCCAAGAGACATTTCTGTCTGCTGCTGGGGGCCATTTTGCCATTGCTGGCTGCAGAGTTTTTGTCGCAATTTTTTGTTCGGCCATTTTGCAGGCTGTGGACAAGCTGATGGTCATGTCTCAACTTACCATCTTGACGGTTGATGAGCGGGCGGTTGGCTCAACTTTTGTCGGTGTGGGTGGTTGTCAAAGGGTTGTCAGGGAAAAAAAAGTCCCAGGCACACTTGTCGCGATAATATTCCTCTGTGGGCTTTAGACAGCCCTAGAATGTGCGGCCCCACCTCCCCTCTCGATTGTCACTCCCAAAACAGGTCGGGGACGAGTCACGTGGGGATTAAACTTCGGCCGGGGACGAGCTGGTCCGTGCAAATGAGCTTACTCATCTCGAGTGACCGATTGAATGGAAGGTTTCCCTCTCTAAGTGCTTTGGGCCGAGGTCCACAGGCACAATCCGCCGAGGTGGGGACAGGCGTCTCCCCCAGGTTTCGGCACCTCCACGGCTTGCAACGCTGGTCCGAATTGTAGGTTACTACAAGTGCCTGAAGAGAATGTAAATCTGCCGTTTCGCGGAGCCATTTCTCGGAGCCATGCAGTCCTTGGAAGAATCCGATACCTTTCTGATTGATCACGTTCTCGAAGCCGTGGACGATATGACCGACTCTAAGCAACCCAAGGTGCTTTTGTTTGATATTGGTGGTGTGTGTGTAAGTACAATGGCCCATACCTGTAACTCATCACGGGCAATGTCTGAATTTGCATTACAAATACCTTGCCAAAACAAGATACCGGCCATTGTTCTGACTTGACAAGGTCGTTTCACCATTCCAATCCATCCTCAACTATGAGCTCAGCCTCGGTATTCCGCCAGGATGGGTTAACTACTCCATCTCCAAGACGAGTCCCACTGGCTTCTGGCACCGCCTTGAGACGGGTTCCATACCCATGGACAAGGCCTTCTTCGAGGGCTTCACCAAAGATCTTCACGACCAAGGCCGCTGGGAGGCATTCTACGCCGCCCAAATAGCCAAGAACGCATCTCTCCCCAAAGAGACGCCACCCCTCCCTACCGTCGATGCGAAGTACCTCTTCAACACCATGATGACCAACTCAATCCCCCCGGACCCGTGGATGTACCCGGCGCTGAAGAAGCTCAAGGCCAGTGGGAAGTATATTCTTGCCGCGCTGAGCAACACCGTCATCTTCCCCGAGGGCCATAAACTGCATAGAAAGGACTTCATGGACGACCCCGTTCGCAGCTTGTTTGACGTGTTCATCTCTTCGGCTCATGCTGGTTTGAGGAAGCCGGATCCGCGAATGTATCGTCTCGCGCTTGAGAGACTGAACGAGTACGCCGCTGAGAATGCGAGTTCTGAGAGAGGCCAGACCCTCAAGTGGAGTGAGGGCATCCAGCCACAGGATATCGTGTTCTTGGATGATATTGGCGAGAACCTAAAGGAGGCTAAGAAACAAGGATTCAACACTATCAAAGTCCATCTAGGCAGGGCCTATGAGGCGGTAGAAGAGCTCGAGAAAGTCACTGGACTAGCATTGGAGGGCGACCATCCAAAGGTCCCGGTGAAGCCGAATCTAAAGGGTAATGGGAAGGCGAAACTGTAGAGATACTATAATGAAGGGTTCTTATTAGATATTCGTGCCTAGACTCTCCGAGCTACATAGATATAAAGCGCATCCACGTTCACTACTTTGCCATCAACAGCAACCTTTTTCCATTCCTCATGAAACAGAGCCCTAACCTGATCCCTGAATTCGTCCGTTGGGAGACTGGTGACCAACGACGTGCTAGTTATATGATCAAACTGCTCGTCAATCTGGTCCATACCATAGTACGTGTCGCCCTGGCCAGAGATATCGTGCATCAGCTCGATGTTCTCCACCACGTACCCTGCACTTTCGAGAATCTTTGTAAAGGAGTTCTTGTCTGTGATCCAGGATCTGTTGCTGGGAAATCTTGACCGCAGGCGCTTGGCCGCCTTCTCCAGAATGAGGCCGATCTTGAAATTGTCCTCGTGCGTGATGTCGATGACTACCCTGCCTCCCGGCTTGAGGTAGTTGCGCCACTTCGCAACAACACCTTCTGGGTCGTCAAAGAGAACAAAGGCGCTGGAGCAAAGGATGGCGTCGAAGCTCTGGCCGTCGAGCTCCGGCAGGGTGTCCAATTTGGTGGCATCGTGGAGGAACAGACGAATGTTTGCACTAGGCTTGAGGCGCTCTTGCTTCTCCCTCGCTTTGTTGAGCATAGCTTCAGTAACGTCGAGACCGATGATCTCGCCCGTTTCGCCGACCTGTTCGGCAGCGGTGAAGACCTCGAGGCCGGTGCCGCAAGCCAGAATCAAGACGCGTTCGCCGGGTTGAATCTCAGCAACGGCCATGAAGCGCCTGGTCCAGTCGGGATGGAACGAGTTCTCATAGTTGTCTGCTCGCGCGGTGTACATGCGCTGAGATGAGGTTGCTTGTGTCTCAGAATCAAAGTCCATGCTGGTTGCTTCTGCGGAGTCAATGCGTTTTTTTGTTTTCTCTAAAACTACAAAGAATCGGCGCAACATTGAAGTTTTGGGTGATATGATGTCGGTGGCCATTTAACTAAAGTTAAGTCCTTAAAGTCCGGGCTTACTACTCCGTCGGCAACGGAATCCGATGATCTGCAATCGGCACAAGCGCTAGTTTCCTCCACGATGCACAAATATTGTTGGTCAATTGTGAGTCAGCGAAGTAATAGTGCTATAACTACGATCCCGACTCCCTTACACATAGGACTTTTTGGATATTCTACAAATTCCTCCAAGTGTCAGGGGCCCTTGGTCAGACCCAAGTGGTCGACTTGCTTCTTGTCGACAATCACGGAGCCAGACCCGGAACAAGACGACGGGATCAAGAAACATGGATTTTTCTTCACTCAATCAGTTGTCTTCCAGCTGCAATAACCTTTCCAAGTCATGATATTAAGCGGCCTTTTCCGCTCAGTCATGCAGAGGAGAGGTAATGTCTCGTTGTAACCAGGACACAGGAACTCAGATTTGCAAAACAAAACCTTCTAGCCATTAAGAGATAATGTCCCGAGGCAAGCGGTGAGAGGAACCGCCTGGCGTCACGCGTTACCTTACGCTGGGCCTGCTAGATGATCCGGTATGCCATCCCGTATGGACAGTGCATAGCTGCATGAGCCTCACTTGAGGAGAAGGGAATGGGGGAAGCAGGTGAAGAAGGCCAGAGTCAAGTATGCTCGAAGGTCCTCGCTATGCCTAATTTGACACAATAGATACCGCGATGTAAGTCTTATAGAGACCGGGGCTACCCAACTAGGCAAAAAAAACATTTTCACCTTGTCTTCCTCTTTCTACCCTTTGAGGCTAGGAAACAGATTAACAATCAGTTCAGATCAATTGGTCATGTCACTTGAATCTAAGAGAAAACAAATTTGTATAGTTGTTAGCGAAGAGAACGAAAAACTCCGCACCCCCCTTTCCCTCTACGGTGCCGTTTGCTCTGTATTCGCCAAGACTAGTCCGCCGGGAAGCAGCATATTGACATGTTCAAGAAGGTTCAGGGCTTCATCGTATCCCTCCATCAATACTGCACCCTCCGTTTGGAAAGTCCTGAGGCTGAAGGAAACCACGTTGCTGTAGATTCCTGTTGGTAAGGTTGGCACGAATATCCAGCTCGATGAACGCACTGGCTGTCTTGTCTAGGAGCTTCCAAGGAGGGTTATCTCCACTCATGTTGTTTGATGAGGTGCCCTCATCTTTTTGGTCTTTTCTCGCACTCGGTCATTCCACTACTAGAGCCAAACCAATAGAGTATCATTCTCTATTACAACAAGGCTTGCCTACACCAGGAGGCTCAATGGCATGATAGCCTGCCTCACTTCCGGGTTGTCTGTTGTTTAGCAGGCGCAGCCGCCCGAACAGGTATCAAAAGCCATCGCTGAAAACTCTTGGAACCGACAGCACAAAACAGATGCGGCTAGGTGCGTAGGCCGGTTACTCCGTACTCATCCAATAAGTAACAAGTCCACTGCTCATGTCTGGGGTTGCTAATCAGAGGACCTGCTCAACCAAGACACGGAAGAAAATAGAGACAAACTGTAACTTGTGCTGTTTTTGTGTCTCGGACAGCCCTGCAAATGGTAGGGTCTGTACGTGCTATATTCTTTGTTGCAGCCACCTCACTCGCCAATGCAGATATTCACTGTACTGTAGAAAACTGTCCCAGTAGCTGCTGGCGCTCGGATTCAGATCAGCTCTGGACGGCTCTGGACGTCATATTGCATTTCAACTCGTTCTATAGCCCTTCCATGAACAGCGCCGTGGCTTCTCGTCACTGCGAGGGCTGTGATGGAGAGGTGGTTCGCTGGCCCCTGATCCAGCCTTGTCGCCTCCATGCAAACGGGTGGTTTTATGTATATCTCAGAGGTTGGATCCCATTTTGATGAGTAGCAGCAACTTCTCTTCACATCGCTTCACTAGGAAAAAAAGTGACAATCTATCTCCAAGCAATCATGGTCCTCCTCGCCAAGACTAAATGGCTGAAAAGCACCAACGAGCTCCAAAGCTGCCTCGACATCAACTTCAGCTCTTGTTACAGATGTCAAGGCCACTCCAAAAACAAGCCAACCTGCGATAACCCCATCAACCAAGCGTCTCGATCAGAGCTTCCGTCCGTCGTGCTTTATATCATCAATAGTGGCAGCCTGGCGTCTGCCTCGAACCACCTCGAGCGACTCGCTAAGCTGGTGCTGTGCAAGAGGTCTCATCAAGCCCAGGCTACCGACCTGGCAACGCAATGGAGAAGTCGAATTCGCGTATACCTCGGTATCGGGAGAGATTCTGTCGCCTCCAAGAAGGAGTCGAAGGGTTCTGTGCGACCACACAACACAACGACTTCGTCACCTCAGCCGATGAGACGAGCCGCACAAGAGGACAGAACCCCAACTCCAACGACAGCTATCCTCCCAGAAGAGATCAACAAAAAGCTCGCCAGAAAACCTGGGGCACCTTGCCACTGCGAGATAGAACACCAAGGATTCTCCGAGGCTGAAATATCGAGGGCCAAGGCGGTAGAGGAGATGTTGCAGGCGTGGGCGAGGCTTCGAGCATTCGATGAGGAAAGCAAGGTTACGCCTCAGCTGTCGAGGAGGTTGATCGAGCTGGATTTGGATGATTCTACTTGCTGGGAGGTGTTCGTTTCAAAGGGCGTCAGAGGGCGTCAAACGACGATCAACGATGGCGATGATACAAGAGAAAGGAGTCGAAAAGAGTGATGATTGACATATTAGCTTCACTTTGATGAGAGTCAGGCGCGAAGATCCGGGATGTATAGCAGTGCAGATAGGAACAAAAGCAAACAGCTCCAATAACAACATTGCGAGGTTACAATCATGGGCACGTTATTCCCATTACTCCAGCGCCTGGTTCCAGGGCTCCCACGTCTGCTTTTCATAATTCGCCATACATTTAACCTTTTCAGGGGGATCAGCCTTCCAGTCCACCTTGAAGTCTTCGATTGCGTCCTCGTCTCCCACCCACTGACTGGTGTAGCCCTTTGCCGCTTTGATCTTCCTCGCCGCATCGTCGCTGTATTCCAAGTTGATGCTCGGCACCACCGCAATCTTGCCAAACCCGGCATTCCACATATCCTTGCAGAACAGCTGCGGCTCACCCTGATAACACTCGCCCGGCCTCGGCGCCCTGAAGCTCACGAGACGATCCAGCAGCGGCCTCGCCGTCATCGCCACGGCCCCGTTCCAGCACGAGAATACCTGCAGCGGCTTGTGGTCAAAGAACCGCCGCCGCGAGGTGTCCTCATTCCAAAAGATGTTCCACGCCGAGTTCCAGTTGCCGTCGGGCGGGATCTCGAAGAAGGAATCGCCCGCAATGGTGCGGCTGATCCACACGTCGTAAAAAGTCGGATCTGGGCCGACGTAGGTCCAGTCAAAGCCGCAGGTCATATCGGCGCCCAGGTACAGCCGCTGGTGCGCGAGCTCGAGGATGTCTTCCAGGCAAATGGCCACGTCGTTGAGGAAGAGGACCACGGCGTCGGCGGCGTACTTTGAGGGGTCGCCGGAGACAAGGGGCGCGAGGGCCATGTTGCGCAGTTTGGCGAGCTTGGAGATGCGGTCCCCCGCGCTGGGGTCGAGATCGCTCCGGGAGAAATGATACTCGGTGCCGAGCTTCTCAATCTCCGGGCGGAGGAGGTGGAGGATCTCGTAAGTACCGTCACCGGAGTTGCCTTCCACTATCGAGAGGACGCAGTTCTGCGGGCCCAGGAAGCGCAGGGCTTCGACGATGGAGCCCAGCAGCCGCGGAAGGAGGTGTGCCTTCTCGCGTATGTTTAGGGCGATGAAGAACTTGGATTTCTTGAGGGCAGTGATGGGTTTGAGGTACTGGTAGCGTGAGATGTCGGGGCGGGGGCAGTCCAGCCTGGGTAGAGATTTGTCGTCTGCGTCGAGGATTGCGTTGATGTATAGCGATGCGTTTCTAATGTGTTCCGGGTTGGCGTCCGGTAATGTGGAGCTGACGCCCACCGGCACCCGCGTCGGCGTCGGCGTGATCGCCGGCGATGCTGTGGCGGTGTTTGTCCGATTTCCCCCATTGTGTGGGGCTGCGCCGTGTGCTTCCTCGGTCGGGTTTGGCTTTCCTGAGTCAAGTGTCAGTCAATTAGTCTTCTTTCGACATCGGGTTTGACGAGGCAGGTGAGTTGTGTGGTGAAGGTCGTACGGAATGACTTGTCCGCGACGTCAAAGTATTCGCGCTCTGAGAACAGATCGTATGCGACCAGCAAGCTGATGATCAATAGGCACACTACGCTCGCCCGTGCGATAGTGCTGAGTCTCCGTCTCGGCATGGTCTGCTCACGAAGAATCGAGCACTACATTACTATCGTGATCCGAGAGGCGTAAAAAGCCAGGAGGGGGAAGGACATAAAGAAAAGGAAGGAGAGTTGGAATCATCAGCCTTGAGTGTGACAGAATGGATGTACGGGCAAACGCGTCTCTCCGACTTGGAACACACAGCAATGGGCATATCAAGAGGGGGGGCTTGTCCAACCTTGTGCCAATGCCATTGAGGACCACCAAGTAACCTAGATGCGCGCCCTGTCGGACGGTCGACATCCGTGGAGTCCGTTGGTCGGGGGCAGGAAGAGACGCAAAGTTTCTGAGCACATCGTCCCCCCGGTAAAAGAAATCAGGTGCAAGGGCTCTCTGCGGGCGCTTAACCACGCGATTCGCACACGCGGCCTGGTTGGTCCACTACAGTACACCATGATGAACCCGCAGCCAAGGCGGTTTCTCATGCGTTCTGGTCTTCATCATGTTGGTTCTGGATGTTCGGTCCATTGCGCCCATCTCCCTAACCTAATCTTCCAGTCTCACCCGGGGACTGTACCCGGAGCATACCTCCTTATATTTTCCTCTTCCCCTGGTCAGCTCTCCGCTGAGGCGCACACAGAAACTTGCTCCCTCACGATGCATGGGTGTTGTTGATAGATGCGCCCAGGACTCGATAATCATACGGTGATTCACCGAAGCCGAAGGGAAATGAGATACCAGGGTGTTACCAGATTGTCGGGACAGAACAGAACAAGTTCCCAGTGCCCTCCTTCTAAACTCTCGCCTGTTTGCAAGTTTGTCCTCGAATGGAGCCAAACACAATGGAGAAATATGCCAAGAAGACCGCCCACGAGCCTCGCGTCGAGTCTCTCTCCCACATGAAGGCCTACGTTGCCATGGCCATGAGCTGAGAAGGCTGGATCTCCTCGCCTCGGCGGTTTGCTGCGCTACGTATATAGTTTGGTTGTCTTCCTACCGCCACGTTTCCTGTCTAACATGCTTGCTGTTTATTTTTCTCGTTCTGCGGGCTGTCCGTCCTTTTCGTTGAATTTCGTTATGCGACAACGCGATATCTATCGTTCCGTACAGTTCCCTGCTCATTGCACCTCTACGATAATCTTTGGTCACACAAAATCCGCCTCAAGTTATTATAGCTACATCTTTCGCGTGGAACCGGCGTCAAACAATCAAACAATATAGCAAATCTCGGGTCACACTAGAATGCCATTTGGAGCTTCTCTACCAACCCTTCGATCAAGCCTGGAAAAGTACCAAACAAAAGAAGAACGGGAAAAGGCCATCCTGGGTGGTCTACCAAGAACTACAAACAGGAAAGTCCTGCTGTATCTCTTTCACTTTCGAGTGGCTTTGGTCGTCTCAGTGCCGCTTACCAGTATGCCCCGAGCTCTTCTCCTGTTTGTTCTTCTGTTTGCTCTGGGATGCCATCCCGTCCTAGCAATTAACCTCCGTTTTGCGCCCGTTTCACCGCCAAAGCCAACAAAGACTCCTTCGCGAAATGGGACCAATACCTGGGATGATGACCTCAAAAGACGCCAAGTCACTTCGATATTGACCGTGTGTGGATACTACGAAGGCGATCCGATAAAGTCGAGGACGGCCGACCCGGGCTACGGCTGCCGCGAGGACATAGACCGCGGGCTCTGGGGGTTTTGCCCCACGACCGTGATGCTTGCAAAGGATTGCGGACTAGCTGGCAACTGCGTCGACTCTCACTACTGCAGTCTTGGCTGCGGGAAGACGGGCATCACAGGCTTGACGACTTTTAGTTGGTGAGTTCTCTCTGTTGCAAGACACAACGGAAAAGAGTCTCACATAAATGAAATAGTGAAAAGGATCGATTCTGTTCTACCGTTATACTCGAAGGAGGGTTTGAAGGAGGCTTCTCATATATCGCATGTGGTGCCGCAGCTACAGTAGAGACTTTGCTCAAAGAACCAACAGTCGCCACTGTCCCCAGCATCACTGTCACTTCGGAGGCACCCTCGTCTGCTTCGGACACCACGATACGGTCGGTCGCATCTCCGTCCGCAACTCAAACGACTTTGCCACCAAGCCAGATAACTTCCCCGGGAGACGGAACCAAGTCGTCCGAGGGGTCCAGTAATACGGGCGCCATCGTCGGCGGCGTCGTTGGCGGCGTCGCAATCATCTGTGTCACTGTTATTGTTGCCATTTGCATTATGCGACGTAAGAAGCGAACCGGGGAACCTCAGGGGAAGCGGAGAAGCCGCTTCAGGTCATGGGGGAGGTCATCCTCAAAGCCTCCCAACTACGAACTGAGTGAAGCTCTTCAGACAGATACAAACGAGGACAACACAGAACATAACAAAATGTACGTCGGGCGGGGCCCGTCCGAAGTGTATGGATCAGAGCCTCGAAGAGACCCGCCTGCTCCTGTTGAGTTGCCGGGCGCCTCTCCCGTGGAGCTTCCGAGGAGTAGAGGTTAATGGATTTTACTTACAGGGTCGTGCCTATGCATACTCATAACAGAACCGAGCCACGAAGACAATGGTGAACCAGCAAAGTTAAGAAGATTGGATGAGCATACTCATACACTACGGCCTTTCTTTAATGAATCAATTCAAGTCCATACGAGAACCCGTAACATCTTAGACAGTACCCCAGGCGTCTTCAGATGACCCATGTCACCGGCGACCGCCATAAGACGTAATATGTAAACGCTTTTTGTGTATTCGTAGGTGCTAAACGACAACACGTAGCTATGCTATGAGTGGACGCAGTTTTCGCTGATTCATGATCATATCCTTTTTTGAAAATCCCAACCAATTCCTTCTCTCCTCGAGGAAGGGCTCAGTCGCCGACACAGAAACGCCGAACATTGGTAACGCTTATTTCTTCCTTCCCTCCATTTCCTTGGACCATACATATACGTCTGCACCTTGGCATCTCTTTCTATGTTCCATGTAGCTTTTGGTTGAGGCCCAACAGGAGCTGCTTCACCGAGTTCATCAAGTGCGACTCGATCCCGTCAAAGCCTGCTGCAGGAGACCCCGAAGTGCTGGCTTCCGTAGGCGGGGGTACTATGCTCGCGTCTGCCAGGCCCAACACTCGATCAATGGCAGACAGAGTGACTGCCTCAGCCTTGGCCTCGCCGATTCTGCTCTTGAGGGCATTCGACGAAACGTTCTTGAACCCAAGGAGGGAATTGAACACCTTGGAATCAAAGACATTGGTCGGCCCAGTGGGAGTGGGCGTACCCCCCGACCCGGGAGTGTTGCTTCGGGTAGAGAAACCGTCTAGGAGTTTCTGTATTCCCTTCATACAGATATCCTCCATGGTCTGGTTCTCTGTCGCGGCACTCTTGAGTCCCAGACAGCGGTTGAGGGCAGACATGACAATGGCCTCTGCCTTGGGGTTTTTGGCCTTCTTCAAGTTTTCAATGAGACCATTTTTGAGGCCATTGACAGCTGAGAGCAGCCTAGGCTGAATGACGGGACGTGGTTCGGATTGTGCTGCCGGTGGTGTGGGCGTAGGTCGAGCTTGCTGCGGCAGAGTAGCAGCGGGTATCTGTGGTAGTTGCGCTCCAGGGATGGCGGCTGGGGCAGGTTGTGTAATGGGCGTTGCTGAAGTTGGGGCGGCGCCATCTTCGGTCTTGACGGCGGTATGGGTTGGAGGTGGCCTCGAAGCGTACGGCGAACTGTACGTGGAAGGTTGCCCTGCGACACCTTGAGGCCGTGCGATGACAGCAGCCGCCCCATACCCAGGGAGTGTCGCTGGCGCCACTGGTTGTGAGGTCACTGGTGGAGCGGCCTGGGTAGGGTTTGGCGCCACTCCGGGAGGAGAGTACTGTGGCGTCCTGGCAGCTGTCTGCGCTTGCTGCCCGGCGTAGGCTTGCGCATGGTAGTTATGAGGAAGATGCTGATAGCCGGGCGGCATGTGACTCTGTTGCTGGGCGTACTGGGTGTACATTGGATGGTTGTAGTGACCGTAACCCGCACTCAAAGAACGATCTGGTGACGTAGCCTTGCGCTTCTTGCCGGCATCGAGTTCGACACCGGGCACCCTGGACCACAAGCCTGTCGTGTCGTCCTTCTTGAATGCTTCGTTGCCAATGAGGTTATGCCGCACACTAGACTCCCAGCCCTTCGTCTCCGTGTGGAAGTAGAACCAGGGGTATCTCTGAGTAATTCGCTTGTAAATCTGTTTGAGGGTGAGACCGTCAGGCCCTGCCGCGGTAAGGGTCTCGTCGATGAGCACTCCGTAATTCTTGTTTGGCTTCTGCAGCTGCTCCTCCGTGTAGTCCTCAATCTTGAGTTCGAGAGGCGGCGACTTTGGCCGGGCCTTCTTCTCCTTCTTCTCTCTAGCGCGTCGTTCGGCATCTGATCCTTCGGCACCGTCTTCACCCTTGGGTTTCCGAGGTTTGTATTTGCGCTTCTCTGGCCGATCTCCTCCTTCATCTGGCAGAGGGTGTTTCCGAGGGCGACCGACCTTCCTCTTGATAGGGGGCTCTCCGGGAGGAGGCTGTGGGACCGTCTTCTTGGCCATCTCCTGCTGGGCCTTCTTAAGCAGCCGCTGCTCTCGCTTGGACATGATTCCGTTCTTTGGTGGTCTGCCGGGTCCTCTCTTTTTGTTCAGGTAACCTAATGGAGCACCTCCCATCAGAAGATGCACCATCTCTTGGTCCTCTGCCTTGACCTCTGTAGTAGGCTGGATATCGTCTGCTTCCTCTCCATAATCCAGGGACATCTCTCCTTCGGCATCAGCTTCGGCGTCAGCATCAGCATCAACATCAACTTCGGCGTCTGCTTCAGCATCGGCCTCATCGTCAGCGTCCGCTTGTGCTCTTGCTGCTTCTGCTGCGTCAGCGGCTGCTTCTGCGGCTGCCTCTTCTGCGGCTGCTGCTGCTTCCGCCTTAGCTTCTGCCTCAGCCTCGGCCTTAGTGCTACTTTCAGCCTCGACTTCCTCTTCCTCTGCTTCGACATCGGACATGTCTACGTCCGATGGTGCTGGCGAGCTAAGTGAAGAATCGCTTGTGTCGTCGAGGCCGTTGCCATGTGAGGCTTCAAACTCGAAGCTCATCTCCTTTCCACCCGTCGCCTTCTTCTTGAGTTTCTCCTCCTCTTCTACATACTCTTCGGCGCCTGTCCGGCCTTCTGGAACACCATTAATCACGAAGCGGAAATCAACATCTTTGATCTGCAGGTGATCGCCACTCCGAAGCACGGCGACACCTTCCTTATGGTGCACCTCGTCGATGAAGAACCCGTTCTTGTGAAGTGGGATAGCCTCAAAGACCCCCTCTCTCTTATTGAATTGGATTTTGAGGTGCTCTCTTGAGATAGCCTTGGTTTTGCTGGCGATATCAGGTCCGGGCGAGTGGATGCCGACGAAAGGAACGTGATGAGGAGAGGGCCGTAATGAAGCCAGATCCACGGCTGCAGCACCTGGTGTGTGCGAGACATACTGCCGATTTGAGATGAGCTTCTCCTGTGACTCATCCTCTTCCTGCTTCTGCGATGATCCAGTGCTGGTCGTCTTGCGGCGCTTGGCCGGTCGCCCTTCTCCTTCACTGTCGGACTCGGGTCCCAGCATGCCTCCCTCTTCACTGACGTATGACTTGCTGAACTTTCCCGGGCCGTGTCTGATGGGAGAGGGAGGCGGAAGACCCTCGCGTTCGTATTCTTCCGCCTTCTTGCGATAGGCATCGTCGCGCTTCTGGTCTCTTCGCGCCTGGTTCAGGGCCTTCTGATCACGACCGATAATGACGGCATAAGTGGTCATCTGGAAGACACTGTCGGCGAATTCTATACGCGCGAATGACTCGAGGCCTTGTGTTGCTACGGCGAGGTTGTGCGTGCTTGCGACGAGCGGATCGTGACCGTTGCCCAAGGTGCTCGGGAGAGTGACCTGGGCTGGCGTGACGGTCGGAGGCGGTGATATCTGATTGGACATTTGATTGCCAGCCATATGCGCAAGAGCCATCATCATATAGGCATGGTCCATGTTCGGCATCGGGGTGTGTGGGAAGGACGAGGCGAAGGGGTCGGCGTCGACATGGACGGCTGAGGCCGGCTGCGACATTGTCGCGGGTGGAGCGCTGCCGGCGTCGGCATCGGCCATGAACGTATCGACGGCCCCAGAGGCGGTTTGTTGTTTGGTCGACGCGTCGTCGGTAGGTTGATGTGCGGTTATAGGTGCGTCGGCGCGCGATGGTTGCTGCTGGTCGGTAGCGGTGGTGGCAATGTGATTGTTGTCGTCGGGGTCAGGTCGGCCTGGTGTCGTCGTCTTGTGCTTGGGCGGCGGCGTGGTCGGAACGGGCGCCAGGCCATTTTGGCCGGCGTTGGACGAAGTCATCGCTGCTCTGTAGTCGCACAGATCAGCTCCTTCGCCATCGGCAAGCCAAGAGAGGCGATTAGGTCAGGCGCGACGAGGTTTGGACCTGAGGCAGGCTGCGATCGAGACGAGCGATGCCAAAAAAATCGGCGTTGAACAATTCAGTCCTGGCTGCGATTGACAGGGTCGACGGAAGCGTCTCTGATTGGCTGTCGGTGAGATTCACCGTGGACACTGAACAAACCAGCCTTCTTCCCCGCGCTGTACAAGTACTCAAGTACCTTTTTCCTTCCAATAGGAGGAAAGAGCCTCCAGTCCAGCCCGACCCTGCCCAGCCAGGTCCTTCCTTTTCAGCGTCTCCGTCGCTGCCTTCCTTCCCTCCTTTTGTTCATCCTTCATTCGGGAATTGAGTTGGAAAGCTCCTGCCCATGTGCCAACGCATGCTGCTTCCGTCTCACTCACATTCGCAACTGCAGCTTTCCACCACAACCCGATGGAACACGCTCCCCAATTCCATTGAAGATATGACTCATCCTGTCATGGACCCTTTCATGCAGCCAATTGCCTTTGTATGCGGGCTTCAATGCCTCAGCCTTGGACCCAGCGCTTTGGTTCGACCAGGTGTTGCGGTGAGCAGCAAGGCTGTTCACGATGCATCGTCGGTCAAGGTCCGAGAAAAAGCCTCATTCGACTCCTTGCAGAGCACTCAGAGGTATCCGTACGGAGAGAAAAGCATACCTCCCTTACCAGTAACCACCCTGCGTAGATCGCCCACTCTTTCCGACTTCAGTGCCCACTTCTCTCGGTCACGCCCCAATAGTAGGTCGTCTTTCGGTGAAGGAGATGCTCCAGTAGCCCCTCACCTCTGAGATCTCAAGGTAGTTGGTTTATCTCAAGAGGGTGTATGCTAGCAAATAATAGATACTGTAACTGTGTTTAATATAGATATGCCATGTGGACTATTTGGCCCTTGAATTGGATAGAAAAATGCGCAGGGTAGCCCCTCTCCTCGCTGTTCGTGATCCTTGGAAGGACGTTGTATACCACACGAACTCAACTTGAAAAGCAGATTGTTTATGAAGCCGCTATGGTAGAGGAGGATTTTGGTTTGGAATCCTCATTCCTTTCTCTCTTCCTGCCCATCGTGTAACCGTCTGTCATTGAGCAGACGTCGAACATGTCGCAAGTTCAAATGTTGGAGGTTTGACAAACGGCCGGCACCCGTGATATAAGGCAATTCTTCAAGAGGTGCAGTACGTATAAGGGCCGCATCTCAATACCTAGGAATTCATTTTGAGTGAGCCAAGCGGGCCAAGCGCCCATAAGCCCTACAGACTATTGCCGCACACATGGATAGATCGTTCTCCTCGACAAGTCGGGCGCGTCAAAATCAAAGAAGAAGCCGTATATCATCCTTTAAACCACTAACTCAGAAGCGGCGCTCGCTCACCAAATAGAGACCGGCCACGTCTAGATTCCCACCACTTCTGCGTCCTCTCCGAGACCCGGTACGCCCAAAAACAGAACATACCCGCAATGAAGCCAATAGCATCATTCCTAAACGCAAGGAGCCCGGCCGTAGTCATCAGCATGACGGTCCACCTCTCAGCCCTCTGGTCATCAGAAAGCGAGCGATGCTTCCGAACGATCCCCCCGCCGCCCTCGTTGCCGGCGGCGCTCTCCCACAGGTCAGAAGCCCCGTGGTTCAGACTGTGCCCGGCCTTGGCGAGCTCGAGGCCGGCGGCGATCACCATGACGCCCAGCAGGCTCTTTGGGTAGTGCGTAAGCAGGCCAATGAGGGAATTTCCAAAGAGGAGGCCCAGGACGATCTTGAAGAGGCCCAGAATGATGACACTCGCGCCGCTGCGCGCCCCAAAGCGGTACTGGGCGGCCAGCCCGCCCGCGCCGTGGCACACGGGCATGGCGCCCCACCAGGTGCCGACCAGATTCATAACGCCGACGCTGATGCCCATGGCGGTGACTGACGGCGTGGGTATGTCCGGCAGCAGGTCCGCCGCGAGAGCGCTCACTGCGATGACCGAGTTCAAGGTGGTGAGCGGGAGCTGGCCGATGGCCATGGACAACGGCTTGTACTTGAACCAGTCGAGGTTCCAGTGCACCAAGTGAGGGTGCCAGAGACTGGGAACCGGGAGGTAGGTGTGCGGGTCGTCGTGCGAAGTGATGATGGAGATGAACGCGAAGACGAGCGACAGGACAAAGATGTGCAGCGCATAGGGGAATCGCGGCAGCCCCTGGGTGAAGATGAGCACGAGGAAGGCGGCCAAGGCCCACAGCTTGTTGTCGAGGACGGGATGAGTCCAGTGAAGGTCCCTGAGCAGGCCGGAGCCGGCGGCCATGACGAGGGAGAGACCGGCGCCGAGCTGGATGCCCTTGACGACAGGGACGGGGACATTTCGCGTGACCCAGCGCAGCAAGCCTGTGAGACTCATGACTAGGACGGCCATACTGACCCACTGGCCTGCGGCCATGACGGTTCTGATGCCACCATATTCGGACCGTGATATGGCTGCCGCGGCGATGGCCTACTACAGTAGTCAGTATGCACAGCTGCTTCTTCGATATGGATATCTGAGCACTCGCCTTCATCGGCTGGACTGGAAGCGGGATGCCGAAGACGGCGCCGGTCACAACGTTAAAGATGCCCGAAAACACCAGCGTGCTATCGAGATAGATGGAGTTCTGGACGGCAAGGGCAATCATTAGAGGAAGAAGGGTTCCTAGATCACCAAGAGCGCCAGAGACCTCTGCGGCGGGTGAGCCGCGCAGGGTTGCGACATTATGTCGATGGACTCGTTTTAGATGACTGAGAACCGTCATGATGCGGGGGACTAGACGAGTTCCCGACTTGTGGGAAAAGTGGCAATGAAAGATTAAAGATACAACTATTAGAAAACTTGCAAAATGGTGGATTCACGCCAGAGATGTTAAATTCTGACTGTGATTTGAATGTCAAAATGTAGCCGATTTATCGTTTCGTTGGGCTATATGGTGGCTGGCGACGCCCTCGGGATGATATTGGCAGCATTACAGGTCAGCATCCCGTCCCGGGCGCGACGAGTCCCGACTATTGGTGGAGTTCGGAGGAAGGAACTCCTCGGCCGGAAGTTTCAGTTGGCGGTGATTGGTCGCTTGATCTTCAGTGCTGGGTGCCCCCGCCGTTGTACCCAGCCCATGGCCTGCCACGCCTGCCACCTTCAGCGCACCTTCAATCTTCAGGTAGGTACGGATATTGATGGGCCGACTTGCTTGAGTAAACATTTCGTCATAGACCGATTGAACGGGTCCGCCAATGATCTGATCCAGCGTCGCTGGACGACTACAATGAGAGAGATTACATAAGACAACCTACTGTTCATGTACACTACCTAGCCTAACGGTACCTAGTGAAAGCAGTGGAGAATTGTAGACAAGATGACTGAGCTGGCTGACGACCGACCGTGAAGTAGACGAGGTGACCGTCTAGCTACCTAGGACGGGCGCATGCGGGATATAAATGCTTGTTCCCAAGAGCCTGTTCTTGCGATAAGCAATAAGCGCCGGATTGGATCCATCCATGGGAGGAGGTTGGGCAAAGAATTACGGATAGAAGAAAGGAAAAGGCTCGTGCTGGGGCAGCGGAAGGGACGGCGGGCGGAATTCGGCCTGGACGGATGCTAAGGCTACCCATGTGTCTTACTGGGCGAGGAGACCCGGCCGGTGAATGCATCGCGTCTTGAAGCTCCGAGGAAACGAGTTGTTTACCTGAGCTTGACTTACCTTACAACAGTGATACAGTCTGGGCCCAAGGCGGGAAAGACGGGTGCGGGATGACTGATCAGGTGAGGGTTTGGCGGGGTGGCTGGGCCGCGGAACCAGCAGCTATCGGCCCTGACTAGGCGCGACGACCGATCCGATTGCGATGGGCTGGTTGGCGTGATACCTAGGTACTGTGGAATAAGGAAGTCGATGCAATGTGACGGACAAGGGAACAATGGGGCTTGCCTGTCAGCGGAGCACAAACGATGCAATCCCTTCCATTGCCATGTAACCCTCAGCTTGTCTCCCGGCGGGTGATGTCTTCTCTTTGTCCATCGTCCTCCTTTTTTCTCTCTCAGAGCTGGACTGATGTGCTATACTATTCGTACCTCGGGCTGGATAATGGAGTAAGCTAACCCCGCGTAGGTGCTGTGCTGATCTCCTTGCTTGGCCGAGGCTCAGTCAAATGGCCGATTCCGGCAGTTTCTTGGCCCAACTCAAAAAGGCTCATGGTCATGAATCAAGTGGCCTGGTTGCCAACCCTTTGCCAACCTACCCGCAGCAGCTTGGCCGGGCGCAGTCTGACAGCTCGAGGAGGGTAGGTCCGTAGGACTGACACAAGAAAGATTTTGCTGTGTATCCGTACGCCTCGCTACTCCAAGAGCCCTGGAGTTGAGGCCATCTCAGGCGCCGATACTGCCAAGGCTTGTCGACGTTGAGGCGAGGTGATTTGCCAAGGGTGCGCAAATTTCGAGCGCTTGGTAGCAGGGTACGAAGGAATAAACCTTTGTCGTACAAATGGAGAGACGACAATAACAAGAAAGAAAAATGGGACGGGACTGAGGTTACTAAGTGCATGTGCGGTCAAGTTTCAACAGAGGTGAGCATGGCAAGGGCATCCTTCGGTCGGACAGGTACGCTTCGTCTGCTGTGGTATTCCCGAGAAATCTCCCCCAGCGAAACTTTGGAAAATCGGTGAGGGCGGAAGACCAGACCAACACTACGGAAGGAATTACTACGCAACAAACCAACCGTCATTTTCGTCATGAAGGGGCGGTGGCGGCAGCGACTAACCCAAGCAGAGTCGGGACTCGGACGAGCCCAAGTGATGACAGAGAGCTTGAAAGAGTCTGTCTTGTAGTCAGGATTGTGTGGTTACTGTGGTGTTGCTGGTGTGTCTGGTGTGTCTGGTGTGTCTGGTACATGCAAACGACCTCGAGAGCGCCTACGGCCACGAGGTGTTGCAGCGATAACGTAAGGTACAGTCTACAGAAGCAGCCCACAACCCGGCGGAGGTCTATGAACCGGTGGCCCTGCGAACCATCGGAAGAGAGTGCCAGGGCCTGATCCCGGCTCCGGCCCCATGAGATGACCCATCTCATCCAATGGTCCGCCCAGTCTGGCAGACTCTGTGCGCAACAAGCAGCGAAGCACCAAACTCAGGACGGACTATTTCGTCTGGAAGGGGATCATGGTCATGACTTGTGACTTTTGGTGACGATGGGATCCCAAAGTGGGTAAGAAGAGTAAGGTAGTCTGATGTCGGTAAGCGGTAGGAAATTCCCGCAGCGAGAAGGAAAGAGAGTAAACAGCAAAGGAGTTGGGGACCAACAGAGCAAAGACGGGCTGCAAGTGCTGTGTCGGGCGAGGTTGTGTAGGTGGTGGTGACAGGGTACCTGGAGCGATCAGGCGTGGATTCTCCACAACGGATGCCTGTGGTGACCCTGCCGTGTTCCCGGCATCCATGGAGACAAGCTTTTTCTGTTAGCTTGCTCGCTTGGCGCCATTCTCTCTGCCACTAACAGCGCACCGCGACCGCCGATGCCACCTCACGAGTACACCTCGCGACTTGCCAAAGCGCCCAGCAGAGATGACTCTGCCAAGTACCACGACCTGTAAAGATACTTTTCGTCACTTTTCCATCGTCGAGCTTTTTGAGGAAAGCCTGAGACTGACAGGTGCGTTGCCATTGGATCTCTCCTTCTTATTGCTTGCTTCCTGCTTGCGTGCCTTCCTGCTTGCCCATCAGCCGACTATTTGAAGAGCTATTTACTACCTCGCCCACCCTCTCCATCCTCCCGTCCCTACCAACTTCCGGCTCGACCTCTTGATTCACTTTCCCCCCTCCTCCAAAACAGTCACTCGACGATTCCGTAATCAAGCAATCGCTCCCCCAGTTGATTCCCGCCTCCTCTCATAAGGTAATTAGGCTTGTGCTCTCCGCCTCCCCGCGAGCCTTAGAAGCCAAGCTTGGTTTCATTGACGCTGACAAACTGCGCTTTAGGTAGTCGGCCACCCCTCCCCCCAGTCACTTCGATCGAGCCACCAGGTTTCTTTCCCCCACCTCACTCACATCGTCCGACTCGGAACTCTCAGTCTACCAAAGGTAAACATCTCCAATTTCCAATCGCCCAAGTCTCAATTCAGCTATCAAGACTGCTCTCGCCTGTCAATTGGCCTTTTGCGACAACCCAGACGAGACTTGCGCCCAGTATCCAAAAATCACAGGGCACCGTGAAGAAAAACATGTGGATATCTTCCCTAGACGCCAACGCCGGATACCCCGGGAATGACGATGAGCACATCCAAGCTCCCTGGCTCTAAAAAAGAAAGAGAGGCGGTCGTCTCCACAAAATGCCTCAATAGGACAAGCTCCCTCAAGCCTTGTTCTGGTGTTTGTTTTTTCTTCCGACCCTGGCCGCATTGGGCAAGGCATCACTCATCGCAAACAGTCGCCGCGAGCCTTCCACTCATACTTATTAACTCACTTGCCCGTCATCGCTGCCTTCTATCTGATTTTCCCTTCTTACCTTGCCCTCTAATTTTCAAACCGTCGTCCGCTGACACGTCTTCTCTTCCTCCCACAGCCGATTCTCCGCTCAACCCTCCCATCAATATGCCTGCCATCAACACCATCGTCGCCCGCGACGCCGTCCACCAGCTCGCCAAGCGCAAGAACTGGGCCCAGAAAGAGGCCGGTGTCGTGGTCGTCTTCTGTATCGTCTTCATCGTGGCCCTCGGAATCTCTGGGCTCTTGATCTCCAAGTGCCTCGCCAGGCGCAAGGCAGAGAGACAAGCCAAGGAGTCCCAGGCTGCTTAAACCTACTTAATCTCATCATGGCCAAGGGGAGCGGAGCTGGGAAGTAATGAAACAAACTTCAAGATGGACGAAACGCTTTCAAGTCGGTAGCAGTACGGCGCTCTCTTGTTCACTTACACATACGTACACATGCGAAAGAGAGAGTCGCGGCTGGCCACATACGGAGGAGCCAGCATCATCTGTCGACAGCAATCATGTTCACATCACACACCTAACGGATCACGGATATTCGGCAACCGATTATTGTTTTCGATTCTCAAAATGTCGCCATCGTCTGCAGGATTGGGGTGTTACGAAAGGCTTGTGTTCCAAGAGAAGACATCCGGGCTGTATATAGCAGCATCACGACTACACGGGGGTTTAAGGCGCTAGGAGGCGGCTATATGTCAATTACGACGCCGCAGATACCTATTTCACACCAATTTTAATGATACCTATTTCACGTTGCGCTAAGCCAGTCCTTCGCTTCTCGCCCATTGTTGACATTTTCTGTTTACAGGATTGTTTTTTCTTTTTTCCTTTTTCAAAGCTTTTCCTTTTAGTAACACAGGCATTCCTTGAACGCTGAAAATTGGGCCTGTTCATATCCCACTTTTCTGATCGGATCCAGTTTTTGTTTGGAAGAAACAATCCCAACTCCGCTGGTCATCTTTGCCAGCGCAAGCCGCGATTAAACTCGGACATCAGATGGCATGATGTTAGCATACGACTGACACACCTTTTTGTCGGTCCAGGCAACAGACCCCGTCGCAGAAAATCAGACCGAAGAGACTTGCCATCGATTGCGGCATGTCCCTGCTGCATGCGGCTAGCCACACGTGGGTGTCGACCACTTTTTAGACGAGACACCTCTTTTGTGTCTTGGTCCTTGTTAGTAGCGAGAGCAATTCTCAGAAGCGCATCTAGCTGGCTAGGTATTTATCTGACATGCGTCGCGCTTACAGGCTTCCCACCGGAAGGATTGGTTATCTGACATGCCTGGACAGGTCGCCGGGTTTTCATCTGCTAGTGCTGGCGCGTGGATGCACACCAGTTGCCTAACAGCCACAAACCCGGGATACCGACTTTTTATCCCGGTCCGGGTTAGTGAGCTCGAGTTCATCCGCGATGACGACCTCGCTTTGTGGTAGAATGCTCAGTTCTGCTACTCTAAGAGCGCCTTATCGAGTCGTATATATGGCCATGCACTTTGCTTCGAGATTTTCCCGGGCCTTGTCGTCCCTCCTTTCTATGAATCTCGATGCTACACGATTTCAGTAAAGGAGTCTCCAGGACACGCCTCGCTTCGCCGCCTCTCTCCTTCTAGTAGTTGAACCAAGAGTGTGTCAGACCACAACTCCTTATAATTTATTTGGACTTGGACAGGGGTCAACCTCGTCATGGACACATTACCACCGCCCCCGAGACCCGATAGCCCTCCGCGCCGGCTACGGGCCTGCGAGCCGTGCACCCGGGCCAAGGCCCGCTGCCATTTTCGCGAGGAGAACGCCCGCCGGCACCTGTGCGATCGGTACGTCGTCAAACTGACTTGAGATGAGCGGGCTCCGTCCCGAAAAAATAAATTCGTAGAGTTGTTACCTCTCAAAAGTGTACACGGGACTGACGTGATGCGAACGGGTAGATGCGAACGACTCAATGTTGACTGCTCTGCGAAGACGAAGGGTGTCAGGAAGACACGGCAAATCAAGCCTCTGGTGAAGTAAGTACCTTGTTTAATTCCATGAGTCCACCCCCCTTTGGTGGTCAGTCATTAGTAGACTCTTGAGAATAGCTGCATGAGGAGGAATCAAGGGCCGCGGGTCCAGAGCTAGACTGACGAGAGAAACACAGCCGCATCGCAACACTAGAAAAGCAAATCGCCCACCTCGTCACGCCAGAAAAATCCCCAGCGGACTCGACCCCGAACGACGCGAGGGCAACACCCTCGACATCTCCGCCTCCTTGTCACGCCCGCCGCAATGAACCTCACTCAACAGCAGCCCTCATTCACCGGCCCCCAGCAGGACCCATAACCCACCTCTCCTCGTCCAGCGTAACGACAACAATAACACCGCCCCTAGGTCTAACCTGGTCCCAAGCCGCCAATATCCTCGCCGACTTCCGTGCAAACTTTGTCCCCAATTTCCCCTTTGTCCAGATTGACGGGCCCGCCGCGGCAACGGGATCCCCGCAGAGGCTCGCGCGCGACAAGCCGTTCCTCTTCAGGGCAATCATGCTCGTCGCCGCGCCTGTGTCCAAGTCGAGGGCCGAGGTGATGCACCGCGAGGTGCTGGCGGACATGGGGAGACGGCTGCTGCTCGAGGAGGAGGGGGGCTTGGATTTGTTGCAGGGGATGTTGGTTGTCATCATGTGGTTCGTAGGCCCCCTTCTTTGTGTACTACCATTCATAAACTCAAGCCATGTTGTCTCATTTATTGTTGGCTTGAATGCACGAATGATTCGAGACCATCAAACGCTCACAAAGTGCGCCGAAAAAAACACAGGGCCGAGTGTAAGTACTGGTTTGATAAGCAAATCACGCGACTAGTCTACGCAGCTCTGGGCTACGCTCACAGCCTGGGCATCACGAAACCCCCGCGCTCGCTCCTGCAGTCGACCCGTCTCAGATCACACTACTACCCCGAGGAGCGGCAGCCCGAGGACTGCTTCTCCATGAAAGCATCCTTCAACATGACGGAGCACCACACCCTCGAGGAACAGCGCACGTTCCTGGGTCTCTTTTGCGTCGTGACGGCCAACTGCACGCAGTTCTCCCGGAGACAGAATCCCCTCCTCCCAAGTCTATGGGAGTCTTCTGGGGGGGGCCGGGACCAAGGTATTCGGGGGCCGCACCAGCTCATGAGCAGGGAAGGAGGACTGGCGTATCTAGACGTCTGCTGCGAGATCCTCACGGCGTCCGGGACGGTGGAGGACCGGATGGCGGCAAGGATGTTCAAGATGGCTGCTACCTCTGCGCAGATCACCGACGGCTTCGGGCCCGTGTTGGAGTGTGGACGGGGCTTGGGCATGGGGGTCGGGTTCGAGGAGGAGGCTGGGCGGATTCAGGCGGGTGTTGAAGGTGTTTTGGAGGGTCTTGATGCGCGGGATCCCTATTATGGTGAGTGAGTCCCTTGTCCATTCTCTTCCCAATTCATGGAAGGTGTCATAAAAAACGAAAACACCAGAGAAAAGGGGTAGAAGAAGAATGGAAAAAAGACTAACACATCAATTTCTTTTTGTTAGCATACCTCCGCCTACAGCACCTAGCGCTCCTAGTCCAGCTCTACGAACCAGCAACCAAACCCTCCTTCTCATCATCATCGTCATCACAACCAACACCCCCCCAATACTCGTCCTTCCAGAGCATAGCCCACCGACGAGTAACCTACCTCCAAGCAGCCCTCTCCGCAGCGCGCTCCTACTTTGACGCCGTCCTCGCCTTGCCCCCCGAAGCATACCTCTACCACACCTCGGTAGACACGGGCCTATCGCAGGGCGCCCTCGCCGTGACGACGCGGCTGCTGGTTCTGACCGGCGTCGAGGGGTGGGATCTCAAGCGCGCGAGGGACTCGTTCGGGTTCGCCGAGACGTGCGACAATCTCGCTGCGTTTCTCAGACGGGTTCTGCAGGCCGGGAGAGAGAGGGTGGAGAGGCTCAAGGAGGAGACGTGGGTGAGAAATAGCGGTAGGGGCCATGCCACTGCTGGGTTCGACGGCTGGGAGGAGGCCAACGGGGGCGAGTTTGACGTTAGGGAGTCCTCGTGCGAGGACTTGATCGGGAAGATGGGGTGGATCAAGGAGTGGTACCAGACTCGCGTCCAAACGGAGGAGAGCGGCATGACTGCTGGCGGTGTTGGGAGGGAAGCGGTAAATAAGGATTTGATGGAGGAGATTGCAAGGATTTGGCAATGGCCTGCGGACACGGCAAGTGTGCCTATCTTTAGCGGTTTGATCAACCCATTTGACATCTGTTACGAGGGTACTTGACGAGACCAAGATACACTTCATAAATGGTAGCTGAGCAATCTCGTATTAGAGCACAGAATTGTATTCACCGTGCCATGTCTATCTATGTAGAGTAATATAGAAACACAGAATCTGGGTATGCCCCGGGTTTCATCCGTTCGCTTGTCGTTGCGCCATAGTTATAAAAAAGAAAAAAAAAGTCAGTTGGTACAGTCTATCGTAGCATACGGTCGGTCTACCATCCCCGTTCCTCGGATTTAAGCCATCTTCGGATGGCCCTCAGGAGGTCGTCTGTCTCAGGCGCGCATGGCCAAGTTGAACTTGTAATTATTGCTTCCCTTTCACACAGCCGATCAATCAACGTGGCTGCCTTACTCAGAGGAAATCCCATGCAATCATCATGGGTAGCGCCACCAACAGGAAGAAGCAAGCCATGAGAGCTGGGATGATGGGTGGCACAGACTCAGCTGCTTCCTCGAGGAAGAAGAACAAGTCGGCTATCGGTACAAGAACGACTCTACGAAGCAGGTCGAGGGGGCTCCGTCCACCGCGACAGCACCGGCAGCGGGTCCAGAAGCTGTGACGGTAGGTAGCGTCGCCGTGTTTTGGTGCTGAGAGGGCGCTCCGCACATCGGCGCTTAGGTCTGGTAGTGACCGGGAAGACGGACGGCCTTTTGATTTTCTTGTCAGCAAGAGAATTCATGATAGTCCTCGTGAAACGGAATGGGTGAAATGGCAGAGCATGCGATGAAGATTAGGTGATGAGCGGGTTAAGTGGGTGGATGTGATGGTGGGGAAATCCATGGGTGTAAAGTAAGGTACGTGAAGGAAATAAGTGGAGGGCCGGAAAATAGGAGGAGATGCCGAGAATGTGGAATTAGGCAAGTGGGTAGGGTTGGATGCCGGAGACTCACCGAGTGTTGTCCGGGGCGGCAGCGGCGACCGGGCGCCGGAGGCCGGCAGAGGAGACCGGCTGCCGTCGGGCGGGATTTCCTGGGTCCGGCCCTTGGTTCTGGCGTAGTAGGCTAGCTCGCTGTTAGATACCAAGATGAACACACGATAGAGAGCCACGGGAGGAGATGGCGGTGAGAAGACGCACGCATTTTCTACTATCTCCTATAGGCAGAGGTTGTCCTGCTAACGGACTCGGAGGTACCGGGCGAGGGAGACTTTCCGTGATGAGTTTGGACGCTCTTGTTGGCCCCGGTCGGCTTGTGTTCAATCGCAAGAGCCGGGACGCAGATGTTTGTTGATGCCAGCGTTGAAGGGCTGGCATTCCTCAATAAATGGCGAGAGATTGAGCGGGGAAAGGAATGTTGCAAGCGGAATTGCTTTGTCAGTTTAGCTTAAGGTAGCCCCCCTTTGGCCTCCCCCTCGTTTTCTGTTTCCTGTATCCGTACGGGATGGAGGGAAAACGTGCTGTGCTGGTGCGAGCCAGATTCCGAGTCGACTGGTAAAAATCTGAATTGGGAGACTGCCTCGCAACGTCGGGCTAAATGAGCGAGCGAGTTGGGATGCCAATGGTGCTATGCGGATGCCAAGACCAAGGGTCTCGGCCGGGTATTGTGACTGATGGAGGTTGAAAAGTTAATGCAGTGGGCCGGCGGTGCACGAGATGCAACCAAGTTTCTCTGCGTGTAGATGGCAGAAAAAACGAATGAGGCAGGTGATGCAGCTGATGCAGCTGATGCAGAGATCAACAGCCCGCTGCAGCGTGAGGTATCCGTACTTGCCAGCGACGAAATAATTGTGGATAGGAAAGGGAAACGAGGTGAGAGGCAAATTGGTGGACTACCTTAGTCCCTTGGGTGCTTAAATTAAGGTAAAGTAAGGTAGGCGTGACGGAGAACAACGGGAAGAGAGAAGCCACGGGCGATGCTTGATGCCAAGAAATCAAAACAGAAGGCCAACGAACGGTGACTGCGCGACTGCGCGACCCGCACAGATGCCGCTGCAAGCGTCGAAGGGTTGATCTGTTCCTTCTGCGTTGCCCTGGGTTTTCTGTGCTACGTGGTGCTGTGCGGTGCGTTGCCCTGGGTGCTTTGCTGTGCGGTGCAGCCTGTGCTGTGCTGTGCTGTGCTGTATAATCTTTTTTAGAGTTTGGCACCACAATAAGGATACAAATGTACGGATACCCCAAGCATCATTCGCCCGCTGCCTTCCCCTGTCGTCGTCCGTGGTTGTTGATTGATTGAGGTCCTTGGCGTGGAGGGGAGAGGTGAGGATAAGCCACAATCCTTAGTCCGCGTGAGCACAGGAACGGGTAGGATGGGCGGCGAGGCTGGCTGGTGATCACCTCAGGCTAAGAGGATATTAACCAAGGAATCTCTCAGAGCTCCTGCTACAGCCTACCTCTAGCAACCGAAAAGGGGGGCGGATCGGTGTTAGGGCATCTGCCTCTTCGCCGAGAATCCTGCCAGTTGACCAAATCATGACTGACTGGGTCGGGTGAGATCCCATCAGGACTGAAGGAAACCTTCAAGTTTGGGGACGTTTTGCACAGCCTCCTTTTCTCGAACGCCGTCGATTGCCGGCAACCACCTTGTCGTCGCTGACGGGCGCGTGCGATTAATGCCGCCCAAATTTGCGCCTCATGCTGGGGGGTCGGTCCCAAGACTCCAACGATGAGTGAGCAGTGAGCACAGGCCTCGAGGTAAATACTAAACCGCCAAGACGAAAGCATAGTCTCAGTTGTGACGACTGAGTTGCAGAGTTGTATATCCGTATACATCAATGTACAAGAGATGATGTTGCCGTACCAAAGTGGTAATTACCTGAAGCAAGCGCTTCGCTCAATCATTTGAAACTCCACGTCCCGAAAAAGAAAAAGAAAAAGTGCACGTTTGAGCTGCCGCTTTCCATACCTTATCCAACGCCAAAATATAATACCTCCACCTTGTATCCGTACTCGTGTCAAAAGACCCCAGAGGCCCAGAAAAGTCAACAAGCCAGCACTTTCGCTTACAACCATGTATTCCTCGTGCTCAGCCTCCTGTAACTGCTCCGCTCCCGCCCATGGTACGCCGCATCAGCCGTCATATCCTGCTTGGAATACTTGCCGCGCCACGGCCTATCGCTAGCTTCCTCGAAGAAGTAGTGGTTCGACCCGCTCGTGTAAGCAACTCGCCACGGCACCACCAGGTCCCTCTTTGCAGGTCCGCCACCGCAACTACCTTTGAGCTGTTCGCTGGGCGGCGAGTTGACCGCCAGCGCGAACAGGTTCTGCGGCTCCGTAAAATCCGTCACCAGGCCGGAGCAGGAGAGGAGGTAGGCGAGGCAGATGACGTTGATGACGAAGACGAGGGCGAGGACGAGGTAGAAGCATTTTTGCCACTCGGCGCTGTGGCCCGAGGTGTACTCCTGCGTGCGGATCGATGCGTTGAAGGGATCCAGACTCCCCGGTGCGCCGAGCTGTATCTTTTCATGGCGCCAGTAGTGTTCAAAGGGGGTGTTGAGGCTGCCGATGATGAGGGTTGACGAGGCGTAGACGGCGAGGGCTTCGGCCATCGAGGGGAGGAGAGGGTTGAGCTGTGGCTCTTGGAGAACGAACTGGGAGAGGATACGGGCGTTGGAGGCGTTGTTGTTTTGAGCTCCGCCGTTGAGGTCCATCGACAGACGCCACTGATCCGCAATGTTCTATGGCAGGGGAACCAGTGAGTAAGTAGGTGACAGAGAAAAGGGCATTGGGGGTTCCTCACCTTCCAGTCCGTCACGGGGGTGGATTCGGTGACTTCGGTGTGGACATTGGTGTAGCTGTCCGTATCGCCGCTGTCGTCGCAGTGTGCCTGCATATGCGCTCCTGCAGTGCCAGAGATGTTGAAGTGGGTTGAGCAACTGGGTGACACCCATGATCTCATTTCACAAAGGGTATAATTCGCTATGAATACCGATTTAGTGAGGATGTAAATAGCGTCACTCACTGCCGATGTGTTGGTTATAATGTTGAAGTCCGAAGGATACTTTGGATAGCTATTAGTCCTTGCCTCGTAGATACGCCCATCGGGGTCACTTACAAGCTGGAACACTGGCGGTCGCCGCCCATAGTCCTTACCCCAGCGGAAAACTCCATCCACCGACGTTCGATTCAGCCACTCCGTTTCCGATACGCCAGGAACGTATCGCTCCCAGTCCTGGGGTCCGATTTTCTGTCCTGGGATTGGCGTGTCGGTGGAGGAGATCCTGCCTAGAGGCCATTCCGTATAAACCAGTGGCGCCAGTTCCTCGGGAGACATGTTGACACACATAACGTTCAGCGCGGGCGAGACCACGCTGGCTCTGATGCCGTACTCGCCGACACCCGACAAATCATTCGGCTGGAGAATCTTGTTGACGGGATTCGTGGCTGCATCATAGACGCTGGGGTGAGGCATTGCGAGGGTCACGTTGTTGATTATCCTGCCGAATCGCCCGTAATTCTCAGTCGTGTTGCTGTATTTTGCATCGATCCAGGCAGAGGTCAGCGTTGTGTTATCATACAACAGCGCCGTTCCCACTGGACGGTGTACAACATCAACGGTGGCACTTGTACCATTATGATTGATGGCGTCCCAGTCACCCAAGAATGAGACCAAGTTGCGATACGCTTAAGAGGTTGTCAGCACGTCGCTTGATAGCAAGGCCACATTTGGTAGATGCGTACATTGACCAGCATACTGCACTTCCAGGCAAGCGTTTCCAGCAGTGTCAACACCCAATGGGTCACTATCTCGCAATGGCGTCGGACAGCTTTCACGCGCAAAAGGTGGGTTCATGTAGGACGCCAGAACATAGCCGCTCAACGTCTTGGTCTCCCAGTTGCCAAACTTGAGCTTGGGGGTGATCATGGCGTCTGATGCGGTCGTATAGAAAGTTGAAGCAATGGTGGCAACGAGGGACACTACTCCGAGAAGGGTCATGCCGGCATACGGCAGCGTCTCCCAGTGCGTAATGAGAAATCCAGGTTGCTGTGATACATTAGACTTGTCCGGCAGCAAGAGACGACCTTGACTTACAATGACCCAGTTTCTCATTGTCATCTCAGCGAGGGTCATACCCTCGGACCTTCTTACGAAAGCGCGACGCGTCAATACCTGACCGATAAAGGTAACAAAAACCGTCACGAAAGAGATTTCAATGGTCTTTGCGAACATTGCGCATACCAAAGACGCTGTTGACGGAAGGATGCCGCCGCTTGATGAGATTTGAGGGCCCCAACGCGGCTGCAAGACAGCCACGACGAACCAGAGGCAGCTCAGTCCTGTGGAATAGAATGATAGAGCCAAGATGGATATTGAGAACCAATTATGCTTCTTCCTATGCACATCCTTTCGTGAGTCGCAGTAAGTTGGAGGACGACCTCAAGTGGGTGTCAGTGATTACCCAGCACAGTTCAGCTTGTAAAGACATAACTTACTGAATCTCTTATACAAGGCATCCTCGTCGTCCATTGGATCAGGCTCTTCAAGAGAATTCTCATCACATCTCGTTGAACTTTGACCAGAAGTCGATTGAAGTGGTCTAATCTGTTGCCGACTCTCGCCTTTTTGTTGAGTCGCGCGACCCAGGTCTCCCATCTCCTCGGCGTCTATGAGAGGCCATGGCTTTGAAGACTTTGGCGGATCGTCCCACGCCATTGATGTTTTGCGCTTCAGAGTTGCTGTATGTCTTCTGTCTCGAGACGAGAACGGCGACTGTACGGGCGAAATTATGTCTAGATCTGACTCGGGTGACAGTGGTGCGGCTCGGCGGTCTGCTGTTCGTGGTGATGTATGTCCAGGCTTTGGTGTACCCAGAAGGCCTTTGTTGGAACGAGGCGTGGCGGGTGAACTGCTTTTAGAACCGACGGGGACACGTGCGAAGGATATCTGGTTGATGACTTTCTCCACTGAAATACCGAACGGGTCTCTCCCATAGCAACTCGACTTGTCAGGTTGAGACGGGGTAGTACTCTGGTTATGTGCAGCGCCGGTGAGAGTCGAAAGGTCCATGGCGTCACCAGGTGACCTTGGCTCACGGCCATCTCGTTGGGAATTAGAGGATGAAAGAAAACTGTCCGGGAAAGAAAAGTTGCCATCTTGCGTTTGTAAGTTGAGAATGTGAGTCTCTTCCGCCTCAGGGATAGGATCTATGGAGAGAGGGATGCGACTATGATCGGTTCTTCCCATTATAGGTGGGTACCAAGGACAATCAAGGGCTTGGTGTCATTACAGGGCAAACATTAAACACTGATGATCCAATGAGACATGAATAAGAGCGGTGGTTCCGTCACTCAAAAGACCGACGCAACGTCTGGTTTCTGATGTCGAAACCTTGGATGAGACGGCAGACGGAATCCTTGGCCCCTTTGGTGATGTGCTGGTTCCAACCGAGGATACGTCGGCTGCGCCAATAGTAAGTTGAGCAATGATTCTAGAGAAACATGCGTTAAAGGTGGTGGACGTCTTGAGGCGCGATAAACGCTAACGTCTGTTGAAGCCGTAATTGCGTCGCGTACGGTGAGGTCTTGGTGGCGCGTAGCATGAGACGTGACACGGCGCAAACAAATCAGAATGTACTATATGAGACTGGCGAGGAATGGTGTGGGAAAGCTTGGTGGCTGGATGTTGGAACTGTTTGTCGTTGTTCGATTTCGTTTCTTGCGACAGGAGATTGACGGTGTTCAAAGGGGGCTTCTTTCCCGGATGCGGTCCGTAAACGGGTGCACAGGGAGACCAAAGTTGGTATGAGGAAAAAGGAATAGAATGATTTGGATGAGACCTTTTGGTATCGTGTCTGCGTGACAGAATGCGGAAATAGGGAGAGAGAGAGGGGGAGGCGGTTGACACAAAGTGTGTTAGTTACAAAGAGGGAAGGAAGAAAGTCTCGAAGAAGCTGGTGTCCCGTGAGATAAAACCAACCAGAATTTGCGGCCTCGGCAGGAGCCCCAGATGCCATCGGGGGGCAGAAGACTTCTTCATATGTGAGAGTCTCGACTTCTGTCAACTCCATCTCCCTGACCCACCTCGACCGTCGTGTCGAAGATCTTTACTTCAACTTCATAGGGAACCCAGGCAGGGGATGTAAGAAGCCGGCATGGATCCTTGGAGACGCATGGTGGACATCTATAGCTGAGGCTATTCTCGGTCTCAACTGACCTGACGGAGCCCGGCTGGGGGGTTTTCTGCTGAGAAAAAGGCTAGCTTTCCCAAGCAACGATGCATGGGACGACGGAGAGAAGGTGGTTGGAGAAGGCTGCAAGAGGAAGAATTCAGGGTCACCGCCGCCCAAACCTGCATGATGTCCGGGAGGTGATGCAAGCCTGTATCGCCCAGGGCGGCCGCATGCCGGAATCAAGTCTTGGCTTCGTTGGTTGGAGTCGTTGGACCTTGTCAGACTCTTCCTTTTTAAGACGAGGCCGACGCAAGGGAGACTAGCATGACGCACGTGGTTCGAGTGTAACTGTGTGTCCAAAAGACATGCCCCCCTACTTCTATCCAACTCGCACTCGTCAAACAGTTTGAGCTCATGTAGGCAACCATGCAAGAGCTGCTTGATGGGAGTAGAGAGCGAGGCTGTGTGGCTGCGGCTTGCCGTAGGTGGTCCAACTTCCAATTTGTGCACCGCACATTCTCCTGACCCGCATGATGCCGCATCCTCCTCCATGTTTGTTTCTAAATTGGATCATCCCGCCGCAACGGAATCAACCTAATCAAGCTAAATCACCGGTTTAACCGCATGCTGGAGACATTTCGATCGAGGGCCTTCGTCTATTCCTCTTGCCACCTCCTCGAAGATGCCCAAGTACCTTGTTATCGAAGAAATCCAACTTGGAAACCAAGTGAACCGCAAGTGCGCCTCGAAGATGCCCGTCGGGATACGGGCACGAGCGAGGTATACAGCGGGCGATCGATGACTTACTGCCCTCTCCCAACAGATCGAGCGGCACAGATGCTTACACGCTAGACTTTTTTTCCTCATTTCATTTTGCATTACTACCTTATGTATCATCAAAGAAAGAAGCCACTGCTTACAATAGCCTGATTTCATCTATCAAACACCCTCCCAGGACACATGCGCTTCGCCTCTGCGCCGATCGCCGCCAGCCTGCCTTGCCAGTACACGTAAAGTTCCGCCCATAGTGATTTAATGCAAAGTATTTGATCATGGCCCTCAAAATAGAATCAGCAGCCTATGCTCGGACTGCACCCGCTCGTCTCGACGCCTGGCTTCCAGCGCCAGCCCTCCTTTGGGAGTTTGGCTTGCTCAACGTGTACTTGGCGAAGGCTCGCGCCAGTGCCTTCTTGCAACTGACCTTCTGGCTTCCCACAAAACTTTCAACCGTCACGGCGATGGCTCTATCAATGTCCTCCGCCTTGCAGTACTCCGAGAGTCTCATCTTTGCAAAGGCCTCGCTGATACGGATGATGGCTTCGAGATGACGCACCTACGATGACGTTAGTTGGCTTGCTATTTCGAAATTTATGGGAAAATTCATTTGGAACACTTACCGTGATTGGATACGCGCCAGTTGCTAGTGACTCCCTTCTCATGTCGGCGAAAAGGCGCGCGACCTTGTCTTCGTCCATGTTGTACAACTTGGGACTGACGCGATCGCGCGCATACAAAATGTACTTGCGGAGGAGTTCCTGTGGAATCTCGCCCTCTTTCCTTTGCGATTCTGCTTGCGTGTCCTGGTTCTCTGACTCGTGCTCAACTTCCATCGAATCCTCTCCGGGTTGTGATGACGAGGGGTGGCTGCGGCTGTGCGAGCCAACTATGAACCGAGCAAGACGCTCATCCTCTTCGGGCTCAACCGTATCCCGAACCACGCAAAGGATGTCGAAACGAGAAAGAATGGGCTCTGTGAGTTCGACGTTGGCGGAGAAGGGGATTGTCGAGTTGTACCGCCCGCCAATAGGGTTGGCTGCAGCAATGATACCACAGCGAGCCTGGAGAGTCGTGACGATGCCGGCCTTGGAGATGGAAATAGTCTGCTGTTCCATGGCCTCGTGGATCGACGTCCGGTCCTGGTCGTTCATCTTGTCGAATTCGTCAATCAGGCAGGTGCCCTTGTCGGCAAGCACCAAAGCGCCACCTTCGAGCGTCCATTCGCTCGTCAGCGGATCTCTCCGGACACTGGCCGTCAAACCGACGGCACTAGCTCCTTGTCCCGTTGCGAAAACGGCCCGATGCGCCGTCTTTTCCACATACTTGAGAACTTGAGACTTGGCCGTACCAGGATCACCCAGCAGCAGAACGTTGATGTCTCCACGAACCTGGTGAGAGCCTCGTCCTACTTTGGCAACACCTCCGAACAAGGACAGCGCCACCGCAGTCTTGATATCGTTGTGGCCGTAGATGCTTGGCGCCATGGAGTTGACAATCTTCTCAATGATGCCGGGTTCGCGAGACAGCTTGCGGATCTCATTCTCGTCCTCTTCAGTCATGCGGAATCCTGCCAATTGGTCGTGGGACTTGACAACATTGTTTGCCTCTAGGATGGTGGCGAAAACAGGAAATCCGTTCCTGTTGTTCAACTGGGCATCGTAGTTGTTTCTGTATACGCCAGTCACCTCAATCTCTTCGCCAGGCTTGGCCTTGTCGATAAGGTCCCAGAGAAGGATGACATCTCGGTGGCGAGGCAAGCGACCTGCTGGGACTGTGCCGGGCGACTCCTGAAGGGTCAGCTTCTGGTAGTTGCGGTATACCGTCTTCTCTGAGTTGAGTGTGAACGGCCCCCTGGACTGGCAGGCTTGGCAGTACGAGATTTTGACCTCGGTGTTGGATTCTTGCTGGAATGGGCCGAGTGTAACACCGCACTTGCTGCAGTCAAATTTGACATATTTGAGCTGGGGGAAGACACCGGTTCTCTTCGTGACGACTCCGCTGACACGCACCAAGCAGTTCAGGTGTGACTGACGGAGCTGTCTCAGGGTATAGTGAACGGGAAGATCGAAAATGCGGACGTGGATCTCGGAGTGAATACGCTCGTAGTCGGGGTAGTGAAGGAGTACGACGTCCATAGCGACCTCATCGAAGAGCTTGAGCATCTCGGATGGTGCGTTTGCCAAGAAGTAGGCGAGGATGGCCTTAGATGTGGAGAGCTCTTCGTAGGAAACTTCGAGAGACTCAGCGTTGATCTCACCAAGGGTACGAATGCGGTTTCCGTAGACAGAGGAGCCGTGGTCGTCGGTGTACTCTGTCAAAAAAGCTTTGAACTCTCTCTTGATGGTCCGTTGCACAAATGGTTGAGACACCCATTCGGTCAGACTGGCCGCCTTGACATCCTGCAGGGCCTCGAGAGAAAGCTCTTCGTCCATGATATCGGCGTCCATGTCTTCATCAGGGTCCTCGTCGTAGGCATGGCGCCGACGCCGAGGCTGAGCCGAAAGGTCGATATCGCCTTCGTCGTCTTCTCCAGGCAAGAACGCGGCAGGAATTCTTTGGCGTCGAGCGACTTCTCTGTCTCTACGGTTGAGCGTGGCCTCGAGCCGTCTTCTCGCAGCAAGGTCCATGTCTCCATATTCGCCCTCGTCGTCGATGTCGATACCTTCATATCCATCATTTTCCCTAGCTCTGTAATCTTGCTCGAATCCATCTCGGAAAAGGTCAACCTCGTCTTCGGCCATTTCATCAAGTTCGTCCAAGTCATCCTGAATCTCGGCCTCGTCCTCGATGTCCTCGTCGTCGTCCCCACCGTGTGCCATAAAAGGAGCAGGAGGCGATGAGGGCATGGGACTCGAGGTCGGGGCGATTGATGAACCATCGTCGCCATTTGTGCGACCACGCTTGCGACTCGATTGTGAGGCCAGGCCTCTGTTGGCAGAGCTGGGGTTGCTTCGGAGGGGAGAACTGCACAAGCGGTTAGCCATGAAGTCTTTTCCTCATGCACCACAGTGGAGCGACTCGTGTCAGGGCAGAATGGGGCAGTATCATGATTCTTACCTCATGATGGCAGCGTGTGAGGAATTCTTTGTGAAATGGAATATTCCTCCTCCCGAACTGCGGGAGCTTGCGACAAATTCGTTGATAGCGGTTGTGAAGAAGAGGGGGGAAGCAGAAATGGGGAGAACTGGGCGCGGGATGAAATTACCAGAGGGCCCCATCCACGTCGCCAGGGGGAATCGCGTCAGGGGGCAGCGCGTAAAGTGCCGCTTTGCCTAAAACAGACGACGCGTAAATGGGCAATTGTGGACGGCTGCAAGGAACCTGGAAAGTGGAAGCTGGTGCAGGTACGTATCTGACGTACCGGCATGGAGAAGTCGCGTTTGGGGGGGGAGGTGCTGGGCTGGAGGCCTGGCATGCTTTCCATATCGATCTGCTTCTCTACCACCCGACCTTATTCAACCACTTCGGATATCCTTAATCCACTTCTTCCCAACATTTCTATACCATCGCATCACCCTCTCAACATCATTGATCTATCTGCGACAGAGATTGCGCATTTTCCACAATGTCGATGGACCCCCCTCCACCACCAGCTCCGGCTGGCGATGCTGATGCCCCGGCTGTCGCGCCGAAGGCTACACGCAGCGAAAGCTTCTCGTCACAGAAATCCAACGACTCCCAAACTGCTGCTGAGTGCGCCATCTTCCAAATTCTTCCAGTGTTGATCACAGACTAACGCTTATCTTTTGCATAGGTTTATTAGAGACCAGATGCAATTGGAAGCTGACGCGCGCGAGGCTCTTCCCTATGTTCGTCTTATCGCCACTCCCGTCTATCTGCAAGATGAACTTTCCTGACTGTCTCAAGAGCATCGAAAGCTGTACCAAGATTCTTGGATCCCTGCGCCAGAGTGTATTCGCCTGTCTCACCTGTAATCCTCCGCCTGCCGAATCGAAAGACCCATACGAAGGTGCAGGCGTCTGTTATGCTTGCTCTGTCCAGTGCCACGGCGAACATATTCTTGTCGAGATATTTACCAAGAGAAACCTCACATGCGACTGCGGCACTAAGCGATATCCATCTACCAGCCCCTGCAGGCTACGTATCAACTCTGCCACTAATACTAAAGGCGGCGTGCACTCAGAGGAGCCTGATGCGAACAACAAGTACAATCAGAACTTTAGAAACAGATTCTGTGCGTGCGAGTGTGATTATGATCCATTCCAGCAGAAAGGTACCATGTTCCAGTGCTTGGGACTGGGTACGTCCGAGACCGGCGGCTGCGGTGAAGACTGGTACCACCCTGGCTGCTTGGTTGGAATGGGGCCCAACTGGTTTGAGGGTATGAAGAAGGGGAAGACCACAACTGCGAAGGAGCCCACAGAAGCTACGGCTTTGCCCACAATCTCGGAAGATTCAGAAGCGCGTCTCGTGGACGAAAGAACAGCAGACAAGAAGCAGAAAGAGGAGGAGGAGGAGGAGGAGGAGGAGGAGGAGGAAGACGATGAGGACCCTCCGATGCCACCCGGCTTTCCAGGCGAGGACGATTTTGAAGCATTCTTATGCTACAAGTGCGTCAATGCCAACCCATGGATCAAGAAGTACGCGGGAGCCAAGGGGTTCCTGCCAGCTGTTTTCACGACGCAAAAGAATGCTGATGTATCAAACACGGAGGAAACGGCTAAGAAACGAAAGGCAGAAGACGACGTCGACATGGTAGAGGCTAAGCGGTTGAAAAGCACCTCCGAACTAGCCGAGGGTCGGCTTGACGGCAGTGATCCGGAAACCAAGCCGGAGACCCAAGAAGCTCCGTCCGCTACATGCCGGTGGGCTGGACTTCCATCTCCGCCAGCCGAAGAATTCTCGTTGTTTTTGAAAGAGGACTTCCGCAACAATTTTTGTCGATGTTCGTCATGCTATCCTAATCTGGATCCGCATCCACAGCTGCTGGAGGAGGAGGAAACATACGAGCCACCTCTGTCCGACGGCGGAAACTCGGAACACGGAGGCTCTACAAATGGCAGCGGCAGCCTGCTAGAGCGTGGGGAAAGTGCCCTTCGCAATGTCGACCGTGTTCGTGCGATCGAAGGCGTCATGGCGTACAACCACCTCAAAGACCAGTTAAAGCCTTTCTTCCAACAATTTGCAGAGAGTGGCAAAGCGATCGGCGCAGAGGACATCAAGACCTACTTTGCCAAGCTCAGAGGCGACGACCAGGCCATCAAGGACGCGGGAGGGGCGGCCAGTGGTTCAAAGGACGATAAGGACGACCAGCGTCGGGAGCAAAGTGGTTACTGATCTGCTTGAGTACCACGGTATCTCTTGCGCTTGAGGTTATGCTTGTATGATAGCTTGAATGTTGGATTCGGATTAAGGTTGGCAGGCAAATGGCATGCCACAAGGATAATGGTTTGTGAGGATATAGGGCTCCTACGCCTCCGAACGAGGTCGACTGTGTTGAGCTCACTCAGCTCCAACTAGTAATTCGACTTCTTTGGGCGGCTACGGCCTGGCAACAATCACGTCATGTCTCCTTGAGGAAGCCGTCTTTTTTCAACATTTCTTCTGGCGACTGCTGGGACTGAATTACTCGTCATCCCTGGCTGATTATTCTCGTACCACACCTACCCTGGCAGCAAGTTTGAGTGAGCAGTGGGCACGACGAATCAAAGGTGCGCCCAACACGCCGCCAGACCTCCAGGTTCCAAGCCTACCAGACGGGCACCTTCATCTAGACGAACCGCCCATGTTCTGCGGCGCAACGATCGTATACGGCCAAGCTCCAGAATCAAGCAAAATTCAAGGCTACCCTAGCTACACAGCCGTAAGCAGACGTAGGACAGCATTTTTGATCACCGCATGTCGAGCGTCAGGGCCTCTTCGAGACCAGCCCCCCGATCTGCATCATGACTATCCAAAGTAAGCTACATCGACCTTGATGGCAGCAGCATGAGGCTGGTCTGAGTTTACCATTATGGGTACGCAATGTTGACGTTATTTCTCTCCCGAATGGCATCGTCGATTGTGTTGCAAAAACAGAGGGTTATAAGCAAGATCAGTTCCATTCATGAAGCATGACCCAGTTTCAAAATTTCTTCTCCTCGTGTGCTGTGAGGCGTTCCAATTCGACAGATTTCCTAAGCCTACGACTTTTGCTTACGTTCTCGCTCTCTCGCCTACAGACCGCCAGCGGCTTAGAATTCTCGCCTACACCAGGTGGAGTCCCGTCCATCATTACCTCACTAGGTACGTGGCGGTCAGAGAATCATCGCCGGCAGATTACAGACTGGCGTGAGGACCTTGGTTGGCACACATCTCAATACGGAACCAACTTGGTGGCACAAGAATTGTAAGACAGCGGAAAGAATCGATCTCCCCAACGTCTTTCTGTGTTCTTTCTGACTGTATGCTCAAGATGTCATGTTCTTGAGCATCGATATGTATGGTAGAAGGGAGAAGAAGATGTTCGGTCCAGATGAGCGAGCGTGGAAAGAAGCATTGGAGCAACTGCCACTCGTGTGGTCGCAGAAACGCGGAACGCCCTTTCCAAACCTTCGTGAAGTCGCGAATGTCTCGGGCCTGTGACCTGCCATGAACTATATCTCTTATCTTTACATGAGCTGATTAAAGCGGTCGAGTGCCGTGGCATTATCGTTCCGCCCCTCTCTACTTCCATCGGGATGTCCGTACGTCGAAGCTACTGCGCACTCTCTATATAGACCTGAGCTCCATCCTCTCAGCTTTTATTGTCTTGACACTTCTTTCCCCCACATTCGTCTCCAATCCTTGAAATCTTCAGCTTGATAATTTGTATTTTCGTCCGTCTCCATCTCGCTATGATGTCTCCTAAGAAGGAGGCACCGATATTGGAGATGAGGGCATCGAGGTCGCCCAGCGATAGGGGTATGTCCGAGCCCATCGACACCGCAGAGGGTGTTAAGCTCGAGCGGAACATCTCGATCCGGCATATGGTATTCATGGCGTTGGGTGGTTCCATTGGTGCCGGCCTCTTCGTCGGATCTGGTGCTGCCCTCAGCTCTGGCGGACCTCTGTCCCTCGTCCTCAACTTCGCCCTCGTCGGCTTCGGCGTAACATGTACCATGGGCTGCTTGGGTGAACTCGCCGGTAAGTGTTGTTCCCTATCCCCGTCCCTTGGTGCTTCCCAATATGTACATGTCAGATCGCAATAACAGGAGAACGCTGACACATTCTTGCAGCCGCGTATCCCGTAGCGGGCGCCTTTTACGAGTATTCGAGGCGCATGATATCGGAGCCCTGGGGATTTGCAATGGGCTGGAACTTCGTCTTTAACTGGCTTATTGTCTTCCCTTTCGAGCTCACGGTGATCGCAGCACAGATCAAGTACTGGGCCCCAACCTTGCAGCCGGCTTATGTGATAACACCAATTCTGGTTGTTCTGACCGCGACCTCGTTCCTTGGCTCCAAGTGGTTCGGTGAAATTGAACATGCTCTCGGCATCGGCAAGGCCCTCGCTATCACCGTCTTCATCTTTGTTGCGATCTTCATCATCACTGGCGCAGTCCCATCAGATCCACGGTAATTATTCCTGCTTTGATCTCCCTCTCGACTGAATCAACCTGACTTGTCACAGACACGGAACAGGAGCCAAATTCTGGCACGATCCCGGCGCGGTGAAAAATGGTATTTCCGGATTCTTCTTGGTCTTCCGAACCGCCGGCATGTCGTACGGTGGCACGGAGCTCCTTGGTCTGACGGCGGCCGAGTGCAAGAACCCCCAGAAAGCCCTACCTCTGGCGACCAAGATCGTCTTTGGCCGCATCTTCTTCTTCTATATCGTATCGCTCCTCTTGCTCGGTTTTGTCGTCCCATCCAATGACCCTGACTTGGCCTCGACCGGCTCCGGTGCCAAGTACAGCCCTTTCACGCTCGCTGCGCAACTCGCCAACATCCAGCATCTCCCAAGCTTCTTCAACGCCCTCATCGTTTTGGCAATCGTGTCGATGGCCAATACCAGCATCTTCGCGGCCAGCCGGGCCTTCCAAGCCATCTGCGAGAGGGGTATGGGCCCCCGGTGGGGAGCCACAGTGAAATGGGGCGTTCCCGTGTACGCCTTCGTAATCACGTCCGCTTTTGGTCTCCTGGCCTTCGTCAACCTGGCACCCGGCGGCGGCGCCATCTTTGACTGGCTATTGAGCCTCTCGGGAGCTAGCAACTACTACACGTGGGCGTCTATCTGCGTCAGTCATATTCGTTTCCGCAAGTCGTGGGCAGCGCAAGGACATGACCCCAACACGCTCCTTTGGAAAAGCCCTTTTGGCGTATGGGGAGGCTGGGTTGGACTTGCCATTTGCATTCTAGGGCTGTTTGCAAATGTTCTGACGGCCATTTGGCCCGTCGGCGGCCATGATGCGCAGGCCATCATCCGCGACAATCTCGGGACAGTGATACCGATTGTATTGTATATCGGCTACCGGGTCTGGCAGTCGAGGATCATGAAGGTGGAGCAGCCTGTACTCATTCCATTGAAAGATATGGATGTGCGGACGGGCATCCGTCTCCTTGACAATGTTTCTAGCTCGGACGACGCAAGAGTTACTACAATCACTGGTGGCAAGTGATATGGGTCATTGACGTACGACGACATTGTTGAGCTGGCCGATCGCAGCGATGGGAAGGAGTTTAATGAGTTGGTATCGAAACCAGTGTGCCTTGTGCTCTCCTAGGCAAACAGCCACAGCAACAGTACACATGGGGCAATGCGGTTAATAGATTTGTTTCGTTTCAACAAACCATTAATGTATTCGATAAAATAGGCCAAGTCCAAGGTGCTTGACCCGCATGACATGAGGTATAATGCGATCGCTCGTTCTCAAGCGATTGTCCTTCCCAGCAATCCCCAACGCCGGTAACTTTTACCCTGAATGCTCCATACGCCCCAGTCCCGATAGCATGCTTCGTAAATTAGCAAACGCGTCATGTGCTGCCTCACTGGCCAGAGGAGCCAGTGCTCGAGTTCGCACTCGAGGGCCTCGGCGGCGGGACGGGCATGCCCATGGGGATCCCCAGGTCTCTCTGCATGGGGACGCCGCCCATCATGCTAGATTCTGGAGACTGCGGACGCGAGTATTCGTCACCCATTTGCTGGCTTCCGGAAAGTTGCTCTTGCGCAGCTCTCTTCTCCAGCTCCCTATCCAGCTCCTTCAAACGCTCCTTTTCCGCCGGGTCGATGAGATCGTCGTCGTCGCTCCAGCACGGGTCCTCGTCGCTCACCTCGGGCATGGCCATGCGCTTCCAGAACCGAAGCTCCTGGCGCGCGGCAACGTCCTCCACGCGCCGATCCCATCGCGTCTCGTCTTCGTCGTGCTTGCGCCGGAAGTTGCGAAGCACTTCATTGGCCTTCCCGGCGCGTTCCTGCATCTCCCAGATCTGCTCCCGGAGTCTGCTATTCTCGGCACGGGCTTCGGCGAGCTGCGATCGGTAGGAGCGATGCCATGCGGCGACGTCAGTGACGTGTTTTGCCTTGTACTCGTGGAATTGTTTCAGCATTGCGGCGAAGACTGTCGCGTATTGGCTGAGGAGTGTCGCGTTGGCATCGCGGCTGTATTTTGCCTTTTCGAGAGACTCGGAGAGGATGGAGATGAGTGTGTCGAGATTCTGTTCCTGAGCTGGAGAATGTGTCAGTAATTGTGATGAAAAGCAATTTGGTGCGTATGTTTGCGCGCGCGTACCAAGAATATCGTCAGCGGCGTTGTGAATCAGGTCGTCATTGCCCGTTCCCTGTGTTCTCGCGCGACTGCGCACCCTGCCAAGACCAGAGACTATGTCCTCGGTGACACGGCGGTTCTCCGTAAGCTGCCTGCTAAGCTCCTCGACCATGCCATAGATATAATTGAGCTCGGCCTGCTGGCCGGCCGGGGTGGGCACGCCGCCCATGCCGTTGGGCACATTGCCGCCGTTCATTCCGTTCATAAGGACGAACTGCTGGTACTGTGCGTGAGCGAGGGCTTGCTGGGCGGCGGAGAGGGATTGCGCGTTGGCGGACGACGCAGGGGAAGGAGGTTGCGGAGGCGGCAATGAATGTTGTAACTGTTGCTGCTGCTGTTGATGGTGATGCTGTTGTTGCTGTTGAAGCTGGAGCTGACGGGAGGAGAATTGAACCTGCTGCTGCTGCTGCTGCTGCTGCTGCTGCTGTTGAGATTGTTGCGACTGGTTGTTGGAGCTGAGGATGGGGTTGAAGGCGAAGTCGTTGGAGGTGGAGGTGGGAAAGTTCATGGCCCTTGGTATTTCTGCCCGCTTTGGGGTGGAGTGTGGTTGGGTTGCACAACTGGCGGGCAGCTGCCGTGGTTAGATGCTCTCGTGCTCGCTTCTGTGTTTTATCCGGAGGTGAGCCGGGGACGGGACCAGAACCGGCGCCGCTGCCAAATGGAAAGGCGGTCTTGATTGACAAGACACTCTTGGGGGTGGAGCTTATCTGGCGCGCGTGTCCGGGTGCGACGGGCCTCCTTCGTGGGATGTATCTGTATCCGTACCGTTTTGGGTTTGGAATGGTAGAGAGGGTGGAAGGGGCAGAAGGGGGTGTAATTGCTGCGAGACGCCCTGGGGGATATGATATTGACTTAAGCGGATGAGCAACAAAGGACAGAGGTGCTAACGTAAGCGATGCTTTTGATCGATTTATGCATAAAGCGGCTACCAACCAACTAACGACCAACGGCTCTTCACCCTTTCAACCCAGTCTCTCCTTCCCTGGACAGAACCTCAAGAGACGCCCGAGTGGGAACGAGAGCACTGCCGTAAAGAGGCTACTCTTTTACTCCAGCCATGTGGTCGAATCAGTCTTCATCAATATCCATGTGACTGTTGAGAACCGAAGCCTTGGGCGTGAGCTCGCCATCCTCATCTTCATCCTGGCTGCTCTCCTCGTCTGCATCGTCCTCCTCCTCGCGAGCCGCGGCGGCGAAGTTTCGCATGATCTCTCTCTCCAGTGTCACGTCTCGGCCAGAGATGGAAGAAGTCTTCTCATACTCACTGCGGCTTCGCTTGCCACGGATCTTGGCCGGTGTAATCTGCACACCACCAGCGCTGATGGGTGCGTAGTGCTGGGGACGCTCGAGGCCAAGTGGCCGAGGACCAGCGGGCTGACCCGAGGGACGCTCAAGAGAGCCCGAATTCGGGACGGACGCGATACGGAGACGGTCCATCTGGCGACGAATGGACGGCGAGTCATCCTCCTCGATGTCGATATCGGCGAACATGGTCGCAGGGGCTGTCTTGACGGTGTGCGGGCGGTCAGGGATTTGTGCGCCGATGCCCTCATCATTGCGGAAGCCAGGGGGAGGAGTCGAGAAGCTGCGCTCGATGTCAGGCTTGTCAATAGCCTTGGAAGAATCGGTCTGGAGGCTGGCGGTAGCCTTCGCCAGAAAATGCTTGGGGCTAGGGTCATAATCGAGAACTTTAACAGCACCGAAGCCTGGCTTCTTCGCATCATTGCCCTTTCCAGCATAGACATTGCGAGCGGTACGGAGAGCCTTGATCGTACGCGGGGTCTCAACGGCATGCTGGGGTCGCTTGGTAGGGGTCACACCGGGATCTTCGAAGCTACCGGGGGCATCGCCGTCCGTAGAGCCACCGAAGCCGTGGACCGGATTCATTCTGAGTCCGTCATTGGAATTGCGGACCATTTTGTTTTTGGTACCATGACGGAGGTGCTTGTCGCGACTCCAGCGGGGAATAGGCGTGTGGTAGTCTTGGGCACTTTTGATATCGGTGCCTGGGTCCGGAAAGAGGTCCTCTTCCTTATCGCTGGGCAACTCCACAAGTTCGTTGTCGGAGGTCTGCTCGGAATTGTTGGTCTCTCTAGTGATCTCGGTCATAGGATGAGCCGCAGGCCAAAGAGTTCGACGGACATCGCCAGGACCCTTGTTCTCGTCGTTGCCATGAGACGCCATTTTGCACTGTTCTTCTTCGTCAAGAATTTATTGGTCAAGTTGGACTCTTGGAGTGAGACTCTGACTACATCAATCGTCAGCTAATGAAGAAGGCCAATCGAAATAAAGCTTACAGGCTGGAAAACACGGCCTTCTTGATCCTCAGGACGGGAAAGCTCCGCAAACTGAAGTAGAGCTCAGGCGAGGATGGGTTGTTGATCTGTCGATGAAAGACAAGCCACTTGATAAGTGGCGTCGATAGAAGAATGATTCTCGATCAGAACGTTGATGAGAATCGCTTTCGACTCTGAATGGGAGGCAAGGAAGAAATAAGAAGGGCAATGGCTGATGGATGGAAGTGCCTAGCTAGACGCGAAAGAAGTCATTCGCCAAATGAAGAGCCAGGTCTGATGGAGGCCCGGTCCGGCACCAACAGTCGAGAAGACTCGAGGAATCGCCAGTTGAAGATCTGCTGCTCAAGAGCTTATAGTCAGAATGGCAAAGGCTTGGTGATAGGAAGAGACTCCTCTCAAACCTACTCGAATGATGGGTTTCTTGGGCAACAAAAGCTGCTGACGTTTGACCCAGCTTCTTTCAGATGAGGAAGAAGGGAAAGAGAGGATTAGGCGCCCTCCAGAAAGGGCTGTTATTATTCATCTTTGTGGAGGCGGGTGCCCTCTTCGTGGAGCCAAATTACCATGGAGAGGTAAGAGGCGTTCATCGATCCAAGCTTTCTCGGTGCTCCGGTGAGAGGGCCATATCATACAAGTGCTTGGCCACCGAGACCATCTCTAGAAGTGAAGGATGGCCCTGAAAGAACTACTAGATGCAGTCCGAGAAGTCCCAGGAGCACAGCTTATAAGTACAACGGTCTGTAGACTACTCTATCATATAGATGAGATGGTCTCGAGTATCGAGGGTGTTGTTGAGGAGTCCTGTGTGAAGAGATCAAGAAGTCCGAGGTCCATTGGGATGAGCTTAGACGCAAGGAGTCTTATTTTCAGCTACGGCATAAAGTACAGTTCAAGATAGCTAAAAAAAAACCTCGCAGATCAGGTGACTAGTAGAACGTTCCATGACTCCCGAGGGCACATGAAATCACCTTCGGCCTCGGTAGCAGATGGCTTTGAAGATATTGGTGGCGGCTTTGGTGGAAGTGTAGAACATGATTTGCAGCCCGGTATATGCCAGGCTAGTTTGGATTCAAGTCCATTCAAAACACATGTCGACGTCGGGAAGGAATCACACAGTAACATTACCGTATGCATGAAAAATGTCCTGGAAAATGGTCTTTTACTTCCCGGTAAAGGCATTGTGGCTTTGGTCCAATTTTGCATGTCCCTTTGAACAGTCACAGGAAGACATTGAGTCATGACCAGTGGTTGTTAGTGCTGCCTGTGTCTCATGGAATTGGTACTCTCAAGGCAACAATATCGATATGCTTTAGAAGTAGAATTTAGAGGGAGAAGAGAGAGTCAACACCTCTCCAATAACGCATGATGAAGCCACCCAATATTGCGGCCACATTGAAGCGGGCAAATCAAGACAGGTTCGGCGATCGCCCGGTAATATCTCTCTTCCTTGGGTCACTCTTCTACCCTAACCCGTCTGAGCAACATCCGCTTGGTACAGAAGACCCTTCCGCGGTATGGCCGAGGCCATGCTCAACTCGGCCGGATACGGTCCCGCGTGCTGCTTGCCCCAAGCTCCTGACCAGGGGAAAAGTGTATCGTTGGCACAGTTGGCACACGATGGGGTGACACAATGTCGGAGCAGATAGCTGAAGCAACGCTAAAAAGAAGGGAGTGAGCTTGCGGAGACTCCGCCGACAGACCAGGTCTGCCGAGGGGCAACGGCTATTTTGCGGGTGCGGGGTGATGCGGGGCCTCCAGCTTCCCCGCCATAAGGTCAAGCCACCATTCGGGCCGTTGGGCACTGTGGCACTCCACCGCGTTCTGTCCCATCCCATGCCAGAAGCCAGAGGCCACTGCCAGCTGGAAGTAAACACATGAGAAGAAAAGATTGGATCAGTTCTCTCGCTTTCAAAAGCTAGTCTCGTTTCAACCCACCTTCTTCCCTCGACACCACCAATGACAGCTCATGCATGTGCACAGCTACCCTGGGACCGGGCAAACAGCAAGCTTGCACCAGCGGCGCAGCGCTGTCTTAGCATGAGGCGTTTTCTCCACCTCGGCCTTGTCTCCCGCTGTAGTCGGTGCAGATGCACATCATCACAATCCACCCAAAAATCCCGTAGCCTCCAACTGAAAAGCCGGTGGACTGCGGGGAAGTCGAGGGCGAAGAATGAACGGCGTGACCTACCAGACCGGACATTTCCTGCATTGTTCTTCTTTCTCCTGCTCTTCGGACTGGCAGACGCGGCCTTACCTCGCTCCATTATTTGCTCGCACCACTCAATCAAATAGACTTCTAGCGCCGAAGGCCCGGCCCCGAACCTTGGCGAGCTGCGCGCCAGGAGAATACGGCATCGACCAGGCTCCCCCAGGGAGTTCCAGGCACCACAGATGAGAGACGGGGTGACGTTCATGCTGTGACCCTGCACCTATCATAGGCCACCTGCAAAGGTTAACTCAGAAAACATGCGTGAAAGCCCAATTAGGTAATGGGGACCTGGGGGCTCTCGGGATGAACGGTTGGAGAGCAGGAGACGTCGTTGCCGCCTGCCAGGGGGGTTGCATATCCCAACTTCCCAGCCAATGCGACTGCGCATCCTCAGACCTGCAAGCGACACCAAGTATAAAGTCCGCCACCGAGCGAGCCATGGCGTGGGCTGTCGTCGAAGGTTCTCTCCCCGTGTTTGCTCATACTTTGCCAAACATATGTCAGACTGGAAGCTTGTCACCATGGCGAGAAAGCTTTCTGTCCTCGGACTGCTCACGGCCGTAGCTTCAGCTGCTGTGATCCGCAGAGACTACTCCAGCGACGATGCGCTCTCAGCATGCCCGGGCTACAAGGCTTCCAAAGTCCAATTGACCTCGACCGGACTGACAGCGGACTTGTCCCTGGCTGGGGTTGCCTGCAACGCGTACGGAACCGATCTGATGGACTTGACTCTGACTGTCGAGTATCAGACTGGTGAGTTCTCCAAAAGTTTCCGATCAATTCAATTCCACTGCCGTGGATGGCGAAGAGTTGCTCAGATTACACCGCAGATACCCGTCTCCACGTCAAGATCCAGGATGCCGCGAACCAGGTCTACCAGATCCCCGAGTCTGTGTTCCCCCGCCCCGAGGCCACCAGCTTGACCATTGCGGAATCCAAGCTGCAATTCAACTACACCGAGAATCCCTTCTCATTCAGCGTAAGCCGTTCCGACACGGGCGAGGTTCTCTTCGACACCTCTGGAGCCAGCCTCGTCTTCGAAAGCCAGTACCTGCGCCTCCGGACCAAGTTGCCCGAGAACCCCAACCTTTATGGTCTGGGCGAGCATTCGGACCCCTTCCGTCTGAAGACGACTGACTACATCCGCACGTTGTGGTCTCAGGACTCGTACGGTATTCCTTTGGGTGCCAATTTGTACGGCAATCACCCCGTCTATTACGAGCATCGCAAAAATGGCACGCATGGAGTCTTCTTCTTGAACTCCAACGGAATGGATGTTTTTATCAACAAGACGGAGGAGTCTGGGCAGTACCTTCAGTACAACGCTCTCGGCGGAGTCCTAGACCTCTATTTCGTTTCCGGTCCTTCTCCCATTGAGGTGGCTCGGCAATATGCTCAGATCACCGGCTTGCCAGCGATGATGCCATACTGGGGTCTAGGTTTCCATCAATGTCGTTACGGATACCGCGACGTCTTTGACGTTGCTGAGGTCGTCTACAACTACAGCATCGCCGAGATTCCCCTCGAGACCATGTGGACTGACATTGATTACATGGACAGGCGAAGGTAAGCCTCGTTGGCCCTGCCGCATGCTCCTGGACACAAATTAACAACCCGCAGAGTCTTCTCGCTCGATCCTGAGCGGTACCCCCTCGCAAAGGTCCGCCAGCTCGTCGATAAGCTTCATAAGAATGATCAGCACTACATCGTCATGGTAGACCCTGCAGTGGCCTACGTCGAATCACCCACCCTGCAGCGCGGCATCGACGACAACATTTGGCTCCTGCGTAGCAACGGTTCTGTCTGGATCGGTGTCGTCTGGCCCGGTGTGACTGTATTCCCTGATTTCTTCGCAGAGAATATCACTTCATACTGGAACAATGAGTTCGCTGAATTCTTCTCGGCCGACAAGGGAGTCGACATCGACGCCCTCTGGATCGACATGAACGAGCCGTCCAACTTCCCCTGCTATTTCCCCTGCGATGACCCGTATGGTTCCGCTGTTGGGTTTCCCCCTGAGCCGCCAGCCGTCCGCGAGAATCCCAGACCTCTTCCCGGCTGGCCTTGCGATTTCCAACCTCCTGGAACAAACTGCGGTAATAACCAGACCAAGCGATCTGACATTCTCGTCCGGGAGCAGATATCGCCTAGGATACTGCCCGCCGGGCAGACGTTCGATAACTTGATCCTCTCGGAGAGACAATCATCAGGTGATCAGAAGGGTTTGCCCGACCGTGATCTTCTCTTCCCCAAGTACGCCATCCACAACAAGGCCGCTTGGGACACAGAGTCAAACGCAGCCCGTGGTGGTATCTCCAATAAGACGGTTAATACGGACGTGATTCACCAAAATGGCCTCGCCATGTACGATACCCATAATCTTTACGGCTCCATGATGTCCTCGGCCTCCAGAGTCGCCATGGAAGCCCGCCGCCCGGGCCTACGCCCCCTCATTATCACGCGCTCCACATTCGCTGGCGTCGGAAAGCACGTCGGCCACTGGCTCGGCGACAACCTCTCCAACTGGCAACAGTACCGCGTCTCCATCTCCCAGCTTCTGCAGTTCGCTGCCATCTACCAGGTGCCCATGGTCGGCTCCGATGCTTGTGGTTTCGGCGATGACACCAACGAGCAGCTCTGTGCGCGCTGGGCCGCCCTCGCCGCCTTCTCGTCATTTTATCGCAATCACAACTCCATTGACAGTATCTCGCAGGAGTTTTACCGCTGGGACACGGTAGCTGACAGTGCCCGCAAGGCCATCGCCATCCGCTACCGCCTGCTCGATTACATCTACACGGCGCTATATCAGCAGACAAAGAACGGCACTCCGCTCATCAACCCGCTCTTCTACCTCTATCCAAACGACGAGAAGACGTTCGGTTTGGACCTTCAGTACTTCTACGGTGACGCAGTTCTCGTCGCGCCCGTTACGGAAGAAGATTCAACTTCAGTCGGTGTCTATTTCCCCGACGATGTGTTCTACGACTGGTACACCCATGAAGTTATCCAGGGTACCGGTGCCACCATTTCCTTGACAAATCAGGATTACACCACCATCCCGCTCTTCATACGCGGCGGTTCCGTTCTGCCTCTGCGCGCTAACAGCACCATGACGACCAAGCAGCTGCGCGAAGAGAACTTTGAGCTCTTGATCGCGGCTGGCAGGGATGGCACTGCCAAGGGTCAGCTTTATCTCGATGATGGTGTTAGCCTGGAACAGGCAGGCGTCACGATCGTCACCTTTGATTACAAGGACGGCAAAGTTTCCGTGGATGGTGAGTTTGGGTACTCGACGCCGCTCCAGGTATCCAAGGTTACGCTTCTCAGCGGAGGTCAGACTGGGAAGAGACAGGAGACGGTTAAGACGGTTGATGTTGAGTATCCCTTGACTGGGCCTTTCGTCATTGAGCTCGTCTAGGGTGGATCACGCTGTGCAAGCTGTAGTTCCTTCACTTTTCTGAATGTGTATATTTAGAGCGTGAATTTCATTAACTTGACTGCCTACACTTTCCTCGCGAGTTCGTCAACCCCTCTCTGACCTGTGTGATGCTCTTGCTAGTTGACTGGCACAAAGATGCGGTCAATGTCAGCAACCCACGATGAATCCGAGCTCGCAATCTTGATGGTATTCCCAGATCCAGCAGTGAGGCTACAGAACACAGAGCTGCTGCCCGGGGTGTTCCCATCAGCAGTCGGCAAGAAGCCAACGATCTGCGAGACGCCGTTGCACGTCACCGTGCCCCACCGTTGGCTCGTATCGCCATTCACTTGCTTCACCCGCACAGTCGTCTTCCCGGAAGCCTGCACGCTGACACCGGAGAACGTCACGCTCCCGCCGGCCGAGCCGCCGATGTACCCGGCGGCCGCGGACCCGCTGCACCCCGTGCAGGGGATGCTCTTTGCGCCGTTCGCGAGCGTCGCGTTCTCCCCCTCGTACGATGTCTCGCTGGGTCCCGCAGCCCAGGTGCCCGCGGCGACATTGGGGACCCAATTGACGTGGTCTGCCATGGTGATTGTGGTGCCTGAGATGGCGAGGGGAAGCCAGACGTAGGTGCTCCGCATGAGGTTCGTGCTGACCCAGCGGTCGCCCATGTAGATTGCCGTGTCGCCGAGGGGCAGGATGAAGTTGGTTTGGCTGTCGTACGTCTTTGAGCCAACGGTGGCAAAGGTTTGCCAGGCGGACCATGGTCCGGCGAGGGAGGTTGCGTAAGAATAGACCTTTTGGGGATATGTTAGATTTGGTGAAGTGTAGAGAGATGGGAGATGGGAGGAGGGCACAGAGAGGAGAGAGAGAGAGAGAGAGAGAAAGACGTACGTTGTCGTTCGGGTCCCAGCCAGTGAGCTTGCTCCCGAACATGAAGTAGTATCCGTTCTTCTTCAAGATGGCGGGAGCCTCGATGTGTTCGGACCAGAGATAGACGTTGCGCGTAACGTTGAGGTAATCCGAACTCAGGGCATCAATACGAAGACCATTGGGTCGCTGTTGGTTTACGTCTGTCAGCATCTATCCAATACCCACCCTCCTTGCCCGACTATCACGCACACCACCACCCATGATGTGGAGAAGAAAACAGAGGGTAAAAGAAAACTCACATCCTCAGTCAAGAGGTACGCAGACCCATCATCATCCTGAAATAAGCCCATGTCCCGGCTCTCGAACCCCAAAGGCCGCCAACTACTAATATACGTGTACTTGCCGCACACGGTATCGCTCGTCGCGACGCCCACTTTCGCCTCGCCGTAATTGCTGCTGTCAATGTGCATGTACATGACATACTTTTTCGTGGCGCTGTTGTAAATCACCTTCGGCCGCTCCACGACCCGGCTGGGTCCCAGGTCGCCCGCCGCTGCCGTGCGGGAGAGCAGCGCGCCGACGTACGTCCACTCGACGAGGTTGGTCGATGAGTAGCAGTTGACGTTCTGGAAGGCCGAACCCTCGGTTTTGTCCTCGCCGATGAGGTAGTAGGTCGAGCCGACTTTTGTCACGCCCGCGCCGTGGGCTTGGATGTGACGGCCCGTGTTATTCTATACGGAACCCCGGAGGTCAGAAAGCCAGCTCAAGTTTCTGCGTAGGATTTGAGACGGAAAGTTGGTTTTCTTACCGCTGACCAAGTTCCGCCGGGGATGATTTGGAGCGTGGCCTGAGCGAAGCCCGCGCCCGCGAGCAGAGAGGCGAGACCGTTGAACAGGCGCATCGTGAAAGACTCGGTGCTCGTCAAATCAGATGTAGATGTTTGCCACTGCTAGCTATGGTTGAAGATTCACAACCGACGCAAGTAGCTGGGAGAGCATAGCCCAAATTCGAAAACCGTGACCCTCCCGGACTTATATACATTTTGATATTCCCCTGCGTTGTCCTTTGCTCGCTCTGGGACAGACTATCACATCAATCACCGGCCCACTGTCCGAGTTCCAATCATCCAGAGTGCAACCCCCCAACCCCCCGCCGGCTCCGAGGTCCCCATGTCATTTCGATATTGTTTATTCGAGCGCATCTCAAAGACCTGTCATTTCAGCTTTCGTCCAGCCTACTACGGCCTAGTTCCTCCTTGTGTCGCGTTCCCCGTTCTCCATGCCGGTACGATAAGCGACGAACTGGAAACGGCTAACTCGGCCGGGAAATTAGCAATTCCTTCAATCGTCAGCCAGCGCTTCAAATCCAACCCCAGCTCGGACCGAGGGGGGAGGTGTTCATGGCATTATCACCATGTGCTCCACCATAGGCATCTCCTTTGGAAACACACCACCAGGAGCCCCGTGCCCTGATGTGCCAGGGGGGATATTACATAGGGGTTGTCGGTACCTCCGTAAGTAAGGCGATAAAAACTAGGGGCAGCTAGTTCCCCGCATTCTGCTGCAACGTCAAACCGGCGGCGCCGCCCGCATCGGGCATCGGCTGATCTACAGAAATCGAGTTTAAGTGAATCACCGGGGGTTTGACTACCGGGCCCGACCTGGGGCTCTCAAAGCTTGGTATGATGACATGCAACACAACCACGCGGACGGATCACCATGGGCTAGAACTGATCCATCCCGAGTTCCCCTTTACCTTGGCCACTTTCTCGAATCTCAGCCAGCTCCTGCTGCAAAGCTAGGCCGATTAGAAAGGATCAGACGACCAGCAGGTTGCAGGGAAAACGGAGACCTTGGATCAAGATGAGTGCGAAGCTTTACTGACCCCCGTCTCCGATCGCTTCTCTCATCATTGGGCCAGCAACACAGCTATGCTCAGGTACGGTGTAAGAATCTTCAAGATGATCCCTTTTGCTCTGGCTATTGTCTGGCCTTTTGTTCTATTGATTCCCTATTGTTTCCCCACAGCTGGTGCTAGCACTTTACGAACCAAATGAGACTGGCTGCTCCGTCATTGCCAAGCAGGCGAGCTCTGAGCTAGTAAGAAGCGAAATATGGTCGAAGAGAATGAAAGCCGGTCATGTGTCTCATGTCAGTCGTACCCGATAAACTCCTTCCAATCATTGATGACGCCGTAGTATAGAAGGTCGAAGAAAATGGTTCGCAACGCCCGCACCAGTTTCCGCTTCCACGCTAACCATCCACTTCCATCTTGTCCTCGGCAGTATCCTTAGTCTCGATTGTTTCGTCGACATCCAATTTCGGTTCAGGATATGCCACCGATATCGAATCCTTTGAGTCTCCGCCGATGGGGCCACCACCGTTGCCGGGGCCGTTTCCAGCACAAAGACGATACTCACCGTCTTCTTTTCGCTCGATGATTCCTTCTTCAAAAGCCCACTTTGCCAGGAGCCGATCCACACCGAGTCGCTGGCCTTCACCCTTCTCCATATGCCTGCCAACGTGTTCTGTCCATTCATCCCAAGAACCGGGCCCTTCGAAGATGCTTTGGCAATCTGACTTCGGACACGCTGACTTTTGAGGCGGCGACCGGCGTGTAACGAGACAAGTGGTCTGCATCTCCTTGACGTGGCCCTCCCACTCCACTTGCAATTTACTGTCACCTTTGGCAATGGCCTTCTTGATCGCGAAAGGCGCATGCATGCGGCGAAGATGCTGGGTAAAGAGATCTTTCCGGTTGAACTCGTTACCCTTACCCTCAACTGTGCTCTGCGGACAAGACGAGCACCGGTAGTATTGCAAACAGAGATGTTGGGATGCAATATGACGTTTCCACTCGTTCTTCGAGCCAAACGTACTAGTGCAACCTGCGAACGAGAAAGCACAGGGGAACGGTCTTGTATGGGCGGCCGCAATGTGTTTGCGAAGTGATGATGAATCCTTGAAAGGAGCATGAGTACATAATGTGCATCTCGTCTCTTGCTTCGGCGTCGCTTTCTGCAAAGATCGCCGATGCTTGGCCTTCGCATTGGGCGTGCTCATGTCAATCGAGTGCATCGTGTCATCAGCACCCGACTCATTCGCATCGTGAGAAGACCCTGTGTCCTCGTGGTTGGTAGGCATTGCTCCGTCTGGCAAAGTCGTACGTTGCCGCTCTACTGTCGGTGGTGCCTCGTCGCTCAAGTGGCGAACATGACTCAGAGCTTTCAACTGCTCTGCCGCTTCCTGCATCTCGGCCGAATCCTCAACATCATCTTTACCATCAACGACTGCGGCGACAGGCGTGGAATCCATGCGGTTCGTCGTCTCATGAAAAGATGCGTCTTTACTGTCTAGTGCGCGTTGATGCATGGCTGGTGTGCTTGCTGCCAGCTCTCGCGCTTCCAGCAAAATGCGTCCGTCCTCGACCTCCTTTGCTGTGGCTTTAGGGATGCCGGGAGAGCCTTTGAGCTTCTGGTATAGGTGAATCATGTTATGCGATGTGATGTACCCCAGGAAGCAGCAGACCTTATCATGCTGTACAACATTCCATATAGAATGGGGCATTGATATCAGAAGCATGGTGGGCGGGCCGAGAAACATTCCCTCCACCTCAATCTTGGCAGCCAGAGGCGGTGTGTTGTGAAGCCAGCCGTTGAAGAAGGACATGTCTGGACTGGCGTCCCCAACGAATGTCGTACACACAAGTACTCGTGCCTCATCGAAACGTAGATCAGCGACGGATTCAGGGTCAATGAGCTGGTCTTCACGCACAGCCCTTGACTGTGATTCCCCATCAGCGCCATTGCGCGGTGATTGCTGTTGAGCCGCTCGAGCAGGTAAGGGAGCTAAGCTCAGACTCTGACCTTTTCCGGGGGTGAGGGTGAAGCAGATGGGAAGATGTGGCGACGGTGGCGGAGTTTTGCCGGCACCATTTGTGAGTTTAGCTGCTTGTGCGCTTTCCTGCTGCCTCAGCTGGACAATCTCCTCGTGTAGCCTCGATACACTAAATGGTCTGCCTGCAATGCTCAGTTTATGCAGAGCTTCGATCAAATGATATGTGAAGGATTTGCCCGCAGACTCTCTGGGATTCTGTTCAGGGCCGCCCGCCGCAATGGCTTGCTTGATGCCATGGCTTCCAGACACGGGTATATCACGAACAGAGCAGGCGTCAAGCAACAGCAGAATATCGGACTGTGCATCTTCAAAGAGGCAGCGTACACCATCCCACTTGAGCTTTGCGGCATCTTCTCGGGTATTGCTATGGAAGGGCGGTCAGAAGGATGCGGTTGCGTGTTTCGCGGTAGAATCTCGACTCACCAAGCCCAGTAGAGCTGGTTGTCCAATCCAACATATGCATAGCCGGCGTAGTAGATTATCAGCAGGTGATTTGGTCGTGCATGTTCGAGGAAGGAGGCCATCTGGACCCCTAGCTTGATGCTGGGGTTGGGTACGGTCGGGATGGCCCATCGATTCGTCTGGTAGTTGTAGCGGTCTCGTAGTATTTTTTCCAAGGCCGTCAGGTCGGCCTCGGCGGAGGTATCCTCCTCCCACTGCAGGAGAAGCACAGAAACGCTATCGTAAGGTGCTCGTTCGGTTTGGCGCTGGATCAGCATGGCAGCATCTTGAAGATGCCTCGCAAAGGATTCGAAGTCATGGCGTTCGACTGGAGGGGCCTCCTGGGATGGGTGCTGCTGAGGCTGGACGGTTCAAGAAGGTTAATTCCAGCAGCTCAAGAAAGCCACGGGAGCGCAGAATAGAATCCTCACCGATTCATGGGGAAAGGGAACCGGCTGTGTGGTGTGGTTTGACGGCGATTCCTTTGGCATAAGCCGCCGCTTCTTGGATGGCTGGGGTTGTTCCATCTACAGATGTCAATGGGGAGACAATTTGTACAATCGCGGGTTGGGATTGAGATGCGTTATGATCATGGAGGCGCTCAATGAGGTGTGAAGGTTCAGGAATTAGGCACTGGAGGAATTGGGGGATGGCTGAATTGTCGTGGGCAGTGATAATTGGGGGGTCAGAAGAGGTACCGAGGACGTCTACGTACAGCCTCGTTGCAGGAGAAAGGCAGGAAAGAGGTGGAAAGGCTCTGGGCCGATCCTGCCTTTTCTGCAACGGGCCAATCAAAGCTCACCAGGTGCTCTCTTCTGGTCCGTGCAGCGAGGCGGGCAGGAGTGAGAGTGGAGCTTCATTGACCTTGCGCCGCCAGCTAGGTAGATATCCTTATGTACGCAGCACGAATACACACCTACCTAAGATCCCTCGATACAATGCACCTCACTCAACCACTCGTGTCATGAGGCGCTTCTTTCTCCCCGAGACGCTTACAATTGCTTCGTTCTCCCCTTGCTAAATCCTGCTCGGTCTTGCCCAATCTCGGCTCAATTCCATCTGGCCATCCCGCCAAACTCCAAACTAAGGGGAAATCGACGATGGTCACTCTTGTCACCTCGAGCAGACGACATCAACATCCCCGTCACTCGTCCTCCATTCCTTGGGCAACCTACAGCTCACTCATATTGACTGGGCTGAATAGAAAAACTACCTCACCTCGCGTGTATCTCTGTGAGTATGAGTGTGAGTGTGAGTGTGGTGTGTGTGTGCCCCTCATTCCGCCGGCGCCGGCGCCGCCGCCGCCTCGACCGCCCCTCCTCTTCACGCCTTTGCCGTGCTGCTAGGCGTCCAAAAAGACCTGATAACTGGTCTTTCATATGCACCCTGCCTGAATCGATGTCATTTACTGGTGCCACCTGTACAACCTTGTGCTGCAAGGCAGCTCCGTTGGGCATGCCTCGGGGGTCCAAGGCCACGCCAGCCCGTTTCCTCACATCTCACCCACACACTCCCTCAGTCCGCAAGGTCAATCTGGACTTGTGCATTGTGCGCTCTCAAGGTCACCAAGCCAGGCAACAGACATGACTGTGAGCACGGATAGGCTCGACAGAATTGACTTTGACATCGGGTGTGTTTATAGACCTGAATTGGCCTGCTCCGGCACCTGCCACCTGCCACCTGCCACCTGCCACCTGTCATCCGTCACACATCCCATCCCTCCTCATTCATGCCCCTACGTGCCTACCTAAGGCACCAAGTGACTTATCTGTGTCTTTTCGGCACTGCAGCACAATACCAATCGGTGCTACCGCCGCCACACGCGAGGCGTGACAGGTCGGCTAATGTAGTCTGACGATCAACCGGCGAATGGCGCCGCAAGGCCGCCAGATTTGTTTTTTCGATGTCCAGGCTTGTTAACCGATAAACTGGGCAGCGCGGCAGAATGGTAGCATAACAGGTGAGGGACGGAACACCTTCTGCTTGGTTGATTTAACAATTACACTTTCTGCCCGCGTCGGCAAGGCATGCATGGCTGCAGGCCTCTAGTCCCACACATCCGACCCTTTTCTCACTCCACCTCCTTTGCTGCTGGCCAATTGAGCTTGCACGACCGAGTCTCAGCAGTTTCCAGTGCATCCGCCCTCCGAATTATCGGCTGTTTTGCTCCGTCAGTTACACCTCCCAGAATCCAGCCTCCGCGTTGCGCTGTTGGGCCCCATCTCCGCCTCCGTGTGGAAGACATCCACGCTGTACCATATCCTCCCAGCGTTTTAAAAGCTCCCACTATGTCTCGATATGCTGTAATTACCCGTGAAATTCGAAGCTTTGCTACGTTTATCAAAGCTGCGCTTCGATACTGCCATGCCTGCATTGAAACCTCCCAGAGGCTTGGTCTTGTGCTACCCAATGCATGATAGGCCTCGATAGGCGGCGCTGATAATTTGTATCAAGGGTCCCTCGCAGTAGTAGGGACCACAGCTGCTGGAGGCTGGGAGCAAGTAGCTGGCGTGCAAGATAATGCTATGCAAAGGTATGCACTCTTGGCCAAGTTTCGGCCGTCGTCACACATTGCCGGCAGCGTGGAGTCGTAGGCTGGTAGCGGAGGCGCGGCGAAAATAGGATTTATCTCATCAGCTGCGCTTGACACTATCACGATTGCGGTGGCAAGGCTTGGACGAAGTAATAATTTATGTTTGAAGTATCCTGCTCACACTTGGAACAGTGATTTGCGATACTTGCCATCCCAGTGAAGTCGTGTATAATTGTTGCAGTCATGAGAAATGGTTCTCAAGGATGAAGCAGGACGGGTATGGCATCGGTCACAAACTCATAGAGAAGGCCTTCGCGGCTCGATGACACAGTGAAGGTTGAATTGCCCACCAGCATGCATCTGCTTGTCTGTCCACTTCGCTACCGATTTAGGTCCGTGAAAACAATGCTGGGGTTGAAAGCTCTGGGAACTCCGGCCGCGGCTTGCCCCGAGCCGAGAAGTGGGTCCCGGAGAAGGAGGCAGCCGGTGTTTGTCGATCCGTCGTCTCCGGGTTCTCCCAGTCTTTTTTCAATTGCTGGGTTGAGCGCGCCGAATGCGATGAACACCACGCTGGCCCCGAATCCTCAAGAGATGGTGGGAAATCTTGCACCACCTTGGCCTCTCGTGCCTGGCTCACAACCACCCGGCTGTCGGCGTTGTCACCGGGAAAGGGCTTGGAGGGACTACATGGTAAAGGCGCCGTCATTTACTCAAGCTGGTGAAGTCGCCATGGATCCGCATCTTCCGGTGCCAAGTCGCATGAAAAGGACCATCTTCTCGAATACGATGACCGAAGTAAGAAGTCCGCGCCTAGGATAAGTATTCCAAGGTGGCGTGCACAAGCAGAATATACAAATCCCTGGTGTGGCGCGGTGGCCCAGTCAAGGATGAGTCGCAGCGCGGTATTCGGTGGGCGGGTCATATGGACTGGGCCTTACAACTCCTCGGGCATGAATGGACACGAGGAGGTATTGACCAACTTTTTGGTCGGGTTGGAGAAGCCTTTCTCTGTACACTAAACCCGACAAGTGAGTGGATTTACATTCTACTGCCAAGAGGCACTATGAAGGACCGTTCGAGAAATCGACAAGCAAGGGAACCGTGTTTTGTCACGCGAGCGCTTCCGAGCGGCAACGATGGCTCTGAACAGTGAAATTTAAACGCTCAGAAGTGAGGATGGACGAGTGAGAAGAGTTGAGGAGTCGTCCAAGCCTTGCACAGCCACGCGGGAGACAGGCTTCGAGCTTGTGATTCGGTGAGAAAAAAGCACCATGGCCAATCAAGACCTCGGACCAGTGAGTTTTCTCATAGCTCGAGGTGGGAGCTAGCGCGCGGCCAGACGGCACATGGAAAGCTGAAAGCTGGTGGCACTGCTGACGTATGGGTGTGGTCATCCGAAGGGGTCCCCTGTCCGCATCACCAACCGATGCGGGAATGCCTAGGATACTGCTGGCGAGACCTCGTGACAGCTACTTCTTTACTGCAAGTGAGAAATGCAGTAAAATCAATGTTCGGTAACCCAAATAGGTGATGGGATCCTCAAAAGAATTGTCTCAAAGGACAGGGGCTTCGGACGATAATACGCTGAGAGATGGTGAATTGGCAAAGATTCAGACGCGGGGAACACTGGGCTGCTGAGGTCAGAAATAGGCCAAGACCATGGCAGCACAGTCATATCATCGGGGCCCAGAGTGACCGAGGATCTGGTGGGGTGCTTCCGAACCTCAAACCATGGGTAATTACGAGGAGAGAGAGTGTTGAGTGTTTCTCGGCCCCGGCCTCCGCTCGGAGCTTTGGGACAGAGAAGTACCCATGGGTTCCTTTCATGGGAACAGCTCGAGGGAGCGGGGTAATTATCTGTCAGGGCAGGCCCAGCACAGAGACAGTATCCATGGACTGCTGCGGCGCTGCGGCGCTGCGGCATGGATAGGTAGGTGCGACGGCTTCGATTGGCGTTGTCGCGAAAGGAGAGGTTCGAGAATGATGATTATGATTCTAGTGCAGGTCCCCGGGATCCTCTAGCAAGGAACATGGCCTCAAAGGCCCCCAAAGTTGCAGGTCCCGAAAGAGTCGTGGGCGGACATTCGGTTTCACAGGCCGCGGTTGGGCGGAGTGGGAAACATTTTGCGTCCCTGCGGGCTTGGGGGTTAGTTTCGTCTACAGACAGGAGGTAAGGCACTGGCTACGAGACGGCCGTGTCTTTGTAACTTGTTAGCTTATCAAACCGTGTACAGGTCTGCCTCGCGACCTGCCTCGGGGTAGTTGTCGCGTCAGCAGGAGTCTTATTTTGGCTCGTTCGTCTTGAGGTGTCATCTTTGGTTTGTGCCTAGAAGCATAGACTGACTGACTGTGTAAAGACTTGGAAAGGATGCTCGTAACTAAGGTAGCGAATGTGTGAATAATGGGCAATGTCGTCTCCGCCCAAGTACGAAGTACCGCTTTCTGAGCAATTGGGCTTATTTACCTACGGCAGATGCGCCTGTGTCTGTGGTAAGAGCATGAGCTTGGTCATTCGCTCCCTCCGAGAGACAACGAGAAAGAGAAAGAGAGAGGAGGGAAGGACCAAATATCCATCCGACCATCCCAGCCATCGTCCCGAGGCAGGTACATTGGAGAGGTATCTTACTTCTTTGACCAGGTCCTGCCACCTCTCTCCTCTCCCATCTCCCACTTTATTATTTGCCTCTTACCACTTGCCCTGCCGGTGCTCCCGACTCCTTCATCAACTCCCCTCGGCGCCCTCACAAGGAGGAAAATCCAAAGTAAGAAAGATACCACCTTCCTCTCGCCTTTTGAAGCACTCGTCTCGGACCTCTACCCTCAGCGCCTCATTAGGGAGAAGATCTTATCCTAGTTGGATCTCACTCCCGCCTCCCACTCGCTGACACCACAAGGGAGGGAACCAAGACATCGGGCCTAGGAGCAACGGCGGCATCCCATTCGCGCTTTTTCCCAAGTCGCTTAAACACCCTGGGCCGGTTATAAATTAGCTACACTACTGTGGCGTCACACGCTGTCGCGACCTATCTTAGCCGTTGCTTTAGGTGGAATGCAGGTTCCCTCTTGTTATTCTGTCTCCCAGCCGCCTTCGCAATCGCTACCAGCCGACCGTCTTTCGCACTTCTACCAGCACAGGCTGCGAATGCGACAATCTGCTAATCACCGGTAGAGTGACCGCAAGTGGTGAGCACCTCCTCCACAAAATGGGCAAGTGACAGGGTTGGCCAAGATCCCATCCGAGTGGATGGTGCAAGGCGCAAGCCGTTTCCTTGCGTCACCCTCCCAATCGTCATCAGGCCTTGTACCGCAGGTGGATGGTGGATTATTACCATCTGCATTTTGCCTTACCTCGCCTGACATAACTACCTACTTACTCACTTGCACCTACAGTACTAGTCCCTCGTCTCGGAAATCCCCAAAATCTTGCATCTCGCAGAAAACATAATCCACTGTGCAAGAACGACACCTGAACCCCTACAACAGAAACCAAGAAGCCCGGTGGATCGCGACCAAGCTGGCTAACCCACGGGAGCCCGCTCAAGTCATGGACCTCAATGGGGTCAAGAGGAGAGACACCACAAAGGGCCCTCCTCTACGCATCCTATCTTTAGGTAAGTGAAGCGAATCATACAGGCCGCTCTCGCGACACCCAAATCGCGCGCAAGACATGCGTAACTGGCCTGAAAGCGCCCTTGCACTCAACTGACTTCCCTTGCGACAGATGGCGGAGGAGTCCGTGGTTACTCCATGTTTATCATTCTCCAGGAACTCATGCACCGCACCTTTGTCGAGATCGAGGGGAGAGCCCCGCGGCGAAACGAAATCCCTCGACCTTGCGATCATTTCGATCTCATCGTCGGAACCGGTACCGGCGGTCTCATAGCCCTGATGCTCGGTCGACTGCGTCTAGATCTAGAGCAGTGCAAGGAGCTTTACGTTAGGATGACGCGCATGGTCTTCGAGACCGATAAGACCATCGCCGGCATTCCCTACCGCTCAACCCTCTTCAAGGCCTCGAAGCTTGAGGAGGCTATCAAGGAGGCTGTGAGGGAACACACCGTCTATCAAAAAGAGGGCAATGACGGCACCGAGAATGATATAGTCAGCCCTCTCAGCGGCTACAACACGTCAAATCCCAAGAGACATGCGAGCAACGCCAGCACTGTCAGCTTCAGCGCACGTAGCCCCCAGGCCCAGATGGCACGACCTGCCTTCAACTCGCGTCACGGTGACCCAAACGCAAGACTTTACGACGCAAGGGAGAACAGGACCAAGACGTACGTTTTTGACCACACTGGTTACCTGCACTCTGCCAAGGTGTACCTACTACCTAAAAACACATGTATCTCTAACACTTTATTTATTCCAGCGCTATCTTGGCAATGTACAAAGGCTCCCGCAAGGATAGCCCTGCCGCCGTACTGCGATCCTACGATTCAAGAAGAGAGCCCCCCCCGGAGTTTGACTGCAAGATCTGGCAGGCTGGGCGGGCGACCTGTGCAATCGGCCTCGCATTCAAGCCCATTCAAATCGGACAGTCTGTGTTTCACGACGACGGTGGCGGCACCTTCAACCCTTCCCCCGAGGCTCTTGACGAAGCCGTGGTGAATGAGTGGCCTGGCCGCGAAGTCGGCGTGTTCCTCAGTGTCGGCACGGGTAGACGGCCCAAAGGAAGTGATGCGGACTCACATATGTGGTATGAGGGTTTCCTGGGAGAGTTTGCGGAAGCCCGCCGGAAGCTCATCTCCAAGATCGAAGGATGCGAGGCGATCCACGAGCAAATGAGGAAAGAGCACCTGTCGAAGCGGAACGTCAACGTCGAAAACTACTATCGTCTCAATGTGGAGGTGGGCGTCGGCGAGTTTGGTATGAACGAATGGCATCGCCTGGCTGAGATTAGCACGAGCACACGGCAGTACCTGAGGCGGGAAGTCGAACAGAAGATGATCCAAGGGGCTTCTGCGAAGATGGCCAAAATTCACAAAGCGAATATCAGGTTTTCCCGCCTACCAGATGTCCCCGAACTGGTCAAGTCAAACTCGGAGACGACTGAACCAATGTCGTTTGCGGTGGAACTGCCAGCCGATATCCCTACCTCCTGGCCGCCGCACAACACACCACCCAGCCGCCAATCTTACGAATCTGGTTCTGAGCACTTGCATATCCCTTCGCCCATGAGCCCTTCGCCCATGAGCCCTTCTCCAAGAAGTTCCGGCGAACGACTGCAACCATCACCGTCACCGCGGCCCGAGCAACGACCCCCACCCCCGGCAAAGGACGACGAGACTGACAGACTCATTGTCACTGCGCCCACCCCAGCGCAATATCGCTACGCAGCAGGCGCTGATAAGATTGCTATCATGAGCCCCGATGAGCATCCGCGATGGCAGAACCAGCCTTACAACAACGGTCCTGTTCAACAATCGCAGCAACCACAGCGCATTCCGCCGCCGCTGCCTCCCAAGACGCCACTTCCTGAGCATCAGGCAGCCGGTGGCCGCCGTCCCATCGGCTCGTCGCCTTTGCCCTATCCGGTGGATGACGAACCTCCACCAGTGAACATGGCTAGAAAGCCAGACTACCGCGGGAGGTAAATGAAGGAAGATCAATCAGGTACCCCATTTCTCCATAGGAGAACACTCGGCACACAGTTTAGGTCGTAAATTGACACCATCAGAGATGCGGAACTCTGAGCCTGAGTTGGTCTGCGAGGCTCTGACTTTGTAAGAGCACACTGTAAAAGGGAGTTCTATTCGGAAAATGAAGTCAGTTTGAGGGCGGGTTTAAGTAAAGATACCATTTCAACGTAGGCGTTACCACTGGCGATTTGCAGTGGTGGCACAGCAGCCGGCCATTTTAATGAAATAATGACATATTCATCACGTTTAGATATCTCTCTTGGTACCTAATTTGTCAGTGCAGTGACTTCCAAATCCGGGACCTTTCCCCTTTCCTGCCGGTGGCGAGAACCCGAGAACCCGGTCGCCTAGTGGGTCACTACGTCACGGCAGAGTGGGCCCTGTTGATCATGAACCGACCTTAAGCTTAAAGGCACGTTCCCCTGTGCCACCGAAACGTGTTTACCTCCATCATATTTCCGTTTGCTTCGGTCAACTGGATTCCTTATAATATGCTGCGACTTCTTTTCCACTGTGCAACCTTCATTGGTAACTCGATCGGACAAAGCTTCAAAGATCAGGCTTGAGAACGATGCTTCAGCCGCCGACACAACATCGACTCTGCTGCCATATCTGCAATAGCGTCCACAAGATATTCAGCTAGCCAACGGGGCTTTTTCCAGACTCGCCGCCCACAGCGCCGCACCCACCAACCCCGTCAGAGCAAATGTGAATTGCCGCGAGGGACATGCCAATGTCTCACTGATGTTCGTTTCGTTCCTCCCTACCACCTCAACCATGGTTCGCATCACAGACCAAAGAGAGAATCAGCAGCAGGTGGAGTCTTCGAAGCCTTGGGAAACCCCAGGAATGCCGCCTTGACCAAGCCAACCGAGACATTTTGGTGCCGACAGTGGGCTTTTATAGGCACGTTTTACGAAGCCATGTCTCCATTCACACGTTTTACGGAGAACCATTCCTCATTTCTTGCTTATTCGGTGCGCCACGGACAGGGCTGACGAATTCCGCAGGGGTTGAATGACAGAGATGCCCAAGGGATATCTCTGCCTCAGCGGGAAACCTGACCTAGCCATTCTTGGCTTCTGCTATTGCTAAGCGGTTCGTACCTTTAGCGACGTCGATTAAGTTTGAAGTCTCTAGATCCACGAGATTGAGCGGAGGCTAAGCATCGCGGGCTCACTTCAGCTGTCTGGATTGGGAAATTCATGTTTATGCTAGAGCACTTGCTTAATTGCGGCTGTATCGTTTCGTTACTATGTGGGTGTCACATTCCCTAGCATGGAGAATACTCTTGGGCAGGCTTGTCACGAATCTCGGCACAGTTGACTTGCTTGACCGTCTTCGCACATTGACGAACCATCGGCGGCTCTCTGGGTCTGCATTCCTGAAGTCGAGAGTCCGCCTCGGGCTTCACCGAAAGCGGGCCGTTGGAAAGTCTGTCTGAGCCCGCCGTCCTGTCTCGCTGGCTACATCCTCAACCTTGACGTCCCACTCTATCTCACCACCGGCGTGGTATTGTCCAGTCTCTTTTTGACAAGGCTCGAGCATGGTACGCCGTCAACGATGAGGCTTACGAGCTTACACTGTTTCTGCGGTCAGCCTGTGGTTGGTAAGACTACTGGTACCCAGTGGCTCAATTGCCCGGTCTGTGGAAACTTCGGAAAGGAAGCAGCCACCGTAAAGGTTGATCGCAGCCAAAGGATGCTCGCGACGGCTCGGTGAGAGGTGTTGAGCAGGGTGTGCCTTTCACACAGCAGTCACTCTCAAAGTCTTGATGTCGAGACCGGTATCCATCACACTCGATCTCATGTCTTGACCTCGATGCATCACCCGTTGCCCACGGATATTCTAGCAAAGCGACTGGTCAATATACGCCCTCTCTCCAGCGAGCAAAACCTTGAACCAGTAAACTACTGCTTTCCAGGTTTGGGCTCTCGCACTAGCGAGGAAGCTAGTGTGCACATCAACAAAACCCCAAGAAAGAAATAGAGGGCTTGTTTTGTGGCGTTTCCTCAGCCCAGCTCGATCTAAGGAAGGCATCCCCACGACGCTAGACCCAATGTGTCAAAACCCGACGATGTGCAGCTCAGACAAAGCCTCCTTTCTCCTTTGACCAGGCTTCGACAATGATCTTTTGCACTTTTATCCGATTTGTTTATAAGTCAGCCTTACCATGAACATTTCAACCAGATTCTCGGGTCCAAAGTCACGCCATGTTTGCTATTGTGTCGCCGCCGCCGACCTACTGGAAAGGTGGAACAGGAAAACAAGGACCCCAGGAACGGATGCTCCGGGGAAGACGGAAGAGGGAAGCAGCAGCCGCCGCCGCCGTGCCGCTTTCAGAAGATGTCCGATAGCTCGCAGCAGCAACGGACGTTGCGGAACGCGGTACGCGCCGAGAGGACGACAACTTCTTGTGGGGAGTGCAGGAGGAGGAAGCAGAAGGTATGTATGTACATAGATTGCTTGAGACTTCCTTTCTTCTTCTGGACGTGTACTGAGGGTACCGGTATGGAGTGTTCGCCGATCACTTACGGGACATGAAACGAAGGAAGCCTTCTCGTCTTGCGTGTAGCCAATCCTATTTGAGAACCACCAGACTAACTCGGATACAGTGTGATCAAGGTCAGCCATGTAGCAACTGCCTCCGTCGATTTCCTCAACCGGTTTGCGAATATCGCGTGAGCAAGTAAGTTCGGTGCCGAACCCTGTTACCTCCTGCCAGGTCCACGACTGCTATCTTGGTTCTGGATATGATCTGATATGGCAGCAGCCGGATACCGGGAACGTCTACCTTCCTGACACCAGCGAGAGCAGGTGGGCGCGGTCCCTTCCTTCCAGCACTCCCCGGAGTAAGCTCCCCCCTGATCCAAACATCTCAGTCAACAGGACCATTCGGGAATCCTTCTATCGCCGGCTGGGCTGTATCAGGCCTCTTAACTTTACACCCAGGCCCCAATTCGGAATCGGCAACAGATCAACCTACAAGCGGCACACAATGGCTAGACACGGAGCCTCCCAACATTGATGCTGGACATGTCCCGCCGTCAGTCTCGTGGCTTCCACTGGTCAATCCTGACCGCAGCATACTAGATGCCGATACGTTCCAGGCATCGCAGCAAGTCCTGTCACACCGACTCGCAGTCCCAAAACTGGTCCTCGAAATCTTTGACGCGAACCGTGACAACGAAAATGTCTTACAGCATCGACTGAGTCCTGGAGCCTGGTCTCATCAAGCAGGGTCTAGGACACCATTCCCAGAGCGACCCATCAGTGGTATAGATGAGCAAATAGCCGTTTTGCCTGTGGATCAAACCGCTCTGAACAAGAAGCTACTCAGAATGTGTGCGTGGTCACGGCCCCTGAGCAGCCAAGAACACTATCCTGACATGCAAATACAGATATCGCGGTCCTTTCGCGCTTCAAAGCCTCCATCAACGGCGACCCAAGCCCCAACAACCCTTTCATCCGATACTACTCTCCCTTCTGCCTCCAAGATCCCCTGGTGATGCGGATCATCCTCTACACTTCGGCCTGCTTTCTCCACGAAACAGGGGATGTACGGACAGAGGTTCTGCGAACCTACAAAGGCCAAGCCATCGCTATGCTCAACGAAAACCTCACGCCGGACAACGGCAAACGCACAGCACCAAACACCACCGCACTCACCACAGCCGATGCAAACAGTTCCACCGCGGTAGGAAGACAAAAACCCAGCGATGCAGCCATCGCAGGCGTCATTCAGCTCACTGTAGCTGAGTGGTACTGGGGCGATATGGAACAGGACCTACGATACCACCTCATGGGCTTGCGAGACATGATCAGATTACGCGGCGGCTTCAATCAGCTCGGCATGGACGGCCTCTTGGCGAAAACCGCCATCGTGTACGTAGACGCGTCTTTTGTCCTAACCATTATCTGTTTGCTGGACAGACCTCGTATGACTGTCATTCCTTGGTTTGTCGATGTGCGTTTGTCAGGTCCTTTTCACTGCTAGTTGTATGCGTTTTTTATGTTTTGTACATTTCACTTCCCGTATCACTGCTGCGTCCTTTATTTTGCTTATCCGGCAATTTTCTCGTACGCAGTATCCTCCGCCTTATTTCCCATGTTTCCATTTTTCCGTCCGACCCTCTATGGTCTCATTTTTTCGCTCGAGGCCTTGACTCTTGACTCGCTTGAGTTGCGAACGGGTCCTCTTTCTACAAACGATATACCCATCTGGGTGGTCTTTACCTTCCCGATGAACTGACTCATATGCACAGTCACGATGTCTCCATATCCCTCGCCCACGAAAACAGTCCACTGCTACTGACTCTGTCGCCCTCGGACGACGACCGTAGAGGCCATGGAAGCGGATACGAAGGGGCGACGGGGTCAACGACAACAGCTGGAGCGGAAAATTCAGCATATCGAATCTCGGCGATGCCGTACGCTTTCATCGACCCTATAAAAGACGTGCCCCTTCGTCTAGCGAATCTATCGCCAATGGTTACACATCTACCATGTAGCGGATTACTACCGTCTTTCTCCGATTGTGCCACGAGTCTGCGTATCCACCCGGCGACGGCCTCCATACTTGACAATGTGAGGTATCTCCTCAGCGCCGTCGACGCGATTTACGGCGAATCGGCGACATCGGCGATGGCAACTATCCAAGCCTCACTCAAGGCCCGACCGATGGGAAAGTACATGTATGAACATATCACCAGTCTTAATCCTACTATTCCGGGATATTGTCAGGGCCTCTCTCCAAATCCTTCGACTCGCACGAGCTCGCCGCCCAATAGCGACTATTCCGCCGCCGTCGACAGAGAGGCTGTACGAAGCGGGAGCATGTCCAGCACAGGCACTGCAGCCGGACTTGGTTCCGTTGGCCCGGGCCGATCACCTTCGGGTCCGAATTCCGACTCCACCACCACATCCGAATGGTCGTCAACTAAGTCACACACCCGAGACGCTAGCGATTCTCCGACGAGCCCTCGATCCGTATACCACCAGCAGCAGAGTCCGGACTTCATGTACCAGGTTATCCGATTGACAGCGTTACTTTACACGCGGGCCGTCATGACCAGGACGCCGCTGAGCGGGACGTGCACGGAATCGGAATTTCTGCAGATCTGGACGACAACATGGCGCGTACCCCTGTCGACATGGAATGATGCCGTGGGCATATTTCACTGGATTATGCTGGCTATCGCGCCGGCATGCCACCGGACGCCGCACGCGCGCTTCGTGAAGAATATGATGACGATCAGCACCCTCACGCTCGGAGTGGAAAACTGGGCAATGGCTATGGGTGCCGCGACGACCGGCATGCGGCTGCAGCATTGGCTCGAGGGTCAAGACATGGGAGAGCAGGAGGAGAAGGAAGAGGAGGAGATGAGGGATGGAGCGGCATCAGCAAGAGGGGAAAGGCGCTCCGGGCGCGAAGAGCGGTGAATGGGTGTGTAGCCAAGCAACACGACGATTGCTGGAAAGACTCCTCCAGGCTGGTGGAGAGACTCCGTTTCCGCAAAGCCATGGATGTTGCTGGACACGTCGGTCCACGGCCGCATATTGCAGGTTACAAAACCCGACATCGATAAAAATATTTCCCTCCATCATGGGGGGTGAAGCATTAGGGGGGGCCACTGGTAGAGCAGAGTACTGCGTTCTGCGTCGAGTATGACGTCCCTTGAGCATAACGTCTGTGACAACAACAAACCTGCCATTCTCGGGCTGTCCATTCCTGGGATTTGCAAGACTTCAACTTGCCACGAGGTGGTGAAGAAGACGCCGCTGCCGGCGGCAACACCGTAGCACAGCGGTTGCTACTCAAGGGTCAGCTTGCTGCTGAGAGCTACTGCATAAAGGTGACACTGGGGAGGGAACAGACAGGGGAGATGAAGACTCCATGGACAAGGATAAAACCCCAGGGGGCCTGACATACGGCAGGGTGCAAGGTTTTTTCTTTTTTTCTTTTTGGCATCACGACTACGGATATTGTGCGAGAAACAGTAACTTCGTACCTGGGCCATAACGTCGTCATTTCCAAATCCCCATCAACAATCCCTACGATCCGACTTCCGAAATTACTCCTGGGGAAAGCGCTTGCACCTTCCGCTGGCAAAGTTCGAAGAAAGACCAGGGTCAAGACGAGCAAGCGTCGAGAGGGAGGGTACGGGGGGAGAGACTGACCTGCGGTGTTGCTGCGGCCTCGAACTTTAAAGAGTGGGCGAGGATGCATACAATGTAGTCCCCCTCTTCTGCCTCCTCGTCCCTTTCTATAGGGTGTGTGTGTTATGTTCCAGTTTGCGGAACAGTCCCGGCAGCGGGCGCCCAGCAGACAACTTCCTCTCTTGACACTCTACAATGTATGGACGAAACGACGCTGCGCACGTTTTTGACGGCAACGTGTAACTCGTCACGGCCGGGGTGGGCAGCGTTCGAGGCCCCCGTGAAACTAGGGACCATCGCTGAAGCGGCAAGCCGCAAAAAAGGGTGATGCCGGGAGGTTGTCCGTTGACCTGCCGGAAGCCACGTGGACACGGCAGAAGCTGCACTGAAGAACCCTAAACCGTTTGGACGCCCTGACTTCCCTTCCACCGCTACCCCGGGGAAACGATACGCTCGTACGGATGTGCTAGCAAGCGAGGTCGCTGCGGCTGAGTAATGTCGGTACTGCAAGTGGCCGTTCCTTGCAAACGACGCACGGTAGAATGGCATGCTCAACCTTTGTAATCGCGACGCGGAGAGGCACGGAGAGAGAGAGAGAGAGAGAGAGAGAGTGAGAGAGGGAGAGAGGGAGAGAGCTAGACTGGCGGGTTCGGGACGGTGGTGGGCATGTGGAAAGAGGAGGCACTCCCGAACCATTCCGTATGTGGCATCCGCACTTTGTGCCGGGGGTGGGCGGCTGGCTGGATCCTTTCAACGGTTGGACTTGGAGTGTCAACGTTCTCTCGGAATTTCCGCACCCGGAGTCTGATTTCCCTTCCGTCGCCCGTCGCCCGGAAGTGACGTCAAACCCCGAAGCCGAAAAAAAATTCAGGAAGCTAGAGCCTAGGGGCAAGGCGGCGACGATCCCGAACGTCCGCTGGAAGCCCGCTGGAAGAATTTCTGCTAGGAAAAGCCTGCACAGCAGGTGAGTTCGATCCGACGCGAATGAGCTTTCTGCAATGGGGAAGGAGGAGGGTGTATGATGGGCTGTAGATAGGAGGACCAAGGACGGGTGAATACCAAGGGTACAAAGGCAAAGAGAGAGATGGAAAATGGTGTGTGGACCTGTGGAAGCATCGTGCCGTGTATTAGGTGGTGTATGCAAAGGGGTGTCTCACGAGCAAGGAAGAGGAAAGTGAAGGAAAATGACTTCCTCACGCGTACCTATAGTAGGTAGGGGTGACTGTACAACGTCGGTCAAGGTGGTGCGGATAGAGAGAAAGAGAGAGGCAGTTGTCGCGATGTATCCGTACACTGACGAACTGAGGTACAGACATTGCGTCCGGTACCTCGCAAGGCCAGGTATTGGTCGAAATGGAACAGGCGGTGTTCACTTGTTCGAAGCCCAGTCCGGGACGGAGGGGAAGTGGACGACGGGGTTCCCCGATGAAAGGTTTAGAGTTTAGGGCCACGTTCCACGGCGTGTTTCGAACGAATTCCTTTCCCAATCAAAGAATGGATCAAGTACATGCAGAAGGCTGCCACGTCCCATGCCAGATCAGACTCCATTTTTGCTGAATTTGATCTGTACCTTGCGCCAACGCGGGCAGGGAATCTTCCTTGTGTGATTGCCTTCAAGATGCGATGAGAAATGGCACCCTTCAATGTCGCTCAGTGGGCGGGCTAGCGGGCTGACAGACGGGCTTCGCGGGCGCTGACCAGGCAGGGGACGGGGATTGTCTATTTAGACTTTAACTTTGGTCTTGCAGAATTCGTTGGTTCTCACCCGTAACCATGAGATCTGTATGACGCCGTTATGCGTTCTGTGAAAAGGGACTCAACCCTGCATGCTTTCACTTCTCTCCGTTGGAGAAGCCGCATTCGCCTCTTGCTCGACTCAATCAATGCAGTAGGTAGTGATGAAATAGAATCATGTCGCCTCGTGTCGCGTGAGATGGAGCCGTACTTCCTGGCCAGTTCGACTCATGAAAAGTACCTGGTATCGCCTTTTGTTAGTCGTGTCCTTGTCTTCCATTGGCCGCAATCGTCGTTGGACCTATGCAGGCAAAGTTGGATAGTTTTGTTCAAGCAGCTAGCACCATTCCGGCTGTTTTCGAGAAGTTTCCGTGACCAAAGCTTGATCGTTGTTGTTACTCTGTGCGAGAATGTTAGATGATGATGGCATATATGAACCCCTGACCATGGACTCCTCGTGCGTCGTGCCCTCTGCCCAACTTGACCGGCCCGGTGTTGACCGTTGCGCTTTGATGTTCAGGCGATGGTCTCCACCTTTGCCTCTTTTTGGACCAAGGTTCTTCTAGAGTGGCTTCTGGAGCTGCTTCAATAGTTCCGTCTCCCATTCTCGTACTGTACCAATGCAAGTTGGAAATTTGTTTTTCCCCTCTTCCTTATCGTGTCCCGTTCGTCATCAGGTCGGTCTGTCGTCGCTGCGACGATGATCTTAGGATGAGCATAGAGTGGAATCGGTACTTATGCGCTGTGACCTCGACAAGTCTTCTAGATGAGCAGAGTACCTTGTTAGCCAGTCGGTTCTGGTGTGAATGATGAATCGATGATTTCCCGTACTAGCAGATTGGAAGCAATGCGACTGGCCGATAAGGCAACGCCCCCTCCCCTCTCCCTTCCCCTCAGCCCTTTTTGTGAGTCTGGCCTCCACTCGGCCGCCGGCCAAGCTGGAACCGATACCGGTGTCGGCAGTTTCCCGTCGCTTGGTTCACCGAAGCATTGCCCGCCGTTGCCCGCTGCTCCCGCTGCCGGTGCCGCAGGCCTTTGCTCCAGGCTCAGGCTGAGCCTCGATGTCCTCGGCTTGCGGATAAGATGCAAGATAAGAGAATCTGCATCGGTTGTGCATCGGCTGCTTCTCTTGGCTTAGCGTGCTGAAGAATGCGGGATGCACGAGCTGCATTTCCGGCGCGTTGGGGCACGAATCTCTTGGTATCTCATCAAGGTGTCCGCCGCTTGTCTAGAGAATAAGTAGGGGAGAGTCGCAGCATCTGCGCACAATGTCAGCCGCTTGCTCCTTCGAGAAATCCGACCTCATTCATTGCGTCAGTTCGGATGGGCCATTTGCCGTGCGATAATTGATGCAGCCACTCAGAGTCAACGGTCCGCTGTCTACCGTCCTTCTCGCCCAAGTAGACCCTCGCAAGCGTGGAAGGGAATTCATGTCGGCCGAAATGCAGACTAATCGCTGTCCAATCTTGGCTCGTTGATTGAGGGGTTCTCCCCGCGCGATGAGAACCAGGCATGCCTCGCGAGAGGCGACCAAAGTCAATTATCCGTCGTTGAGTTACAGACTTGACCCAATTGCGCGTGGCAAATAGCTCTTGTCACCTATCTTGTGTCTGAACTTTCGAGACGAGCATGGGATGGGGAGGGGTCGCGAGATGGAGTTTTGAAAAATGCCGTATACAATGCTGAGCCGTTTCCCGCTGTCCTTTTCTCGACATCTGATCGTCTGAACTTTCACTCCCTCCCTTAAGTCCTTGGAGATTCGCCAACAAACACGTCGGTGCTTGGGTGCACAGCTAGCCTCGGGTTGTCTCATCTGCTTCGTCCCTTGACTCGCGCTTGCAGTCTACCATATCGACTTTCGGAAAACGGATTCATCAATCGGGTGGATTTTCCACAAACACTGCTTTCGGAGTAAGAACGAGCTTGATAGAAAGCGGTTGCAACCCGAGTAAGCACCAACATGTCGGATACGTCGTCGGCCGATACACTGGGCCCTCCGTCCATGTCGTCCCAGTCCGAGACTACGGCGTTGCTACCGAAGCCCCCGGCGGCGAAGTCGGAGGAATACTACGTAGTCCGGAAATGGCTGGCTGAGATTCTGCTCCTGGCCAAAGCCGCTGTTCCGGTCATCCTGGCGTACACGCTGCAAAACAGCCTGCAAACCATCAGCGTCCTCATCGTTGGCCGACTGAGCCCCGAAGCACTCGCCACCGCTGCGTTCAGCTACATGTTCGCCATGGCGACAGCATGGCTCATTGCCTTGGGCGGCACGACGGCGCTCGATACGCTGGCATCGAGTAGTTTCACGGGATCATCGAACAAGCATGACTTGGGCATACTTCTGCAGAGAGGTATCATTGTTTTGTCGGCATTTTATGCCGTGGTGGCATTGCTTTGGTGGTTCTCTGAACCGGTGTTCCGGGCGCTGGGCCAAGAAGAGTTTATCTGCGTGCAAAGCTCGGCGTTTCTGCGATGCCTGATCCCGGGCGGGTTGGGGTACGTGTGGTTCGAGGCCATGAAGAAGTACTTGCAGGCGCAAGGTAAGTCAAGGGTGATGAGTGCCAACTCCAGAAAGTACAAGAATGAGAGAAGATAGATGACGGCACTGACGTGGCTGTGATAGCAATTTATCGCCCGGGCACATACGTGCTGCTGATAACATCCCCGATGAACGCCGGACTCAACTATCTGTTTATCCACACTTTCAAACTAGGCTTGTATGGTGCTCCCCTGGCCACAGGTATCTCGTACTGGGTATCGTTTCTCCTTCTGGTGGCCTATGCCGTCTTTATTCGCGGCAAGGAATGCTGGGGCGGCCTGGAGCTTCGGAAAGCTATCAGAAACATTGGACCCTTTTCTAAGCTCGCGCTTCTAGGAGTCGTTCACGTTGGCACAGAATGGTGGGCCTTTGAGATCGTAGCACTGGCTGCCGGGAGACTTGGCACTATCCCGTTGGCCGCCCAGTCTGTCATCATGACTGCGGACCAAATCATCAATACCATTCCCTTCGGTCTCGGGGTAGCAGCGTCGGCAAGATTGGGAAACTTGCTGGGAGCGCAGCGGCCTCGGGACGCAGCGATAGCAGCACACTCGGCAGCAATACTGTCCGTCATTCTCGGTGGCGTGGTCCTTGTTGTGCTCATGGCGACAAAGGACGTCTTTGGCAAAATCTTCAACGATGACGAGCGAGTGGTCCGGCTCGTAGGGGAGGTGATGCCGTATGTCGCCCTCTTCCAGATAGCAGACGGTCTCAATGGATCGTGCGGCGGTGCCCTTCGAGGCATGGGCCGTCAGTGGGTCGGGGCTGTGGTGAACCTCGTCAGCTACTACGGCGGGGCCCTACCCGCCGGCATCTACCTCGCCTTTCATGGCTGGGGTCTCGCCGGCTTGTGGATTGGACAATGTGTCGCCTTGTATCTGGTCGGGGCGTTGGAATGGGTGATTGTTGGGTTTAGTAAGTGGGAGAAGGAGTGTCAACGAGCCCTCGACCGACTAGATGACAGCAGCGACGGCGAGGCTGAATCAGAAGGCACGACCTCTGGTGTGGTCTAAAAAGATCGGAAGTCGGGCGGAGCCGAGTCTCGAGGTTGCAGCTCCGGAATGCGGCAGCAAGGGTGAAAATCAGGAGACCGAGTTGTAGAAGAGCCGTGGTGGAGTCTCGCGAGTCTGCAGCCAGCCACTGGTAGAACGTGGGAGAGATGGCTTGTCCATGATCAAGGGCAATTGTTTGATTAGTCAGTATCTTCTTTCCTTCCTTGATTAAATGATCAACATAGCATATCCGTATGGGACCTGAAAATGTAGTAGCCGCAGCCTCATCTGTTGTGAGCACCTGCCTCACATTCACCTCATCTCTGCACTCCCCTCTGTATTCGTAACTTCATACTGCCTACCTCATGGCTTATGCATGAGGAAGCGGGTAACCCCAACTGCTATTCTTTCCAAAAAGAGTAAGGCGTCACACCCAGAGCGGGGTGCTCTTAATGACACGTTAACAGAAATGCGCTCTGGCCGCACCAGCTTCAGTTAGTATCTTATCGATGGCTATACCAACTTGTTAGGTACGGGCGGGACGGTTGTGCCACCCTAAAAACCCCGCCAACAAAACCCCACTGTCGTCACGAAGCTCCCCAGACATTGGAGGAGACAGCCGATGATGGCATTATACGGACAAATAAGGAATTGAATGGTACACGGTTCATTGGAATATGATCTGAGCCTGAATAAATAAACCACCTTTGATCTTCTTTTCTTCGTCGGCTTTTTGGTTTCCCATATCAGACCAGAAGGTTACCCAGTACTAAACATACACTCTAACTTGGCTCCATTCACCCGCACGTCACGAAGGCGATCTTGAACGATACCTTACATCTGATTACTATGGCCCCCATCGGAGTAGCTATTGTTGGCGGAGGCATATTTGCCAAGGAGGAGCACTTGGTAAGACAACCAGCCGACAGCGCCAGCCGCGGAAGCCGCGGTCCTCCCTCTTGGTCACTGACGGAACAGATAGCCTGCTGTGGAAGCTAGCGACAACCTCACCCTTAAGGCCATCTTCTCGCGCTCCCTCAAGTCTGCCCAGGACACGGCCAAGCTCGTCACAAAGTCAGCCTCGCCTGACTTGTACTCTGACGACTCGGGCGAGGGCAAGTCATTCAAGGACCTCCTGGCCCGTGATGACATCCAGGCACTTATCTTGGCCCTGCCCATCCTCAACCAACCCGACTATATTAAGCAGGCCCTTGCCGCTGGAAAGCACGTCTTAGCTGAGAAGCCTATCGCCGCCGATGTTGCTCGTGCACAGGAGCTCATTGAATATTACAAGAAGGCGTCTGCCGAAAGGGGCGTGACTTTTGCTATAGCAGAAAACTATCGTTTCCAACCCCGCTACACTTCGGCAAGAGACGAAGTGCGGAAGCTAGGCAAGGTCATCGGCTTCAACGTGAGGGTCTTCTTCTTCGTGAAGCTGGGCGGCAAGTACATTGAGACCGCGTGGCGTAAGAAGCCTGACTACCAGGGTGGATTCCTCCTCGACGGTGGCGTCCACTTCGCCGCCGCTCTTCGCCTGCTGCTCGGCAAGGACGCGGCGCCGGCCTCGGTTGCCGCCTTCTCTGACTTGACCCGGGAACACTTGCCGCCCATTGACACCATTAACGCCGTCGTCAAGACCAAGCAGGGGGCCACCGGCTCCTTCGCCGTCAGTGTTGGCTCAACCCTCAACGCCTTCGACTTCCACGTGGCGGGCGAGAAGGGCAGTGTGACCCTGTCGAGTCACAACCTCACCGTCAAGCCCTTTGATGGCGAGGCAACAACAACTCAATTTGACCAGACGAGTGGTGTGAAAGAGGAGGTGAAGGCCTGGGCTGAAGGTTTAGTCGCCGGGAAACCTAATCCCCTGCAGTCACCTGAGGAGGCGCTGGCGGACTTGGAGTTCCTCGAGAAGATCTTCAAGAGTGGCGAGCAGGATGGCGCAATCCAGAAGCTGTATTTGCAGCAGTAACTTGTAAGGAATTCTTCAGAGATAAGCTCCATGGGCACAAGTGGGTGGGTGATAGAGTTCAATTTAGAGCTTGTTTTCCCTGCCATCCGCCACCAGAAGTCGCCGTAGACCCCTCCGCATTTCGTCCTTCATTCCGGATGCGGTTGGACGACCGGTAGATCTCTCGACAAACACGTGGGTAAACTCCCCGACTGCTCTCACCTCGTCCACTCCCTTCTCAAACAAGGCAATTTCGTATGTTACACTCGACTTACCCAACTTGTTCACCCGTAGCGCTAATTGAGCGACTGCGGGGTACGAGATGGATGCAAAGTAGTCGCTGTGCGAGTGTACCACAAGGCCGTGCTGCTCAGAACCCAAGGGAGTTAGACCGCAGTGCTCGATCAGGTAGGCGTTGACTACCGAGTCGTATCTGCAGCATTTAGTTGGACGCCGCGCGGAACTTCGCTGGATTGAGAGAAGCATACAGGAAGTTGTAGACGCTATTGTTCATGTGCTGGTACATATCATTGTCGGCCCTAAGAAACCTTGTCAATCTCTGCCCAAGCAGCAAAAGCGCAAAGGGGGGAAGCGAAAGGTGGTGATGATAGTGATGAGAACATGATGGCTACTGATATGCTGTGAAGGCGCTCTCGCCCCTTATTGACCGGCCGGGGCGGACTGCGGGCATGAGAGGTTGGCGAGGGACAGGAGACCGTCCGGTTGCAGCACGGACAAGCCCCCCTTGAAGCTTTGCGAGGACTGAGCTCGGTCCCTCCGTTTCGAGGTCGATCGCAGGAAGGACGAGGAGTAAAAGCGGAAGCCGCAATGGCAGCTTGTGAAAACTACGACGGGATGGAGGTAAACTCACCATCGCGTCCGGTAGTCCAGGATGTAGCCGTAATCCTCCCTTCGACGCTGCCTTAACTGGTTAAAGCCTGCCATGGTGGTTCTCTTGCGAGATGATAGAGAGAAAGATCGGAGCACGTCGTAGGCGGGAATGCCGAAGGTACTGGCCCTGGCCCTGGTCGCATGGAATTGGACTCTGGAGACACAAGAGAAGAACACAAGAGGTATGCTCAGTCAAACGTCAGTAGTAATGTGCGGTGCCTTTCGGCACTTTTCTCTATTGAGTTCTGGCCCAGCTCGTTACTTCGAACCTTCCTTTGATGAAGAAGCTCTGGTGACTTTTCACATTTAAATAGTTGCGGAGAAATCGTCGAGATTCTGAAGGGGGATTGCCACAATCAGACTGTAGGTGAGTAGATGGTCTGGCTGGGCCGAGGCAGAATGGCATGTTGCCGCGAGGGTAATAGGAGCCAATCGCCAGTGTCGTCAGACGTGTTTGGTCCAGAGCCGGAACACCTGTAAGACAGGGGTGCTTGTTAGCCGGAATAAGGTGGCACGTGTGGCGGGTCCTGTCGTCCAGCTCCAGCTGGGCTTACATAAACAATGAGCCTACCTACCGTGTTACTGAATACTCCATTGGCCAATCACATCGTTGTAGATCCACCTTTCCTCTGAGCCAGCCTGCTACAATCGACTTCAGCAGAGTTCTGCCACGTCTGACCGCTCATAATTTGTGACTCTTTTCGAGATACATATCAGCACCGTACCTGCAGAGTTTGCTAGTGTTTGATATTCAGGTTTACCGAGGCATGCAGCGAGCGATTTCTCAAGAACTTCCTACTTACGGCTAGTCAAAGTTTTACGGAGTTCCACAATACGCAACCGCTACTTACACCATCGCGCACCCCGCCTGTCAACTTACCTATCCGTTCAATCCTGGCTACCCTTTGGCGTACAGTTTGGTCTTTGGCACGGCTGCCATTCCGACGGGAATATCTCATGCCTGCCATGGCTTCCGATCAAACGGCACAAACGTCACCAGCGGCCCCGCTGTCAGCTGCAACTCACGCCGCTGGAGCCGCCGAGCTGCCGGATGTCCAGCCATTTGGAGCTTCCGATAAGTTGTCTGAAGTCTTGACGACACCCACTGGCGACATGTGGCCCCGGCCGTACTTCTTCGAGGACGGTCTTCGCAGAGTTGCCCCTTATCACTTTACCTATCATACCTGGGCCAAGGAACGCTGGCGCGGCCGGAAGCTAATCGAGATCTTTGAGGATGAATTCAGGGACCGTACCCTAGAGTATTACCGGAATGCCATGGTAACTGGAGCCATTGTTGTCAACGGAAAGGCAGTCGGCCCGGATCATGTGGTCAAGAATGGAGACCTTGTGAATCACACAATTCATCGCCATGAGCCACCTGTTACGGGCGAGCCAATTCGTGTTATTCACGAAGATGATGAGATGATCGTCGTCAACAAGCCATCCGGTGTACCGGTACATCCTGCTGGCAGATATAAGTATAACACACTTATCGAGATCATGAAGGCTGAGCGAGGCGAGCATTTCCTGCCATATCCATGCCATCGCCTGGACCGCCTTACCAGTGGAATCCTTTTCATCGGCAAGACGCCGCAGGCTGCGGTGAAACTCACTGCTCAAATCAGAGCCCACACGGTTCGTAAGGAATACCTGGCGCGCGTTGCTGGGAAGTTTCCTGATGGCGAAGTTGTCTGCGATCAACCTATCCTCCAAATATCCCCACGGCTAGGGCTTAACCGTGTGCGCGCCAACGGGAAATCGGCCCGCACCGTCTTCAAACGCCTGGCCTATTATCCACCGGACAGCCTGGATGACTCGGAGGCAGCGCAGCCCAAGACTCCGGAACGACTTGCGGACGAGGAACGCCGGCCTTGGATCAAGAAAGAAGGCTACTCGATTGTTCGCTGCCTGCCTCTGACGGGCAGGACGCATCAGATCCGCGTGCATCTGCAGTTTGTTGGGCACCCAATTGAAAATGATCCTTTGTATGCGAACCAGCGAGTTTGGGGAATTAACCTGGGCTGCAACGACTCGGATGCAGTTGAGAATACGGACGAAGATATCATGTCGCGCCTGGAAAGGATGGGCAAACAAGACATCGCCGACGCTGTGGCCTATCACGACGAATTGGTGGACATGTACCAGAAGAGGAGGGCCGAAAAGCTGTCGGGAGAGCTTTGCGACATCTGCGACACGCCGCTATACACGGACCCCGGCGAGCACGAGCTGTCGCTCTGGCTTCACAGCCTTCGATACGAAGACGCCGGAGGGGCTTGGAGCTACACCAGTCCGATGCCCGCGTGGGCCCTTCCTCCGGACGGCGTGAACGGGCCAACGGAGGTCGGGGGACTGGAGGAACTGGTGGGGGCAGTCCCAGACACAGACACTAAAATTGCCTGAGATATTCACGGCGGAAGCAAAGATACGATTACGCACCTTAGCACGGTCCAAGGCGGTTCGATTGATTAACTCCACTGATCCAGTTCTCTGTTGAACTTGGGACGATGTGATACCCCAGATTGAGGCATTTACGACGTTTTCTTCGCCACAACAGATACTGATAGAAAGCTCTGCTTGGGCTGCACTGCTGCTGCATTGTACAGGGGCAGAGTCAAACAATGCTCAGTATCAATTATTTTCCAGAGACATAGAGACATACAAGGTTCCAGACGCACGATGATGTACATGATGTCCATTGCGGGCAGTTGCACGGAATTTCCGTGCAAGTGACGGAATGGCCGCTGACAGTCCCGGCCTGAAGGATTCACACTTGTCCAGGGTCTCTGGGGTCTCTCCCGCAGCCGACACCATACTCAGACCACAAACCCGGAAATGCCAAGTCACTGGCCCTGCCGCCCCAACGGAGTGAGATCCGTACTGGCCGGGTGGACCAGTGATTGGTCGGGCTGCATGAAAAAGCGGTCATCATTATGCTACTAGCGCATGTATCGCCTGGATTTGGGTCAAGGAGGCGCTCAAATCTTCGAGGTACCTCAGCAGCTCCGGTACCTCGTGCTCAGAATCCGGAGGGATTTCCGCCCTTCCTACCGCCAGACCGCTCCCCTCCTCCTCTTCCTCCTCGGTCTCAGTCCTCACCCCCATTCCCCTCAGCTGGGCCGCCCTGCCCTAACACCCTAACGTCCTAACCAGCTGGAGCCTAGAGGCTCGAGGCTGGAGGATGAGGGTGCCCGGCGCATGCCAGGCACAGCGCCGGGTCTTGCAGCAGGGTCTGCTGCAGGCCCTGTTTTTCCTCTGGGGATGGCGGCCTCATTGGTCTGGCATATATCCCCCGAAGGAATTGACAGAAGGAAACGAAACATACAACGGCCGACTTTCTGAGTCAGAATTGACAAAACAGAGATCCGAACTGGACATTGCGCCGACGAGACGGCATTCTTCAGGGGTTCATCACCCCCGGACCGGCATTGCTAAGCCCACCCCGAAATAACTCATAAAATCGCTGATTCCGGATGCCCTCTTTGTTGACGTTCTCGACGCCTTTCGCCGTGTCCGACACCCTCGTCAACCAGAACCGAACGCCTATGACATAACTTTTTAGCGATTACGACCCATGAACAACATGCGTGCAGCTTCGGGAGGCCGGCACGAAACGCCTTATACGACCAGCCTGCTGGAATTCACGATGCCGAGCGATGAAGCTGGGGAAGAATGAGAAGCAAATGCGGCAGGGAGATGAAGGAACAACGAGGGAGGACGAGACTTAATTGACAGCTGGAAACATTCACTGACAGTAGGTAGTAGAGTGAGACTTTTTGGGCCCGGGGAGATGAGAACCAACAGATTCCCTCAGACACATCAGCAGACTCTCGAAGGTGGAGGGAGCCCCCGAAACGCCACAATCCCGCCAGCTTGGAAACCCTGTGAATGTCGCATCCAGCTGGGCGACAGATATGCTTCGTTTTTCCTCCTCGCCTCCCCCGACGCGATGGCTAGTCACCGCGATGGGTGTGCTCGGACATGACCCTTGGACGATGAGAGGCTAAATTCGAACGCCCGAGGCAACGCAGAACCCAGACAAAAGCAAGCCATGGAACTTCCAGAAGCCCGCCACGCATGTCAGAGAGAATGTCGGCGCATTGCTATTCAGTATCCGTGCACCTCTCAGTTCTCACACCGCACCCGAGTCCCCTACACTCTACGCACTGGAGCAGAGACAAGCCGCAAACCAGGAGAAGAAAAGACAAAAAAAAAAACCGAAACAACGGACGAGAGGCAACATCAACACACGTGCGAAATTCGGCTCAGCTCGTGTTGACAGCGACGATCTGAGGTTCGCTGACCAGGCAGCCAAGGACAGGCATTCGGTCGATTGAGCATACTGTGCATACCCATCTGGCGGAGCTCTTCACGCCGCGCCTCGAGCGAGTGTTTCTGCGAATCCGCTGACCGCGCTGAATCAATGTTGGCTCGGTCAGAAGGGCGTGCCGCGAAGCTGAAAAGTGAGACACGATGCCGACATAAGACTCGGCAGAGCAGGGAGAAAATACCCAATCTTTGGTTCCTCCGCGGCCACGCTTACTCGACTAACGTTCAATGGCAAGAGACTGCGAGTTGCAGACAGACGACCAGGGGTGCCGTACGCACAAGCCGTCATGAGCCTGCATTCTGAAAGGCGGAAAAAAGCCATCGGGGGAAAAGATTGACAACGGCAGTTCAGTAGCGGTATCCTGTGGGATTGGGCAACCGGAACCAGGTCCGATGATTGGAACGACATTGAACGCCATTCAGTCGCACATGGAGGGCGCGCGCTCCTGCCCAATTCTATTTCCAAGCCAGCCGTTCGAAAGCGGTGAATAGAGAAGAATTTCTCAATTTCGCGTGGCCTGCCCACGACGGAATCCGAGGATGCCGTTCAAGTGGGCATTTATCCAACGGAACGATTGGAGGTCAAATCGAGGCCCTTGGGTGACGAGGCTGGGCGAGCCGTCGCGAAATCTAGGCCAGGCATAGTTTGGATCCGATCGTCGGACGTGCTAGCTGGAAAGACCGTCTTGGCCGTTGATGAATTGTCATCGCGGCGTGGCTCACCGAAAGCCAGAATGTCGCCAGAGCGAGCGCCAGAGCGAGTGAAGTTCCTGGCAATAGCACCGGCACTGGGGCACAGGGCGGCTGGTATTCAATGTTTCTGGTCGGCAGGCCAGAAGGTCCTCTTGTTCGTCAGGCCCGAACGCGCCATTCGAAACCGCCGCCGCCGTCACGTAGGGTTTCCGCACCGGAATACTCCATTTGGCAAACGGTTCTTACTACTAGGAGACCCTCGACGTTCTATGACACCACTTCTCTCGCCCTTTGAGTGAGAAGGGCCGATGGCGGACTTTTTTTCTGGAATCTCCGTCCACCTGGTGCCAACCCCCCCCCCAAACTCATTTTTGTTGCTCCTCGTCGGTTCGAATGCGAGATAGAGAGAGATGGCTGGCTAGAGAGTAGAGCTACAAGGGCGAATGCCAACTTCTCCTCGTACTACGGTCTACCTACACAATCTCACTGCCCGCACACCACCCAAACCCCCCACCCCCCCATCCCCAATGTCGGCCGACGAGCCATGGCAGAAGACACCCTCTAAAAAGGGAAAAGCGTGTTACGGTTGGATGTGGTGGGGGGGACAAGGTACCGGTCGGGCTGGCCGCCGCCGGAGCAGCGACGTGGGAGCAGGTTTCCGTGCACTTGCATGGTGCTAGCAGATGGTTCACGGTAGTCGGTCACGTACCGACCGGGACAGTATTCCATTCTAATGAGTGAGAGAGGACCGCCAGAGACTGTGAGGTGCTCCCTGGTCGATAAGGTACCTTATTAGCAGACCACTTTTTTTGGTCCCCCTCTCCCTCGCTCCTGAGTGTTGACTACTGGCTGTTGCAGTCACTGATGGGCCGCGTATCGGCACCCACCAGGCTACGACAGATCTGTCTTTAGCGTAAAGTTTATTTTTCGCATGTGGATACGTGCCCCCTTCTGGTGTAAGGAATCCCCACCTTTTCCCACAGTTCACCTACCTCTGGGGCCCAGCTGCCCTCACGGGCCCTGGTCCTCACACTCACCTCACACTTCACCTTCGATCCTCGCTCACTTCCCGGTTAACTCATAATGGAACTCGACATGCCTCTCCTCATCTATTGCGCGCGCGCGCGTTTGTGTGTGTGTGTACGAAGTATTCGTATATGTGTGTGTGTGTGACATCCAGAGCCCATATATTCCCCCTATGAGTCTACGGATACACGCTACTCCAGCGGCCATTCACACCCACACATGCGTATGCGATGCTAACCATCCCTGAGCGCGCACTTCCCGCCCACGGCCGCACGTCTGCGCTCTGCTGGCCATTGGTGGTTTCCGGGCCCGATGTACACAGTACTCTGTACTCCTTAACTGCTTTCTAGTGATAATCCATATCCGTACTCAAAAGATGACAAGGCCTGGCGGCACGGCAAGAAAAACATCATTTCGTCATTGTATCGGAACCCCCCCCCGTCATCGGAGGGTGGCCGAATGGTTTCCCGGGCTGCTGGGGATGCGTTAGCAAATGCAGCGGTGCAGCAGTGCTGAGCCTCGACCAGATTTGAGGCTTATGGGTCTAGCTCTGCTCGCTCAGCCTGGCTCTTCGAGCTCTTCGCCCCTCATCTACCGTACGGTGTACACAATACGGATTTGAACGCGATGCGATGGGCATTGGAGATTACCTCACCTTTCTTGGTTTGCGCGTTCCATGGGCTGGCCACACAGGCCAGGGCTTGCCATGGGTGTGGCTATTCCGAACATCAGCCGGACGGGACTGTTGCCCTTCCTTTTGACGTTGATGCTTGTTTCCAGTGTACAGGCCTCGTCACCCGCCTTGCAAACCCCCCCCCCCCCCCGGGGTTCCGAGCCGTCAGGTCAACGCAATATGTAAGCCCAGACGGGATTATCTCTTCTTCAACGTGCCTGCCCACCTCATTCGCATTTATGGATAAGGCGGACAGGACAGGGCCATGGGAGGGTATACACTAGCAAGTCGACAGACTAGGTCAAGTGCGGGAGGAGGAGGAGGAGGTGGAGGAGAAGGAGTTTGATTTGGTTGTCATCTTCAACGGATCCGACAAGGCACCTGGGTACCTTTTCCTTTCCCGTAACCTTGCCTTGCCTTGCCTTGCTTTCCCTCGTTGCCTTTCGTCACCTCACCCAGCTAACCTTTTCCTAACTCTATGCTTGCCTTACCTTGGCCCCGTTTACCTTTCCCTACCTGCAGTGCGGATAAGGAATCCCACCCGGTAACCCGTTCGCTGAGATAGAAGTCGGACTCGAGCCAGCACAAAGCCACAGTCACAAAGCAGGAGGTTGCCCACCCACATTGACTGCTACTGCTTGAGGATCTCCCCCTGCAGATATAGTACTGTGGTAAAAGCACT